TTGACTTAACTTACAGGGACGTTGCAAGGGTTCTATGTGGGTAATGTGTGTTAAGTACTTTGAACCCTTGAAAGCACTGCAGATTTTTCAGTAATCATTAAGAACTTGATGAACATCCCTGTCTCAAATGTAGAGTCATGGAGTCCCTGTTCATTTCGTGGGGGGTGCTATTTCTGTCATGTGGCTAAAGAAAAGTCAGCTTCTCAGTTGACTCTCTTCTCTTTCCTCCTCTGCCCTCACAGAAAACATAACTTTGGATCCAGACACAGCACATCCCCGCCTCATCCTGTCTGAGGATCGAAAGATTGTGAGAGATGGAGAAGTGCGTCAAGACCTGCCAGACAACCCTGAGAGATTTGACACACATTTCTATGTGCTGGGATGTGAGGGTTTCACAGCAGGCAGACATTTCTGGGAGGTCATTGTGGGAAGAGAGGAGAGATGGGAGGTGGGGGTTGCCAGAAAGTCTGTGAAGAGGAAGGGTTTTCTCTCTTTTGGTCCTAGGGAAGGGATCTGGGGTTTGGGGAAGTGGCTTGGTGGGTACAAGTTATGCTCCCCCCATGAGGACCCTGTTCCAAGTGAGGAGCCCCAGAGGCTCCGAGTGACCCTGAACTGTGAAGGGGGACGGGTGTCCTTTTACAATGCGGATACAGCAGCCCTCCTCCACTCATTCCCGGCAGCCCCCTTCTCAGGAGAGACCCTCCAGCCCTTGTTTTATGTGAGTGAGAAAGCAAACCTGAGACTCTCTTGACTGAGAGTGCAGACAGACAAGCGTATATTCATTGCCATCATGACATATTCAGTCGCCTCTTCTGGTTGGAGCTGACAGGAACAAGGAGAAACCGTATTTGCAGAACTGTGATTGGCTATCCCTTGTGTCAATCATGATGCAACTCTCCTTTCTCAGGCCAGCTTTGTAACTTATACTGATTGATTGGGTCCCCTGTCAGTCCCCAAACTTGCCTGTTCTCTCTCACTTGGGAATGGGCTATTTCTCTCAGTGCAAAGGGGGAAAGAGGCAAGAAAATAATTTAGGAAACAACAGCAACCCCACACACATTCCTGTTTCGAAGTAGTTCTCTCTCCAACCCCCAAGTCTGATTTAAGATTTCTAGAGACAATACCATAATCTTTTCTGAGTAAAATCAGAGTTCTGCACGTGCATCACTTAAAACCTCAGATTCCCTTTCCTTCCCCCGAAGCCTCCATTAGCATGGAGATGGAAGTTCCAAAATTCCTTTTTTTGCTGCTACTCAGGGAAGCTTATATGGCAATTCAGCAAAATCAGAGACCAGTTTTTTTAGTTGAGTACAGTCGGCCCAAAACTCACACACAACTTACTTGTGTGATCGCAGCCTGGAGCCCTTTGTCAAAACACAAATTAATAAATGGAAAGAGGGTGAGAGACTAGGAAATATTGTTGGAAGGGACTGTGAGAGATCTCACAAGAGCCTCCAGAGCCCAAAAGCAATGGGTGTTGGCGGCGGGGGCTTTGGCAGTGGTGGAAAGATTTTCTAAGTCCACCTTGTTTTCCAGCCAGAAAGGTTACATAAAACTCTCAAGATTTGTGGCTTCGAACAAGTAGGGATGGTTGTTTGGGGGGCATTTTCCGGGGTCTTCCTGACTTATGCAATATCGCCTTTGCATGCTGACCCCAGAAACATAACCCCCCACGCAGGTTTTGGGCCTTGATGTGACAAAATCCCCTCTGACGGTGAAGAGCCTCTGTCAGAAGTTCTGAGGAGAGGACAGTGACAATCTAGAGGATTTCAGGAGCAGGTGGTAAATTCCCATGTATACAATTATTTTCTCCAAGCTGCTTTGTAGTGAACAGTCCGATACTTACCTGTATTTTTATACATCCCCTCTTCTTATATTTTTGTATAACGGGCCTGAAAGAATTTGGGGATATGTTTCCTGTGCTAACATGTTTGATTCTATTAAAGATTGTACTTGTTGTTGCTCCTGTGGTGTTTCAAACTCAACAGTATTAATATCCATTCCCCATGACACTTCCTCCAGGGATTTTAGAAGGGTGATATCCTGTTTTATCTTCAGAGGAACCCTGTGAGGTAGAAGAGGCTCAGCTGACAGACTTAGAAAAAGGAGACACGTTAAAAGTTTATGGTCAAAAGGGATTTGAACCTGGGCCTTGTCATCCCAAGTCCAACACACTGTGCACTCTGAATGTGAAATCTTAACAAAGGTCCCTTCAGAGATGTGCTTGAAAGCCCTCCCTGCAAAGCTCCTCTATATATTGTAGCTCATCTTCAGACCTTCCTGTGTTTACCATGAATGTCTGCAGGAGGAGTCAATCCAGTTTGAGTGAGGGGCAGATTTCAGGGGCTTCCCTTCATAAGCTCGTATTTCGCACCTGGGTCCATTTCTGTATCTCAGCATTCGGATTAGAAATCAAAGCAAATCCCCCAAGTTGGAAGTCTTCCCATCCCTTTATTTGTGGGAATCCCACCACCAGGAGAGAAGTGAGTCTCAGCCGTATCTGCCATGTCTGTGAGACAGCAGATATCCTGTTGACACCCTACTTTTTAACACATAGACAGTTGTGGGAAAATGGGGGGGGCCAAAAGAATGCCGATTGCAATAGTCCCCCCCCCCATTTTCAACAGAAGCATTGCAACCAGTGCCAAACAGATGGGGCAACAAATAGAGAGAGGCGTTTTAATTCCACATTTTTATCATAGTCCCCCAAACAGCAATTCTCAATTCAGAAGAAGTGAAGACAGTACATCTTTCTATTCTCTTCTGAGCTCTGTGGAGCAAAGAGGAAATTGAGCCCACAGCCCTGTGTCTTGGGATAAGTCCCTTTGAACTTACTCTTGAGTAGACATAGGAGTGCCCTCTACTCCTGGAGATAAAAAGGATTAGCTCACAGGTTTTGGCGATTGCCTAGAGAAAGGCCTTCTTCACACACATGGTTTTGGCCACTGGCTTACACACCCTTTTAAAGTTGGTGAGATGAAGGGTTTGAGACCAAAAGCCCTTTCCTGTTCGCCTCCACAGCTTCAGCTGATTCAGAGGTAGACTGCCTCTGCACCAGGAGGTTTCATTGAGCAGGATGCTGTGCTCTGTCCCCTGTGACATTTCAGCCCTTTCCTCAGCCACTCCACGGATGTCCTGCCCTGTTCAAAGGGAAGTTCGGTGTGGGAGACAGGGAAAAAAGGATAAATGGCACACACAGAGGGAAGGTGGTGAAGGTGCTGTGTGCCAGCCCTTCCAGCCGGAGGAACTGATCTCCTCTCTGCAGGTTGGCTGTGAATAAAGTTCCTCTCCTCCATGACTTGTCTGTGGATGAGCAGGCTGGTCTAGTCGATTCCTGAGGCCTTATGGGTAAACATGGTGGAGTTGGTGCATCGTCAGGGCAGACTTGAGGGCCAGCCAGTGGGGGGTTACTGTGGTCTACAGTGGTACCTCGGGTTAAGTACTTAATTCGTTCCGGAGGTCCGTGCTTAACCTGAAACTGTTCTTAACCTGAAGCACCGCTTTAGCTAATGGGGCCTCCTGCTGCCACCACGCCACTGGAGCACGATTTCTGTTCTCATCCTGAGGTTATATTTGTTCTGTTCTCTTAACCTGAGGTAATATTTCTGGGTTAAGGTAAAGGTAAAGGGACCCCTGACCATTAGGTCCAGTCGTGACCGACTCTGGGGTTGCGACGCTCATCTCACTTTACTGGCCGAGGGAGGCGGCGTACAGCTTCCGGGTCATGTGGCCAGCATGACTAAGCCGCTTCTGGCGAACCAGAGCAGCGCACGGAAACACCGTTTACCTTCCCGCTGGAGCGGTACCTGTTTATCTACTTGCACTCTGACGTGCTTTCGAACTGCTAGGTTGGCAGGAGCAGGGACCGAGCAACAGGAGCTCACCCCGTTGAGGGGATTCGAACCACCAACCTTCCGATCGGCAAGTCCTATGCTCTGTGGTTTAACCCACAGCGCCACCCGCGTCCCTATTTCTCGGTTAGCGGAGTCTGTAACCTGAAGTGTATTTAACCTGAGGTACCACTGTATAGAGATTCTCTTTCTCTCTCCAGCTGAATGGGGATCTAGAGTGTTTGTTCCTGGCACTGAGTAATTGGGACAGATTTGGGATTCTGCTGGTTTCCCGCCCGCCTGGCTTCCCAGCAGTCCCCCTGGCAGAGTGGCAGAGCCAGTCTCAGTGGCAGCATTGAGGGCTCCTAGGCGGCTGCATCTGGGGGCTTCAACCTCCATGTTGAGGCGACTGGCTCTGGGGTTGGCGGCTCAGGAATTCACGTCTGCCGTGACAACCATGGGGCTGTCCCAAGAGGTTGCTGGCCTGATGCATATCGCCAGGTGCACACCAGATTAAGAGGAGAACCCTCACTTCAGCATGGATCAAATGAAACATCAGAGGAAAATGCTCAGAGCATCAACACTGAAATTTCCCCCCCCAAAAAAAACCATGTGTTCTCTTTTTTCATGAGGAATATGTATCAGCCACCAAACAATAATACTTTAGCAGTATCTAAAGATTAAAAAAAAATCACAAGTCAAAAGAGAGGAAACACTTCCCCCACACCAAGAGATAAAAAATAAAAAACTTCCATGGTTCTTGTTAATGTAAACCCCTGTTTAAAAGGCAAGCAGCCACGCCCCCGGCCACTCCGATTGGCCAGCCGGGGGGAGTGACGCGCCTAGGAGAACCAATCACGCGGCCGACATCCCTCCGCCCACAGAGAGTTCACTCCTGCAACTCCGGAAGGGGAGAGGTTTTCTCTTCCTCTCGTAGGCGCCTGGCTCCTTGAATTACTAGCAAGGAGTTCTGCCCGTTCTCTTTGAAAAAGCAAATTTCAATGTCAAAGAAACCCTGTTCTACTGCAATTCACGTCTCTAAGGCAGCCGAGATCCTGAATTTCCCTCCTTGAATTTCCTGGGTGGGGGAAGCAGAACCCCAGATCTCCTCGCTAACGCCACGTCTGCGGAGGGGAAGGGAAATCTCGAGTCACCCCCTGAAATCTCCTCATGGAAAGGAAACGGAGACATCCATTCGCGCACGAAGAGCAAAGCAAACGAAAGCATCTCTCTCTTCCTGGCGAGGCAGCAGCCATGGCTGCTTCTGGGGGTCCCGTGCAGGATCTCTGCGAGGAAGCCACTTGCCCCATCTGCCTGGAGAGTTTCCGGGATCCAGTGATCATCCCGGAGTGCGGGCACAACTTCTGCCGAGCCTGCCTGATCCAGTCCTGGGGGGAATCCGAGGGAGAGGCTTCCTGCCCTCATTGCAGGGAAATCCTTCAGCACAGGACCCTCATCCCCAATCGGCCGCTGGCAAATGTTTTGGAAAAACTCCGTCTTCAAGGTGAAAAGGAGCCCGAAGGAAAGGGGAAGATCTGTGAGAAGCACCAGGAGCCCCTGAAGCTCTTCTGCAAGGAGGACGAAAGCCCCATCTGTGTGGTGTGTGACAGATCCAAGGAGCACAAAGGCCACGAGGTGGTTCCTCTGGAGGAGGCGTCCCAGGAGTACAAGGTGAGAAATCTCTCTGGGTTTCGTTTGGGGATGATGAGGGTGAATTAGCAACAGAGAAGGGGGTCTTGCAAGAAAACGCTTTAATGTATTCTCCCCTCCGGCAGCCAAAGAGTCACTCGCCAGCAGGAGCTTTTGTGCAGCCTTCTAAAAACCAAACTTTGGAAACTCTGTTCAATAAACATTTCTTTTTTCCTTTCTGGGGATTACAGTGCCCCTAATGTCCCCCTGCAGGAGAAACTCACCCCCAGTTCATCCTCTGGAAGCAGCTCCCTTAGGAAAGGGCTGGAGGGAGGAGCAATGGAGGTGGCAGGGAAAGAATCACAGAATGGTGGAGTTGGAAGAGACCCTGAGGGCCATCTAGTCCAACCCCCCGCAATGCAGGAATTCTGGTTAACAGCCAGACACACTGGCCCATTGCATCACAGGCTCCCAGGATGACGAAGGCAAAGACCACAGTCTTTGGGGCAGGGAGCAAGCATGTGATTCAACTTTCCTGTTATTATGAATTCCAACAGAGAAAAAAAGCAAGCAAACTTTGATTTTGTTTTGTTTTCAGGATCAGATCAGCACCTGCCTAGACAACATGAAGAAGGAGAGAGAAAAATTTCTGGTGTTTAAAGCAGATGCAGAAAAGGAAAGTCAAGACCTGCTTGTAAGCATAATTGTTTCTTTTAAGGTCTTGGGGGGGGGCAATGAATGTGGAATACAGAAAGTGGTTTCTTTTTGAACAGCCCTATCTCCCACAGAGCATGAAAGACCATTTAAAGGAGCGGGTGGGCTTGTAAGTTTTTATGGAGTTCTTTCTCTGCTGAACATGTCAGAAGTGGCCTTCCAAGGGAATTGGGATAACTGGCCTCCTCATCCTTTAACAGGAGGCTAGATGCCTGATATTGGCCCACTGTTCGCTTCTTTCAACCTCTTTGCTGCAGAAACAAACAGTTGCAGAGAGGGAAAAGATGGTGGCTGAGATCAGGCGACTGCACCAGTTTCTGGAAGAACAAGAGAAACGTATTCTGGCCCAGATGGCAGAGGTGGAGAAGGAGATTGCAGCCAAAAGGGAGGAGCAGCTGGCCAGACTCTCCAGGGAACTCTCCTCTCTTGACAGCCTCATCCGGGAGATGGAGGAGAAGCTTCAGGAACCAGAGAGTGAACTCCTTCAGGTGAGGCCTCATCCTAATGCGAGAGGGTGGAGTGTGCTGTTTCAGACTACAGGCATTTCTTAGTTACATAAAATTGTTGCTGGAAGGAAAACAGTACATGAAGGGTGAAAGGCGTCATTCCTGGGGACGCAGAAGGGAGTCTGCTAGATCAAACCAAAGGCCCCTTCATTCTAGCATCATGTTCTCTCATTGGCCAACCAGAGGTCTCTGAGAAGCCTAAACAGTAGTGCTCTCTAATCCTGTGATCCCCAGCAGTTGCCACTCAGCTGCTTAGGATTTATAACTGACTGCAGAAACGGCTCCACTGACATCTTTATTTCTTTCCTTCCAGGATATTGGAAGCTTCTTGCAGAGGTAAGTGATGGAAAAACCCCTGCCTTATTCTGATGCTATTGGTCTCATCAAGAATCATATCAAGGAAGCTATTCCTTCTTCCCCCCCATTACATACTTCTCCCTTTTCCCTGATGGATTCATTTCCTCTGCAATAGATACAGAAAAGGGAGACATTCCAAAGGGGCTTCACTATAACTTACCCTTAAATATCCAGTGTATTTCTGGCTTCTGCAGGTTCTTCCTCAGACATAAGAAGGTGAGAAAGGGCCCTGCTGGATCCGGCCAGTGAAATTCCCCCCCCCAAAAAAGCCATGTGTTCTCTGATTTTATGAGGAATATGTATCAACCACCAAACAATAATACTTTAGCAGTATATAATGATTTTAAAAAATTGCAAGTAAAAAGAGAGAAAACACTTCCCCCACACCAAAAGATAAAAAATAATAAAATTCCATGGTTCATGTTAATTTAAACTCCTGTTTAAACGGCAAGCAGCCAGTGACCCATCTAGTCCACCATCCTCTTTTCACAGTGCTTAACCAGAAGCCTGTGGGAAACCCGTGATCAGGATCCGAGCCCCAGAGGAGAAAACACAGCTTTAATTTCTAATAGTTCTCTCCGCTTTAAATATAACCACTGGGCTACAATATATTAATAATTTTAATCATTTGGAATGCTTCACTGGTGTAGTCCTAAAATCTCTGCATAAGGACCCATTATTGTTCACCTTTCTTCAAAAAAATGATATGCATATATCAGCTTATTTCCCTTCAATCTCATATTCATATATTTATTCCCATGTATTATGGAAGCAGGTGTGTATCGGTTTTTCTTCAACTTCTTCAATGCTTTTAGATCCACACGTCAACAAAATGCTCCCTTTTGCCAACTCTGCTCCCAAGTCTTCATGATATATATCCATCATGCCTTTATCATCAGGATGAGACACCTGCCTTGTCAGAAAGCTTCTTGCATTGGAAGGATGGAGGGTTGACTTTGTTCTTCTGCTCCCAGGTCTCAGAAGAAGGAGAACTTAGAGGATCCTCCTGTGGCTTTTCAAAGGGGCATTGTGACATTCCAAAGGGGCTTCAGTATAACTTACCCTTAAATATCCAGTGTCTTTCTGTCTCCTGCAGGTTCTTCCTCATATGTAAGAATGTGAAAAAGGGCCCTGCTGGATCAGGCCAGTGGCCCATCTAGTCCACCATCCTCTTTTCACAGTGCTTAACCAGAAGCCTGTGGGAAACCCGTGATCAGGATCCGAGCCCCAGAGGACACTCCCCTCCTGTGCTTCAGAGGCACCACTGCCTTTGACCCAGGCATCGTGAATAGTGGCTGCTGAGAGCCTTGTCCCCAAACAGCTTCATATTTTGAAAATCTTCCATGCTGAGAAAATACAGCTTTAATTTCTCTACTTTCATTTGAAATGCTTCACCAAAATTGGTGTAGTCCTAAAATGTCTGCATAAGGACCCATTATTGTTTACTTTTCTTCAAAAGAATAATTTGCATATATCAGCTTCTTTACCTTTAATCTCATCTTCAAATATTTCCTGCCATGTATTATGGAAGCAGGTGTGTGTCGGTTTTCCTTCAACTTGTTAGGTGGTCTCTAGATCCACACGTCATCCAGATGCTCTCTTTTGCCATAGAACTCTGCTCTCAATTCTTCATGATAGATCCATGATGCCTTCATCATCAGGATGAGCCTTGTCAGAAAGCTCCTTGCGTTGGAAGGATGGTGACTTTGTTCTTCTCCTCCAGGTCTCAGGAGAAGGAGAACTTAGAGGATCCTCCTGTGGCTTTTCCTCCTGCGCTGAAGTGGAGGATCTGGGACGTCTGTGATATGAGTCTCTTCCTGGAGGGAGTTATGAAGAAATTCAGAGGTCATAAAGAAGGGCTGAAAATATTTTATACTGGATATTTGAAATTGTTCATGAAAGGCTCCAAGTCATTAGCAGTGCCAGGAAAATGACAGGGGTGACCTGGGGTGATTATGCACAATCCCCAGGAATGTAAGCCTCCCTCAAGTGGTGAGTTTCTGTAAAAAGTTGTACTTGACCTCTGCACATCTCTCAGCCAGACTTTGGGTGCTTTCACACATCTCACTTTTGGGGCATTTCTCCTGTTCCTTTGGCCCTGAGATTGATGTAAGGGGTGCAGGAGGGAGGGGGGCTGTCCAGGAACCAGCCAGGAGCAGAGGGGACTGGGGCTGAGGCCTCCCGTCCTGGAACAGGGGTGTCTGGACCTTGTTGTTGATGGGGAGATCTTCTGGGGGTCTTGCTCCTCCTCCCAAGATTTGGGCAGGACTGACCTTTGATATCACCCCTGCCCTGGTTATGCAGGGATAGCCAGTATGGAGACCTTCAAATAGTTTTAACTTCAACTCCCATAATCTCCAGCCGGCGTGGCCAGTGGTTAGGGATGATGGGACTTGTAGTCCACAACACCTGGCTACTATCTCATGAGCTCATTTTGTTCATTCCAGGTTTGTTGTTTGAATGATGTTGTGGTGCTAATTCTATGTTCTCTTTTCTCTCCCAGACACTGTGGAATATGGACTGCAGCTGCGAAAAGGTACATTTCCGGGTCAAGCAGAGACACTAATTCAGGAGAGATGGGATCTACTTCTCAAAAGACCAGGCCGCTGCAGCTCTTCCATCCATGCCTTATTTCCCCTTATTTCCCAGAGGCATCTGTTCCGTGAGAGCAGCTTGCTGGGCTAGAGGGGTTCTTGGCCTGATCCTGCAGACTCTTAGGAAGCCCCCAGCCCAGGATGGCTGGCTTTTCTGTGCCAAATCTCCATAAGACACAGGGGTGGTGTGAAGCCAAAGGCTCCCGGCACATGAGGGGGAAATATCCCTTTGAGCCATACAGGGTCCCCACCCCTTTTATGTAAGAGTGGGAAATGCATGAACACAAATAGCTCAGAAAATGGCTGCAACAGCCTTTGGGGGCGAGAAATTAAACGGGTTCTGGTGTCAGTGGAGGGAGCTGGGGGCTGCCTGAGTGTGAACTCCAGTGGTTCAGCGTCCCTGCAAGATGGGGGTCTTGTATTGGAGGGGAGACATGGCTTCTCTGCTTAAACTAGAGAAACCTGAATAAACTTAAAAGAGCAGGGCAGAATTGCACCACAGACCAGGGGAAAAGGCTCTGTGGGAAGACAGAAGTCTAGTCTGGCCTGATCCTGGACACCACAAAAAGGGAATCATAAGAGCTGGAAAAGGTGCTGTAGATGGCAGCATAAAGGAAACTCTTACTATCTTTTAAAAAAAATTCTGGGATTCTTCTAGACAACAGCAGTGAGTAAAATGCATAAAGGTTAATCAAGACAATAAGAAACAAGAAAAACCCATTACATAAAAAAAAGACTAATAGCAGCACTGGCAACATCCCACATCAGACTTAATCTCCAAAGGCCACTGTGCAAATGTGTGTCTGTAAAAAGAAATCACTTGACTAACCGGGGTGGGGGGGTGGGGGAACGACGGCACTTCAGAGCAGATCTTCTTTCTAATGTCCACCAGCCTGACCAAGTTTAAATAGGCTTCTCATTGTGCTTCTACAGCCCACTTTTCCCATAAATGTGAGGAACAGGGAAGAAAAAGATGAATCATATAGCCAATCAGGTCTGGGGAGACAGGATGGGGTCTTTGCGTTGAAGGTGACAGGTGGGAATGGCACTTCCTAGGTTTTACTGGGTTTGGCTTTAACACACACACACACACAAAATGTAATAGATGTCAATTTGAAAGAAAGAATTATCCATTTTCAGCATCGCTCTTACCAAACCGAAAGCGATAATCAAGTTAGTTCTTGGCTGACTGCTCATACTTTGACCAAAGGCCCACACTGCAGAACATGGGAGGGAGTCCCTCAGAAGGTGGTGGACTCTCCTTCCTTGGAGGTTTTTAAGCAGAGGTTGGGTGGCCCCCTGTGGTGGGTGCTTTAATTCAGATTTCTGCATTGCAGGGGGTTGGACTAGATGACCCTTGGGGTCCCTCCCAACTCTACAATCATACGATGGGCTTTCAAGAATCCCAAGCAGGACATTTCACACAAGGGGGTTCCTGGTAGCCTAACCACTTTCTTGCTTTTTCTAAACTACCTGGAAGGATTAAACATTAAACTGGTTAGAAAAGAGCGAGAGCATTTGCTGCCAGTTTTACCTGGTATGTCAAGCATGGTCTGTGATGTGAAGTAGAAGATTAAGATGTGAATTAGGGAGTCCCTGCTTTGACTCCCTTCTGCCATGAACTGTCGGGGTGGGGGTGGCCTTAGACAAGCCACTGCCTCTCAGCCTCAGTTTTCCCATCTGAAAAATGGGCATAGTAAGATTGACTCAACTTACAGGGTCTTTGCAACGGTTCTATGCAGATAATGTGTGCTAAGTACTTCATACCCTTGGAAGAACTGCAGATGTTTCAAGAAGCATTTTTAAGAACTTGATGGACATCCCTGTCTCCAATGCAAAGCCATGGAGTCCCTGTTCATTTCAGAGGGGATGCTATTTCTGTCATGTGCCTAAAGAAAAGTCAGCTTTTCAGTTGAGGTCGTTTCTCTTCTCTTTCCTCATCTGCCCCCACAGAAAATGTAACTTTGGATCCAGACACAGCAAATCCCTACCTCATCCTGTCTGAGGATCGAAAGAGTGTGAGAGAGGGAGACTTCTATCAAGACCTGCCAGACAACCCTGAGAGATTTGACACACATGGCTTTGTGCTGGGATGTGAGGGTTTTACATCAGGCAGACATTTCTGGGAGGTCACTGTGGGAAGAGAGGAGGGGTGGGGGGTGGGGGTTGCCAGAAAGTCTGTGAAGAGGAAGGGTGTTGTGTCTTTTGATGCTACGGAGGGGATCTGGTGTTTCGGGAACTGGGTCTTTGGGTACGACCCCCTTGAGGCCCCTGTTCCAAGTGAGGAGCCCAAGAGGATCCGAGTGGCCCTGAACTGTGAGGGGGGACAGATGTCCTTTTACGATGCTGATACAGCAGCCCTCCTCTACACGTTCCCTGCAGCCTCCTTCTCAAGAGAGACCCTCCAGCCCTTGTTTTACGTGAGGAAGAACGAGAACCTGAGACTCTCTTGACTGATGGTGCCGACAGGCAAGCGTATATTCATTGCCATTATGACATATTCAGTCTTCCCTTCAAGATTGAGCTTACAAGCACTTGAGAAATCATATTTGCAGAACTGTGATTGGCCATCCCTCTCTATTCCTGGGCCAGCTTCTTAAATGACACTGATTGATTGGGTCCCCTTTCAATCCCCAAACATAGGAAAAACATAGGAACATAGGAACTAACCCTACACACATTCCTGTTTCAATGTAGTTCTCTCTCTAACCCCCAACTCTGACTTAAGATTTCTAGAGAAAATACTGTCATTTTTTCCTGAATAAAATCAGAATTATGCAAAGAGCATCACTTAAAACCTTTCTCAGCCTCAATCCTGTTCTCAGATTCCCCTTTCCTCCTCCAAGATCTCCACTGGCCAGGGAGATGGAAGTTTCAAAATCCCTCTTTTTTGCTGCTCCTCAGGGAAGCTTATGTGGCAATTCAGCAAAATCTCCATATCCAAAGAGACCTGTTTGCTAGTTGAGTACAGATTGCACCCTGGAACCATTCCTCAAAACAAATTAATAAATAGAAAGAACATGAGAGACCTCATGGGTGGGGGGGCATTGGCAGTGGGGAAAAGAATTTCTAAGTCCACCTTGCTTCCCGGCCTCTAGAAAGGTCAAGATCTCTGGCTTCGGACAAGTAAGGATGGTTGCTTGGGGGGCATTTTCGAGGGTCTTCCTGACTTATTCAATATTGCCCTTGCATGCACAAAGAGTCGGACACGCCTAAACAACAGCAAAAATGCTGACCCCAGGAAGGTAACCCCCCACGTAGGTCTTGGGCCTCGAGGTAACAAAATCCTCTCTGACAATGAAGAGCCTCTGTCAGAGGTTCTGAATGACAATCTAGACTAGAGAATGTTAGGGGGTGGGGGTAGATTCCCATGTATACAATTATTTTCTCCAAGGTGCTTCGTAGTGAATAGTCAGATTGTTGTTGTTTGTTGTTTAGTCGTGTCCGACTCTTCGTGACCCCATGGACCACAGCACGCCAGGCACTCCTATCTTCCACAGCCTCCCGCAGTTTGGTCAAACATGTTGTGTCCCCCCCCGCCAAGTTTTTAGGCAATCTATGGGTCTGAGGATACCCACCCACCAACAGGTTTTTACTGTTTTCCCCGTGACGCCTCATCCCTTCCGCTCTAGACTGGACATCTCCAACTCCACAGAAATCCTGCCCTGTTCAAAGGAAAGTATGGTGTGGGAGACAGGGGGGGAAGGATCAGGGACCCACAGCAGAGGCAGGTGGGGGGTGTTACGTGTGCCAGGCCTCCCTCCGACCTGAGGAACCGATATCCTATCAGCCAGCCCTGAGGACCATGACTACTGAGGTTCATGCTAGATTGCCTGTTAATAAAGTTCCTCTCCTCCATTACTTGATTGTGGGTGAGGAGGCCAGTCTGGTCTGTATTCCTGAGACCTGGATGGGTAAACAAGGTGGAGTTGGTCTGGCCCAGTTGTGCCCACCTGGGTACTCAGTGCAGGATCAGGGCAGACTTGAGAGCCAGCAAGTGGGGGGGTTGCTGTGGTCTAGAGAGATTCCTCTTTCTCTCTCCAGATGAATGGGGATCTACAGTGTTCGTTCCTGGCACTGGGTAATTAATTGGGACAGATTTGGGATTCTGCTGGCTGCTTCACTTCCCAGCAGTCCCCCTGCCTGAGTGGCAGAGCCAGTCTCGGTGGCAGCGTTGAGGGCTCCCAGACTGCTGCATCTGGGGGGGACATCCATGTTGAGGCGACTGACTCTGGGGGTGGCGGCTCAGGAATTCATGGCTGCCTTGACCAACTATACAGAACCAATAAAACAACAAAAAACAAGAACAGAACAATTATACAAAAATTAATCCCCAACCAAGTATCCATCCCACCCGCCCACCCCCAACAAGGGAAAAAAGAAATAAAAATTTAAATTGCCACCGACTGCTTGAGGACATTTTAAAACACATTAACCGCTTGGAACAGGGAAGCAATGGCAGAACACTTCCCCAAAAGTTTGTTCCAAATAAGGGCCTGGGCCATGCCCCCTGGGCCAGTTGGAAAGGCCTTGGAAGGAAGAAGAAGAAGAAGAAGAAGAAGAAGAAGAAGAAGAAGAAGAAGAAGAAGAGTTTGGATTTGATATCCCGCTTTATCACTACCCGAAGGAGTCTCAAAGTGGCTCACATTCTCCTTTCCCTTCCTCCCCCACAACAAACACTCTGTGAGGTGAGTGGGGCTGAGAGACTTCAGAGAAGTGTGACTGGCCCAAGGTCACCCAGCAGCTGCATGTGGAGGAGCGGGGAAGCGAACCCGGTTCCCCAGATTACGAGTCCACTGCTCTTAACCGCTACACCACACAGTCCTCCCCACAGCCGATGGTCCGAGGCCTCACTGCAGCAGGAGTCCCTTTATAGCTGGGAGAGAGGGCCTGGGCCAGTTGGAAAAGGCCTTGGAAGGGAGCAGGCCCAAATTAGACCCAAATTAAGAAGAGTGCCCTCACCTCAGCATGGATCAAATGAAATGTCAGAGAAAAATGTTCAGAGCATCGACACTGAAATTTTTTTAAAACACTGATTTGAAAAGAATTTTATGAGGAATGTGTCAACCACCGAACAAGAATAATTCAGCAGTATAGTGGTACCTTGGGTTACATACGCTTCAGGTTACAGACTCCGCTAACCCAGAAATAATACCTTGGGTTAAGAACTTTGTTTCAGGATGAGAACAGAAATCGTGCTTTGGCGGCACAGCAGCAGCAGGAGGCCCCATTAGCTAAAGTGGTGCTTCAGGTTAAGAACAGTTTCAGGTTAAGAACGGACCTCCAGAATGAATTAAGTACTTAACCTGAGGTACCACTGTATATAAAGATTAAAAAATCACAAGTAAAAAGAGAGAGAACTCTTCCCCTCACCAAAAAATAAAAAAGAAAGATAAATGATTCCGTCCATGTTAATTTTTCTGAGAGGATGGACAGACTGGAGATGGGATCAGTGGATGTAAAAAAAGCGGGAAGAAGCTGGACCTGAAAACAGCTTTAAAATTCCCCAGGTCAGTGGCTGCTGAGGGGTCTCCAATTGTCCCATGAGAATGAGCATCGTAGTGGAGGGTTGGGCTGTGATGCTCCTTGGAGGCTGAACATTGTGCCCTGAAGCTGGAAAGATTTAAAAATGAATTTCCATATCAAAGACTTAAATCCACTTAAATCCACTTCTCAAAGGCAGCAGAGATCCTGAGTCACCCTGCTTGGGTGGGGCAAGCAATATGCCAGATCTCCTTTCTAACTCCACATCTGCAGTGCAAGGAAATTTTGAGTCACCCCCTGGAAAGGAAATGGAAACACATCCATTCGCGCGCGAAAAGCAAAGAAAAGTGATCCAAGCTCTCTCTTCCTGGTGAGGCAGCAGCCATGGCTGCTTCTGGAGGTCCCGTGCAGGATCTCTGCGAGGAAGCCACTTGCCCCATCTGCCTGGAGTATTTCAGGGATCCGGTGATCATCCCGGAGTGCGGGCACAACTTCTGCCGAGCCTGCCTGATCCAGTGCTGGGGGGAATCCGAGGGAGAGGCTTCCTGCCCTCATTGCAGAGAAATCATTCAGCACAGGAACCTCATCCCCAATCGGCCGCTGAAAAATGTTGTGGAAATACTAGTAGCCGAGAAAGTCTCCCTTCCAGGGGAAAAGGGGGCAGAAGGAAAAGGAAAGGTCTGCGAGAAGCACCAGGAGCCCCTGAAGCTCTTCTGCAAGGAGGAGGAAAGCCCCATCTGTGTGGTGTGTGACAGATCCAAGGAGCACAAGAAACATGAGGTGATTCCTCTGGAAGAGGCGTCCCAGGAGTACAAGGTAGGAAAATGCAGTGGGTCTCGATTTGGGGTGCAGTGGGGAGACATAGGTGTGCACAAGGGAGACTTGAAACAAAATGTTTTACTACACACACACACACGCCAGACAAGAGAAAATCTCCAGTAAGAGATCCTGGGCTGCTTCACAGGGGCCAAATTCTGGGATGCCGAAGGGTGACCCAAGCATACTACAGTGGTACCTCGGGTTAAGTAATTAATTCATTCCGGAGGTCCGTACTTAACCTGAAACTGTTCTTAACCTGAAGCACCACTTTAGCTAATGGGGCCTCCTGCTGCTGCTGCGCCATCGCTGCACGATTTCTGTTCTCATCCTGAAGCAAAGTTCTTAACCTGCGGCACTATTTCTAGGTTAGCGGAGTCTGTAACCTGAAGCGTACGTAACCTGAAGCGTATGTAACCCGAGGTACCACTGTATTTAACTTGCCTATTATCGGTATACTAAAACGTTTGTTTTTAAAGAAAGGAACCAAACTGTTTTCTCTTCAGGATCAACTCTGCAGCTGGATAGAAATTCTGAAGAAGGAGACGTGGGAAACTCTGGCAGTTAAAGCAGACTTTGAGAAGGAAAGCCAAGACCTGCTTGTAAGTGTTGCTCTTCCCGGGGTGTGGAAAAGTGCCATATATTTCAGAATCGCTGTCTGAAATCCAGAAAGGGGTGTATGTGTGTGAGAGAGAGGGGGGTGTTATCTAATGCACCCCCTTACTATTTATAATGGCCTGATTGCCCAAAGAACATGAAATAGCATGGGGTGAGGGGTGATTGTAAGCTTGCTTCTGAATATTGGTGCGAATGTCAGATGTGCCCTTCCAAAGGAATTCTCAAAACCGATCGCTTGAGTCTGCAAAGCCTCACTCTTGGTTCCTGAGACTCACCCGCGGTTCTCACCTTTTCACTTTACAGTGGTACCTCGGGTTAAGAACTTAATTCGTTCTGGAGGTCCGTTCGTAACCTGAAACTGTTCTTAACCTGAGGTACCACTTTAGCTAATGGGGCCTCCCGCTGTCACCGCGTGTTTTCTGTTCTCATCCTGAGGTAAAGTTCTTAACCCGAGGTACTATTTCTGGGTTAGCGGAGTCTGTAACCTGTAACCTGAAGCGTCTGTAACCCGAGGTACCACTGTATTTGCTGCAGAAACGAACAGAAGCAGAGAGGGAAAAGATGGTGGCTGAGTTCCGACGGCTACGACAGTTTCTGGAAGCACTAGAGAAAAATCTCCTGGCCCGGATGGCAGAGGTGGAGAAGGAGATTGCCAGGAAAAGCGAGGAGCACCTGGCCAGGCTCTCAGAGAAGCTCTCCTCTCTTGAAAACCGCATCAAGGTGATGCAGGAGAAGTTTCAGCAGCCAGCCAGCCAACTCCTGCAGGTAAAGTCTGGTTCTGAAGTGATAGAGTGGAGTGTACCAATTCACATTACAAACAGGGAGATGCCATTTTTGAAATCTCCCCCACCCACATAAAGCCAATCAGGGGAGGAAGCCTGAACTGGTACACATTATCCTAGCCTTCAACACTTTCCAGCCTGAAACTCACTTTTAAACCAAACATGCATTTTTTTAAAAAAAACAACAAAACCTGCCCCTGCATAAATGGCTGTACTTTGCCATTTGATTCACTTATCTTACGATTATCGATGTGTGTGTGTTTAATGGGGAAGGTTTGGTTTTGCACTTGGCCTATATATATATATATCTATATATATATATATATATCTGCTTCAGTTGTTGAGCGTTTGAAATAGACCCACTCCATGTTACACAGGGAAATGTCTTCACTGAATCTCCCTTTTTATTTCCCTCTAGGATATCAGAAGCTTCTTACAGAGGTAAGCACAAAGATCACCTAGGATCACTGCCGGGGAGCAGACCCAACTCAGGCGTAGGAAACTATAGGAATATGTTAAGGAGGAGAGTGAAACAACAGTGACCTTACTATATAGTGGTCATGGGAGATTTCAACTTCCCCCATATCTGTCGGAACTCAAACGCTGCCAAGAAATTAAGGTCCCCCAAATTCCTCCATTGTCTTGCTGACAATTTCGTTGTCCTCACCAGCAAGGAGGAACTGATCTGTTCTGTGATGCTAGGATTCTAATTAAGATTCCACACCTACATAGAACTGCAGAGTTGAAAGGGACCCTGAGGGTCACCCAGTCCAGCCCCTGCAATGCAGAAATCTCAACTAACTCATATAGTACATATAGGCCATCCAACCTCTGCTTAAAAATCTCCAAGGAGGGAGAGTCCACCACCTCCTGAGGGAGTCTGTTCTGCTGTTGTGCAGCTCTTACTGCCAGAAAGTTCTTCCTTAGTTGGAAACTCCTTTCTTGTAATTTGAAGCCAGTGTGGTGTGGGAGCCAGTGTGGTGTAGTGGTTAAGAGCGGTAGACTCGTAATCTGGGGAACCGGGTTTGCTTCCCCGCTCCTCCACATGCAGCTGCTGGGTGACCTTGGGCCAGTCACACTTCTCTGAAGTCTCTCAGCCTCACTCACCTCACAGAGTGTTTGTTGTGGGAGAAGAAGGGAAAGGAGAATGTTAGTCACTTTAAGACTCCTTAGGTAAAGGTAAAGGGACCTCTGACCATTAGGTCCAGTCGTGACCGACTCTGGGGTTGCGGCGCTCATCTCGCTTTATTGGCCAAGGGGGCCAGCATACAGCTTCTGGGTCATGTGGCCAGCATGACTAAGCCGCTTCTGGCGAACCAGAGCAGCGCATGGAAACGCCGTTTACCTTCCCGCCGGAGCGGTACCTATTTATCTACTTGAACTTTGACGTGCTTTTGAACTGCTAGGTTGGCAGGAGCAGGGACCGAGCAACGGGAGCTCACCCGTTGCGGGAATTCGAACCGCTGACCTTCTGATCGGCAAGTCCTAGGCTCTGTGGTTTAACCCACAGCGGCACCCACATCCCTTTGAGACTCCTTAGGGTAGTGATAAAGCGGGATATCAAATCCAAACTCCTCCTCCTCCTCCTCCTCCTCTTCTTCTTCTTCTTGTCTTACCCTCCAGAGCAGGAGGAAACAAGTTTCCTCCATCTTCCATGTGTCAGCCCTTTAGATATTTGAAGATATCCTCTCAGTCTCATCTTTACCGGGTTAAACATGCCCAACTCCTGCGACCGTTCCTCATAAGGCACGTGGCTTTACAGAGAGCTACTCTTCATTGGAAGGATGGTGGGTTGATGATGATCTTCTCCCCCAGGTCTCGGGCAAAGCAGAACTTGCAGGATCCTCCTGTGGCTTTTCCTCCTGCCCTGAAGTGGAGGATCTGGGACTTCTGCGATATAAACCCCTTCCTGGAGGGTGTTATGAAAAAATTCACAGGTAATGAAAAAGAGCTGCAAGGTTCATGTTAAAAATTGTGCACGAATGCTTCGAGGTCATTTGCAATGTGAGCAAGGCTGGGAAATAGAATAATTAGGCAATGAAAAGGCAAAAATATTGAACTGCAGAAAGGGCTCGGCTCAAACATAGTCTGGACAACTGCATCCTGCTCATTTGTAGATGCTATGGACTTCAGCATCCAGCCTTGTTAAACAGTGGGATGGGGGAATGATTTCACATCGTCCCAACTCTGGGTCCCTCTAGCTCAATATTGTCTACAGTGATGCTCTCCAGGAGTTCAGGCAAGAGGCGTTTCCATCCCTCCCTGGATAGGCCAGGGACTGACCCTGGAACCTGGAATGGCTGAAGATAAGGCCATCCTCCAATGGCAGCAGGCCTTAACTCCCCACTCAAAAACCTGGGAATTCAATCCACCCTCTCTGTCTGGGGAGCTGAATTTGCAGCCAAAAAAGGGGACAGCTGAGACTCGTTCTCCACTTCCCAGGATCAGGAAGCTTCAGCTGAGATTTGGCAGCTCCTCAAGGTTTCTGGGGAGATCTATGAGTGGGGGTCCCTGTTCTTCCAAGCAGACATAAGCTTGTTGGTCCAGGCACCGCCCCTGCCCTGACGTATGCAGGGAGAATCAACATGGTGGCTTGCCAATGTTTTTGCCCACAACTCCCATCATCCCCAGCCAGCATGGTCCGTTCCTAGGAATGATGGGACTTGCAGTCCATAACATCTGGAGGGCACCATGTTGGCCACCCCGAGCTATAATGCTGTGAGCTCGTTGAATTGTAGGGGACCTTTTGCCAAATGCAAAAGGGTTCATTCTTAATGGATATTTGAAGTAACGACAAACCACTGGTGGAGCAGAAAGTCTGGATTTATTGAGCAAAAATAGGACTTTAGACCCACATACAAAAATGCAAATCCTCACCCAAGGTCAAAAAGGCAGGCAATCAACAATCTGTTAACACAGAGGAGCTAAACAGCCAACAAACAGCCACATCTCCCTCTTTACAAGGGCACAGTACTAGGCTACCGGTAGAATCCCTCCTTCCAGCTGTAGGGAGGCCCAAGGACGAGCTTAGGTCAGTATTGAATGAAAGGTTAATTGCACAAGGCCAGCTCCAGCTCCTAAATCACAATTCTTCCGCATTTCCACTAAAGGGTCATCTAGTCCAACCCCTTGCAAAGCAGGAATTTTTTGCCCAACATGGGTCTTGAACCCGTGACCTTGAGATTAAGAGTCTCGCGCTCTACTGATGGAGCTACCAAGGCTCATGTTATCATTACCAGATTTCTGACCAGGAATGGTGGTGTGGCACTGAGTCTATGTTCCCCTTTCCTTCTCCAGAATCTCTGCGGTCAGGACTTCAGCTGAGAAAAGGTAAATTTCCAAGTCTGTTTGGGGTGAAGAGCTCCAAGAGGTCTCCTTGAGAAGGGGGTCATTGGAGACGCATTTCACGTTCTCATATCTGTGTCCGTTCACCAATAAAGACTGGCAGAACATAGGTGGTGGCAGCAAACAGCTTAAACGATCCAGCAGGTGGATCCACTGCCCCACATCAGAGAGATCTCTCCCCATTTGCTTTAAGCTCAAAGAACCCAAATTCTGTTGTGTGTCCTCTTCTGCCTGTGACTCACTCAGCTATGTGTTTTTCTTCATGCACAGACAATAAGATTATATCCTCCTTAGCCATGAGTCCAGACATGTTCCCTTTCAAGACCTCTCAGATGTTTCTTTGTTATTTTGTCAGGGATGTTTTTAACCAAAAAAGGAAGGCGACAACTCTGCTGGGGCTGGAGCTCCATTAACTCCTCCTAATCTAACTCCTAATGGGATGTGGGTGGCACTGTGAGTTAAACCACAGAGCTTAGGACTTGCCAATCAGAAGGTCGGCGGTTCGAATCCCCGCGACGGGGTGAGCTCCCATTGCTCGGTCCCAGCTCCTGCCAGTTCGAAAGCACGTCAAAGTGCAAGTAGATAAACAGGCGGGAAGGTAAACGGCGTTTCCGTGCGGTGCTCTGGTTCGTCAGAAGCGGTTTATTCATGCTGGCCACATGACCCGGAAGTTGTACGCCGGCTCCCTGAGCCAATAAAGCGAGATGAGTGCCGCAACCCCAGAGTCGGCCACAACTGGACCTAATGGTCAGGGGTCTCTTTACCTTTACCATTAACTCCTAATCTCATAAAATGAGGGAGGCAGTGCAGGATGTGGAGACAGAAACCTGGTCTTGTCCTGGACATTTTATCCTGGACATTTTAGGAGCAGGTGGGTAGTAGTGTAGCAGGGCTGGGTGATATATCAATATATTGTCCAAAACTGGTTTGAAATCCATATTGTGCTAATCGGTTTTGTAATTTTTGACCTGGTAATATATCACGAATCACGATGTGTGTATGTGTGTTATGCAAAAAACACAGGGAAGGAAAAGCCGGGAAGCCAGCCAATGCTTCTTTCACTTCCGGCTGCCTCTGTTAACTCTGCCAGCTCAAACACTCCTTTGCCTCATGTAGGGGGCAGCGAATCTCAAGAGTGGGTGCCAGCAAAAATCGCGATGTGGGAAAAACCGTGAAGCCAGCTCAAGCTCCATCCTTATTTCAGACATTGTGATATATCAGTATATTGCAATGTTTAGCTGGTGATATATCGTGACCTTGAAAACCAGGTACAGTGGTACCTTGCTTCTCAAACTTAATCCGTTCCAGAGGTCCATTCCAAAACCAAGGCGCGCTTTCTCATAGAAAGTAATGCAAAATGGATTCATCCGTTCCAGACAGAACAACCGCTAAAACAGCAATTTAACATGAATTATACTCTCTAACAAGACCATTGATCCATAAAATGAAAGCAATAATCAATGTACTGTACAATAAAATAAAAAAGACAGTATTGTAGATAATAAAATATATATATATATCTTACCTGCACTGATGATAGTAATTGTTTGGATGGGGGGCTTTTTAAAATCCATTTCTGCAGTCACACAATCAATCAATCAGTAGCTGAACTGTGTTCCGCACAGTCACAAGAACAAATTAACCAAAAAAAGCCTTTAAAAAAAAAACCAACGCAAAATAAATAGCAAAAACAAAAGCGCCAAACTTAATCCATTCCGGAAGTTCGTTTGACTTCTGAAATGTTCAAAAACCAAGGCGCAGCTTCTGGTTGGTGCACAGGGCCATCTTAAGCATATCCGGCACTGTGGTGCAAAGATTCCCCCCCCCAAAGTTGTTGACCTTTTTCAGGGGGGAACCCCAAAGTTGTTGACCTTTTTTTAGGGGGCTGACACCACACATACACATTATTATCTCTGCTTGGGAAAAGAAAACAGGAAACCTAAACAAAGAACCAGTAAACAGTTAGGATGCAGCTTAACTGCGTATCAGAAAGGCACCCAGCCAATTTGGTTGCCAGTAAATATTCCTGCAGGCATTTCTGAGATCATGGTCTTTCCAACAAGTGGCTTTGTTAATTGTCTTACTTTAAATGTTGTGATGATCCTATGCCCTTTTAAAATGTGGTTTTGGGGAGTGAGGGGGTTATTAGGGTTGTTGTTCTTATTTTGATTATGTATTTTGTGGTTTTATATTTTGATTTTATCGCCCAGCCCTACAGTGCAGCTGCCCCCAGGAGCCTGCTGGCCTGAGTCAACTGCCTCACCATGCCTCTTGGGTGGGCCGGCATTGAAGTCTTGTTGACAAAATAAGGAAGCGCTTTCCTCTGCCATATGTTTAGACTTAATCCAATCTCCCGGCTGACGTTGCTGGTCTTCTCTTTCCTCCCCTGACCCCCCCCCCCCTCTGCAGAAAACGTAACTTTGGATCCAGGCACAGCCCATTCCCTGCTCATTCTGTCTGCAGATCTTAAGAGTGTGAGGAAGGGAGAAAGGCATCAAGACATACTAAACAACCCAAAGAGATTCGACTACCAATACTACGTGCTGGGACATGAGGCGTTCAGGGAAGGCAGACATTTCTGGGAAGTGGCTGTGGGGAGCGAGGGGGAATGGGCAGTGGGGGTGGCCAGAGAGTCTGTGAAGAGGAAAGGCGAGTTCATCCCGGGTCCTAAGGAAGGTTTCTGGCGCATAGGGAAGTGGAGTGATCAATACAGGGTCTCCACCCGCAATGGACACCCTGTTTCAATTCTGGGTGGGGAGCCCAAGAGGATCCGAGTGGCCCTGAACTGTGAAGGGGGACGGGTGTCCTTTTACAATGCAGATACAGCAGCCCTTCTCCACTCATTCTCAGAAGCCTCTTTCTCTGGAGAGACCCTCCAGCCCTTCTTTTACGTGAGCAAGAAAGGCATACTGAAACTCTCTGCCTAAGGGTGGAGACAGATGGGCATAAACTCACTGCATTGATAAACCTTTCTCCCTGGCAGTGGGCAGGCTTTGGCAACCTTTAGTAACCTGGTGCCCTAAGCAAGGTCAAAATCTGCCAACCCCAAATGGTTTTTCTCAGTCGCAGGCATTCTCAATTTTGCGCCCCCTTCAGCTCAGTGTCCTGTTCAGGGGAACCACCCACACCACCCTAAATGCAGGATCAAACCCACAAGGTTACTTCCGCCCTGAGGAGCCATAGGTTGCTGCAGAATGATTGGCTGGCCCATGTGGCATTCACGATGCCACGCCTCCTTTTCAGCCCAGTTCTGTACAAGGGGTGCTACCCAACTGAGCAGACCCTTTGCATTGTTTGACAAACTCGGCCATGTTTATTAACTTTGAAGGGTATACTCTGAATAGGACTAGCTTTGGGCACCACCCACAGCAATGATTTTGGCTGGCTCTTGGGTCAATCCAGAAGACTGTCAAAAGCATTTTAGTGCCAACTTCTCCTAATAAACACATGCCTGTATGCAGTTTTGACCAATGTGCACATTCCCCACCACCACCAATATATTTCTCCTACCATAATGCATCTTTGTATGTTATTTTCACAACAATATTCATTTTCACGCTGCCAGTTTTTTGAGCACTTTCACCCAATAAACGTATTATTGTGAGCATAGGTTTGGCTTGGGAAATGGCATTGCAATATTTGGATAAATGCACATTTCAATGGATAGCTATGTTATAGGTTGTCAGGTTGCTATTGGAATGTGTGGATCAGAGTGATTCAGTTTTCAGTATGTTCTTTGTTAATTATTTTTTAAAACACATTTTTATTTTTATTAAAGATTTGTTGGTTTACAAAAGTATGCGCAATGTCTATTTTTTCAAGTTACGTTTTCTACAGATCAGTTTCATTTGTTGAGACATTAGTGTTACATTAGGAAGAAAAGGGAGAAAGAGGTGGAGGGGGCATGGTGAGTGGGGGTGGGGTGGAAAAGCTTCCATTCTACTTAGTGTATGTGTGGGGTTTTGTGTCAGCGTCGCTTGTGCAGGTTCTCTTTACTATTCACTCGTACAGTGGTACCTCTGTTTGCGAACGCTTCTGGTTACGCACGCTTCGGGTAATGAGCTCTGCTAACCCAGAAGTACGTGCTCCTGGAAGCAAACTTTGCCTCCAAATGCAAGCCGAAATTGCGCACCAGAGGTGCATGCGCAGCAGGAGACGCCATTAGCGAAAGCGTTCCTCAGGTTGAGAATGGTTTCCGGTTACGAACGGACCTCCGGAACGGATTACGTTCGTGACTGGAGGTACCACTGTATTCCTTTGGTGGTAAGGGAGGTTGGGGTTGGCCTAGGGGGATTAAGGAGGCAGAGGAAATATTTACAGTGGTACCTCTGGTTGCGAATGGGATCCGTTCTGGAGGCCCCTTCGCAACATGAAAAGAACACAACCCACAACCGTGCATCTGCACACGTGCGGGTTGCGATTCGCCGCTTCTGCGCATGTGCGAGATGTCATTTTGCACATCTGCGCATACGCGAGCAACAAAACCCAGAAGTAACCCTTTCCGGTACTTTCAGATCACCGCAGGACATAACCTGGAAGAACGTAACATGAAGCGGACATAACATGAGGTATAGCTGTATTTTTTTTTAGGAGAGCCAATATGACTTCTGGATTGCTCTCATGTACTGTTTTAGACATGTGGTTTATATACTTATGTGTGTTTATCTTGTGCAATTATCAACAATTATTCTATATTTGAGACGTTAGAATTCCTGTAACACGTGGCACCTAAAGCTATATAATGATGGTGCCAGATGAGCCTTTGAGGAGAGCATTCCACAAGTGGGAATTGGCTCAACACGGGGATGTCGCCTACCATCATTCAATGTGTGTGTGTGTGCGTGCGTTGGGATATCTGATGGGTTTGGGACTTTGGAATTGGAAAACCTGCTTTTAAAAGTCCTGCTCCACTGAATATCAAAGGTAATGCCGAGCCGGTAAAAAATTCTGCCATCATCGTGTACAGAAAATTCCTTTTTGTTGTTGTTGTTGTTTAGTTGTTTAGTCGTGTCCGACTCTTCGTGACCGCATGGACCAGAGCACGCCAGGCACTCCTGTCTTCCACTGCCTCCCGCAGTTTGGTCAAACTCATGCTGGTAGCTTCGAGTATTGCAATTTTACATATTTCCTGCAAACACCCCTGCTTACACAGAGCTGCATTTCTGCGTTATCTTCAACCAGGGAACAGAAAGCTATCCAAGTGGAACTTGGGTGACCTCTACTGGCACGTGGAGAATTAAGTGTTGGAAAGCATGAGGAGAAAAATGGCTATCTGCCACCAGATGAATGATGAAGACCTTCCGATCAGCAAGCCCAAGAGGCTCAGTAGTTTAGACCACAGCGCCACCCGCATTTTACCATTTTTGTGCATGGGCAGTGCTGCTTTGGCTACCTAAGTGCAACAATACTCACAGCCCGGACACAGGTTATGGAGGCAATGATATGCTTTTTGTGGACTAGACTCCAGTTCATCAAATGCATGAAACAACTGGAATATTTCTAGCGTGCCTGGAATAATCCTACACAAAATGGAATGATAGTCATCCCCTCTCCCTTACGTCCATAAAGATCATATTAAGATAGCACTTGTAGCTATGCATGTAGCTATACATTTAAAGTACAGTGGTACCTTGGGTTAAGTACTTAATTTGTTCTGGAGGTCAGTACTTAACCTGAAACTGTTCTTAACCTGAAGCACCACTTTAGCTAATGGGGCCTCCTGCTGCCGCCGCCAGAGCCCAATTTCTGTTCTTATCCTGAAGCAAAGTTCTTAACCTGAAGCACTATTCCGTTCCTATTCTGTTCTGTCCTGAAGCAAAATTCTTAACCTGAACCACTATTTCTGGGTTAGCGGAGTGTGTAACCTGAAGCGTATGTAACCCGAGGTACCACTGTACATTCTTATTATTAAATGTATATACTGTCCTTCATAAAAAGACTACAGAGATATTTACAGCATAGAGCACAAATGTCAAGATGTAATATCTGTACAATATGAACAAGACAAGTCGCCCAAGACTCTGAATTGTGCCTCAAAACAAACTGTCAATCAGGCAGCCGAAGGGCTTGTCTCCTGAGTGAGTTTTATTTATTTTATAATTTCTATACCACCCTTCATCTGAGGAACACAGGGCAGTTTACAACATAAAAACACAAAAATACATAACATAGTAACAAAGAAAAGCCCAATAGCCCCCACCTTTATTGAAACTCTTTGAACTGAAACATTGTAATTCATTGAAACATTGAATGCTCTCTTTAAAAACATTCTTTAGAGTTTTCTTTTATTTTATATATTTTTAATTGAAGCAGGTCAAACAAATCAATACAATAAAGACAACAGAAATGCAGAAAAAAAGCAGCGAGTGACTTCTCAGTTGGGTTTCCACAAGGGAACTCTGAGCAGAACATTTTTGATTTTCTGCACATTTACAGGGTTCCTCCCATGTGTGGGCTCTCTAGTCCTGAGGTACCATCAAAATTTTCCCTACATTCCAAGCATTCATGGGTTTGTTTTTTTGTCCTGTGTGGAGGTTGATGTGATTTTCCAAAAGGCTTGCACATTGATTTAACTATTTCCCACTCGTGGCATTTGCAGGGTCTCTCCTGTGTGGACTCTCTAGCCCAGGCTTCCTCAACCTCGGCCCTCCTGATGTTTTGAGACTACAATTCCCATCATCCCATGACCACTGGTCCTGCTAGCTAGGGATCATGGGAGTTGTAGGCCAAAAACATCTGGAGGGCCCGAGGTTGAGGAAGCCTGCTCTAGTGTCTGAGGAACACGAAGCATCGATAAAAACTTTTTCCTACACTCCATTTATGAGGTTTCTCTCTCTTGTGGAGCCTGTGGAGTAGTGTTGTAAACAAAAATTGCCCTTTTCCCTTATGGAGTATCCAAGAGCCCATATAGAGTCCTTACGTAGGTTCCCTATTGGTAGGAGAAAATAACAGAGGCCAATCAGAGAATATTGAGAAGCAAAGCAGCTAGTAAGCTTGATCTTTATTGATCCGTTGCAACAGGGTGCTCCCCTCACATGCAGGAGAAGGAGAAGGACCCAGAACAATGGCGCACAAGGCCTTATAAAGACTTTTGAAATTGCTACCCTGTAGATCAAGACCATCCCCAGAAACATCATACATACATCACAGAAGGGGTGTAACTTAAGACCACCCCTCAGATACATCATACCTACATCACAGAAAAGGCGGTCTTAAAACAGAAATTTGAATATTGTTTGTTGTTTATCTCCTGTCTGGCAGGTTACTTGATTGGATTTCCTGGGGAGCCTGGCTAATCTTTTGTAATGATAAATACCAGTTCCTGGGCCAGGTCACAGGCTCACACCCTATTCATATCTTAAATGTGCCCTTAAGACAGGATTTGTGAGGAAAGAGACAATGGGGAGGTTTCCCACTTTGACCTTGCAGAGAAAACATTTGCTCAGTTTAGGAATCAAAATGGTTCCAGGTTGGTCTTCCTGTGCTGATCTATGTACGTGCTTGGTTGGTACGCTTATGAACATTGAACATATAACTAAGACCTCAAAATTCCTATCACAGTAGCTTGGGATGAAGCTGTGGGTCTGTGGCCCCGGGTGCATTTTTTTTGAGGGGGCGCGACCAGGCACCCCCACAACAGGCTCCCTCAAAGGAGCCTGGCTCCAGCGCATGAGGGAGCTGTGGAGGCAGCTTTCTGGTGCAACAGTCCAATGCTGGCAGCTGCAGCTACACTCCGGGGCAGAGAGAGGAGAGTTGGTGGCAACTTGGGATGGAAAAGTTTGTTTACTGAGCAAGTTGAGTCATGGAGTGTCGTTGTTGTTTCCCCTTCCAGCAAACACTTACCTAGCAACAGCTCCTGATTGGCCAGTTCCATGGGAGGCAGTTGGAGTGGAGTGAGAGAAGGTGTGAGGGATTCATTCAGTCTGTGAGAGGGATTCTGTCAGGAGAGTTTGTTCTGACATGGGGTAGAGCTGAGGAGAGCCGAGAACTGACAGTATATGCTCTCAGGTTCTGAATCGCAGAACACCATTAAAATAGAAAAGATACCGTCCTGAAGGGGAACAGTTAGGATTACCCCAAAAACCCTAAAACTAGGGAACAGAGTCCATTGTTTTCTCAGAGCCTTTGGCCTTGCTAAAAACAAGATTGCAACTTGCTTCTGTCCGGAAACCATGCCAAAGCACAAGAATGAAAAACTGGAACACTCTGAAACCCCCTCACCCCCTTTCCTGGGAAGAGCCCAAAAATGGTCCCAAGACAGGAACTTTCTGTTCATGCTCAGGAGACACATGGGAGGAGAAAGGGGGAGGGAACTGGAAGGGGGATATATGCTCTATGCAAATGCATGTGAACTCGTGCTTGTTTTTGTGAGTTATCACACTTGCTCCTCTGCCCCCCCCCCGATGGCAGAATAAAAGCTCTTTCTCTGGATTTAACCCCTTGGTGTCGTTTGGCTCCTTTCGTCCCTGCTCGGGTGCAACATTTTCCTATCCATGGTTAATAAGGCCTAGAAAGGCTACATTTCCACATGGAAAAAGGGTCCTCAGAGGGAATACTCTGACAGGAAAGGGCAGTCGTGATTCTGAGGCAAAGGAGGATTTGGGGGTCTGTAAGGAAACAGTCCAGTTAAAATCCTAAATTCCTGAAGTGTGTGGGGGAGAAGTCTGATCTATAGAAGATGTGTAAAAGAAAGTAACCCGAACAGCATTCAGCTTAAAACTTGAAACTGTACTCATTTTAATAAAAAGCAACAGCACTGGTTGTTACATTTCAGTGGAAGAAGAAGAAGAACCAAAACTCCTAGTTTACATCGGTTATAATACAGTTTGTTTGCAACCTGTTTTCCCAAAAGAAAAACCCACTGTCGCTCGTGATTCATTCTCCGTTGGGGATTTATCCTGTGGGAAAGGGAAACAGAGGGCTGGCCCAGTTGCGCCAGGGAGAGAAAGTGCTGTTGCGCCGTTGCACCACTCTCCGCGGCTGGGTGCCGCCATGTGAGAATGCTGCCAAGGCAGTTTTCTCACGCCTGGCCGCAGCATACCCTCTGCCGCTGTGTGGATCTTTTGGCGGCTCAAAAGCCACAAGCGTCAAGCAAAACACTCTCTACCCTTCATGCATTTATAGGGTTTCCTCTCTTGTGTGAAGCCTCTGATGTTTGAGGAGGTGTGTTTGTTGGGAGAAACGCTTCCCGCACTTTCCACAACGATAGGGCTTCTCTCCTGTGTGGATCCTCTCGTGAGCCTGAACCTGCGACTGCTGAGTGAAACGTTTTCCGCACTCAGAACATCCATACGGTTTCTCCCCTGTGTGGATTCTCTCATGTGCTATAATGTGCGACTGCTGGCGAAAACGTTTTCCGCACTCAGAACATCCATACGGTTTCTCCCCTGTGTGGATTCTCTCATGTGCTATAATTTGCGACTGCTGGCGAAAACATTTCCCACACTCTGAGCACTGATAGGGCTTCTTTCCAGTGAGAACTCGACGGTGGCTCAGGGGGACCTCTCTCCTTTGCGGTTTACACGTTCGCTCAGAAACTGTGGTTTTTTTACAGAACATGTTTGATGCTCTAAGCAACCGTGAGGTTTTTTCTCCAGTGCGGCATTTCTGCTGTTCGATAAGGCAGATCTGAGGAAGATCTTTCCCATACACAGGGCACAACAGCCGTCTCCCAACATCACCTGCAAGGATAAACAACAATTCACTTCTGAACTTGAGAAGGAAGGAAAGGAAGGTAGTGAAATTAATAAAGGAAGGAAACAACACATGAAGATGTGCGAGAAACTGAAATTGGTTGGTGGGGTGTGCGTGAATAATGATTTATCATCTGTTGTTGATAAACGGCCTCGGTCCAGTATATCTGAAGGAGCGTCTTCACCCCCATCGTTCTACCCGGACACTGAGGTCCAGCACCGAGGGCCTTCTGGTGGTTCCCTCGCTGCAAGAAGCAAGGTTACAGGGAACCAGGCAGAGGGCCTTCTCGGTAGTGGCACCCGCCCTGTGGAACGCCCTCCCACTGGATGTCAAAGAGAACAACAACTACCAGACTTTTAGAAGTCATCTGAAGGCAGCCCTGTTTAGGGAAGCTTTTAATGTTTGATGCATTACTGTATTTTAATATTTTGTTGGAAGCTGCCCAGAGTGGCTGGGGAAGCCCAACCAAATGGGTAGGGTATATTATTATTATTATTATTATTATTATTATTATTATTTCGTTCTGCTCAATTATTTTTACTTCACCCTACACATGTGTGGGTAATTCAGCGCCTTTCTGTGAACTACAGGAACCAGCAGTCCCATGTAATTTATCTGTTACTGGACGCCATCTGAACTGACTACAGGCTGAGAATGAAATGTTTTAATATTCCTCCCTAAATAAACTTCTTGCACATAGAAAAGTAATGTGTCAGGGGAAAAACTTCACTCCCCCCGCTCTTTTTTAAAAGCAAGCATTAAGACATCAGACCATAGAATCATAAAACTGTACAGTTGGAAGGGACCCCAAAAGTCTTCTAATCCAACCATCTGCAATGCAGGAGCTGGATAGTGTGTGGCGCTGATAATCCTAAGGTTGCAGGTTTGATCCCTGTAAGGGTCAGCTGCAAATTCCTGCATTGCAGGGGGTTGGACTAGATGATCCTTAGGGTCCCTTCCAACTCTGTGATTTTATGAGAAAGCTAAAGAATCTCTGACAGATGGCCATCCAACCTTAGGGTTTTTGCCTCTCACTAACCAAGACAAATATTCCTAAATGGGAGCCAGGATAAAATAGTTGATAAAAAAAAAAGTAATACAGTGGAACCTTGGTTCTCGAACTTAATTCATTCTGGAAGTCCGTTCAACTCCCGAAACCATTCAAAAACCAAGGCGTGGCTTCCAATTGGCTGCAGGAGCTTCTTGCACTCAAGCGGAAGCCATGTCAGATGTTCGACTTCCGAAAAACGTTCAAAAACCGGAACACTTCCAGGTTTTTGGCGTTCGGGAGCTGATTTGTTCGGCAACTAAGCCGTTCAGGAACCAAGGTATGACTGTATAGTGATTCTTATAACATGGCAAGGGACAATGTCAACTGGAAACTGTGAACTGTGAAGTGGTCCACAGCGTAGGGGAGGTACAGTGGCTGTTACGGAGGTGTTGACAGTGTTGGAATGAACTTTGTAGATAAGCAAAGCTGAGGTGGCAAAAGGAATTAAAAGACTTCAACCATAGGGATGCAATGTCTTCTGGGTGATTATAACTCTCTCTTGGAACAAAATGGCTCATATATAAGAGCCAATTCTCAAGGGGCAATTAAGAGTCCCTGGTAATCCCTAAATGGTTTTGTGTTTGTGTGTTTTTCCACCAGCTTCCCCTAACTTCTCACCTGACTCGGTGTCCGACATCCCTGATGCATCCAAGACTTGAGTACCCGGCACCCAGGGCTGTTCTCCCTGTTCCAGCTGGGAGATGAGAGGTGGCTTAGCCAGTAAAAATCCTTGCCAAGAAGGAACAAAAGAGTGAGTAGTTTGGTGGAAACTTCCTAAATTTGGGGATGGGGAACCTGTGCAGATGTTGTGGCATTCCAACTCTCATCAACCCTGGCCAACATGGCCAATGGCCAGAGATTTTGGGGAGTTGTAGACCAACAACACATGGAAAGCTGCAGATTCCTGGTTCCTGCTATCATTGAAGGGAGAGAACAGAAGACAAGACAGCTCCTTTCAAAAAGCTGCAGATGTCTGCTAGCTCCATCTGGTATGCTGGCTGAGACCCTACCTGCCTGCAGACTGTCTCACCAGAGTGGTGCATGCTCTGGTAATCCCCTGCTTGGACTACTGCAACGCGCTCTACATGGGGCAACCTTTGAAGGTGACTCAGAAACTACAGCTAGACTGGTGAATGGGAGTGGCTGCTGGGACCATATAACACTGGTCCTAAAGGATCTACCTTGGCTCCCAGTACGTTTCTGAGCGCAATTCAAAGTGTTGGTGCTGATCTTTAAAGCCCTAAATGGCCTCAGCTCTGTATATCTGAAGGAGCGTCTCCACCCGCATTGTTCAGCCTGAGGTCCAGCTCTGAGGGCCTTCTGCTGGTTCCCTCACTGCGAGAATTTCTTATACTGATTTTTGGTAATTTGTAAACTGATTAGAGATTCCTCTTCAAAGAAGAAGCGGTGCACAAAATAAATAAATCACCACACTGATGTTTAACTACTGTACCACAACAGCTGTGATACCCCAGGAGAGATAGATTTCATTATTATAGACCACCCATGACCATTGCCTGTAGATCTCAGCACAGAAACCAAAGAGGCTGCTGACGGAAGCATAAAGCAACGCATTTCCATGCTACCTGTGTCCAAGTGCTCTCTACATTCTGGAGAAAGAAAGCAAATGGAAGTCTGACCAACTGAAATAAACTCAACTCTCCTGAAAATGTAAAGGATTGGTGGGAGAGAAGAGATGCCGATGACAAACGCACAGGTTCCTTGCAAATCATCCAGCCTCCACCAGAAGAGGAATCAAAATGCTTACCTAACGAGGCCAAGTTCTCATAATTCTCCATCATGACTTCAGCGTACAAGGCTTTTTGATATGGATCCAGCAAACCTCCTTGTCCCTCGGTGAAATACACAGCCACATCCTCAAAAGTTACTAGACTCTACAGGAAGAAAAAGGCCTTGGTTGTTCTCTTCTTTTGGCTGGGACTTAGCCAAAGTGATGCCTAAAATTCAGAGATGGTGGCAGCCTGGGAGGGTTGGCCCATAATGTGCAGTGATGATGGCATCTCCTTTACTTACCAGAGTGCTGTTCAAGGATGGGCGATGTATAATGATAATGAATGGCGTAAAGGTAAAGGAACCCCTGACCATTAGGTCCAGTCGTGGCCGACTCTGGGGTTGCGGCGCTCATCTCGCTTTACTGGCCGAGGGAGACGGCGTACAGCTTCTGGGTCATGTGGCCAGCATGACTAAGCCGCTTCTGGCGAACCAGAGCAGCACACGGAAATGCCGTTTACCTTCCCGCTGGAGCGGTACCTATTTATCTACTTGCACTTTGACGTGCTTTCGAACTGCTAGGTTGGCAGGAGCAGGGACCGAGCAACGGGAGCTCACCCCGTCGTGGGGATTCGAAGCACCAACCTTCTGATTGGCAAGTCAATGATAATGAATGGCATTGGTGTGACCAAAATATGGGCGCCCCTGTGTGTGTGAGAGAGAGCGAGTCGGGGGGGGTGTCCAATTCTTTTTCAACTGCCCTAGTAAACAGTGGTTTGCTTCTTTCCTCCTGCTCCACCTTGGCCAGCTTGGTTCTTTTCTGATGCTTTGGACTACAACTCCCATCAGCCCCTGCTCCCCACATAATACACTACAGTGGTACCTCAGGTTAAGAACTTAATTCGTTTTGGAGTTCCGTTCTTAACCTGAAACTGTTCTTAACCTGAGGTACCACTTTAGCTAATGGGGCCTCCTACTGCTGCCGCCGCGCAATTTCTGTTCTCATCCTGAAGCAAAGTTCTTAACTCAAGGTACTATTTCTGGGTTAGCGGAGTCTGTAACCTGAAGCGTCTGTAACCCGAGGTACCACTGCAGAGGCTTGGTGGCACATTGGAAACTGTCTTACACATGTCAGAATAGTTGTTCTTCCAACCCCGGAATTATCCATTCTGACTAGCAGAGGAGATACCACCTACCCAATCCTTCACTAGAAATGCTAAGGGTTCAACATTGGGACATCCAAAGTCCAGCATGCAAAGCTGCAATTATTATTATTCTCTACCCATATGACTGGGTTGTCCCAGCCGGAACCACTGGCAATGCCGTTGCTATTACCTGTTACTATTATATTTATCACGTTACTAAAATGTATGCACCACCCTTTGTCTAAAGAACACAAGGGAAACCAAGTGGGTCTCGGCTGCGGCATCTTTAAAAGGCCACCATTCGAATTGCGCGCCATCCCGCCTCGTTTAAGAAGAGCTTGCGCAGGAGGGAGACGAGTTACTGGGAATCGCCCGCGCGCGCAACACGCGCACACGTTCAGAGCTAACACCCGGGCCTTTTGAGGTCGTGGGAACTGCGCGCAGCGACGGGCTTCTTCCTCCCCAACCCGCTCGAGCTCTGCCCAACTCGGGCCGGCGCAGCCGAGGAGAAACGCGCCCCTAAATTCCTGCAGAAACCGAAACACTCTCCCCACCGCGCCTCCCATTTCCCCGCCGCCACTGACCGGCATCTGCACCACCCGAAGAATCATTCAGACGTTCCCTCGAAGCTGCACACCCCGCTTCTTCTATCCCGGGATCTCAGCCCTTCGGGTCCCTGTTCCACTAACCTGCAGAGGTTTAAACCACTGGTCTCTTAGCCTAGGAATTTGCATTTCCTGGAGGATTTTTTTCGGCGTCGTTTGCGTCCGTCCGTCCGTCCCCCACAATACCACTTCCTGCGGGTCGTGGGAAATGCAGGATTTGGGTCCTCATTTTTACGCGCGCGCACTCACCCGCAGCCCAAGTTTGAAAGACCACATCGAATCAGATTTGGAAGGGGCCCTGAGCATCATCATCTAGTCCAACCCCCTGCAATGTCCCACGTGGGGATCGAACCTGCAACTTTCATGTTATAAGCGCCATGCTCTAACCATACTCTGCTCCCAAGGATCTACTTGTGCATGAAAAGGAGAAGCTTTTGGATTTCTTAAATCATTTTTAAACCATTGCCCTAGGGGCACTTTCCACCATAGGAGGGGGGAAAGGAAGCTGTCCAGCTTTGTTTTCTCCATATTGGAGGAGGGGGGGCCATGAAACTAGGCAAAATATTCAAACCAATCGTTCAGGGTAGACCACTGCCATTATCTCCATATGGCCTGCTGAGTTTCCCTGCTATGCTGTGAAACTGAAAGAACTGAAGGAAGAAGACTGAAAGAATTTAAAATAATTAAACAACTGAACAGTTAAGTTACAAGTTTGGAGCATCGGAAAATGTTGATGAGAATGGGATGGAACATGGCCAGCAAGAAACGGCGTACTCTTACAGAGGCGAGCTGGGAGATTTCAAAGGAAAGACATCGGCTTGGGTTTGTTTGGTTTAAGGGGAGGGCGACCAAAGATTGAACTGTTAAAAAGATTTTCTAGGAAATACGGTCTGCCTCCCCGCTGCTATGATGGGCTGGCTGTTAAGGTGCCTGGGAAAATAGAGAGCCAGAGGGTCAACTTTGGAATTCCTATTTTAGAATGAACAGAGGTATTTGGACTGGAAAGAATCTTTGACAGAGTGGACTGTGCAGATAAGAAAAGGAAAAACATCTAGTAAAAGTGAACTATTGGGCTTTTAGACATGCAGAAGGGAAGAAAGGAATTTATTTTAGAAATGATGATTGCTGATTGTAGATTGATTGTGAAGCCACCTCACTTGTAGATACTAGTTACAGGTAGGTAGCCGTGTTGGTCTGCCATAGTCAAAATAAAATAAAATAAAATAATTTAAAAATTCCTTCCAGTAGCACCTTAGAGACCAACTAAGTTAGTTATTGGTATGAGCTTTCATGTGCATGTACACTTTTGAGTTGGTCTCTAAGGTGCTACTTGTAGATATTGTAAATGTTAAAATATTGTATGTGCAGGAACTGGCAAGCGGACAGCTGATGGTTAAGGATAAAGTAAGTTTAAAAACAAAAAAAACCCTAATGTAATGTAAGATTAATTGTAAAGAATGTGAACTAGAAACAACTAGGAAAATAAAGCAGCAACAAAAGGAAATTTTGGACACATCAAGAACGTAGTGCAAGAAACCAGTTTTTGGAGAAATTGCATTATATTTGTGTTAATTTGCAGCTGATCTGGTAAAATTTGGAAAACGAATAAAAACGATTTTGCGAAAGGTTCCCTTTATCTGGTTTAGAGAAGTCGTGTGAAAAGAACGGAAGGAAGAACCTTATCTGCCAGGTGTGCAGCTGAAGACTCAGCCAGAAATTTTCATGGCCACATGCCTATGTCACTTCAAGTTCAACATTCCTATAGAAAAAATCTGTCTTGGGCTGAGTGGTACAGCTTTCAGTATACTGAAGTGTGCAATCAAATACACACACTTACCTGGGAGTAAGTTCCACTGAGCACATTGAGTTATTTCTGAGTCAACATGCACAAGGGCTGCTCAGTAAGAATTAACAAAATGGAAATATCCGAATTTCGCATCGTTAATGCTTCTTAATTTTAATTCAGGTGGGAGCAAAGTAAGACACAACATAAATTCAAAGCTTTGCATCCTTTGATACAAAGCAAAGGCAACCTACATTAATAACAAGAAAAGCAGATGTAAGATATGCTAATAAACTTATGCCAAAAATTTAAATGCAAAACTAAGGAAAGTGAAATACACTTTATATTTTCAAGAAAAAACTACCCCACCTCCAATAAAACATAAGGAACTATGTATAGTACTCATCTGATTTAAAACCAGTCTCAAAGAGACATTATCCTATGGCCAATAAGGGAAGCTTCGATATTTCAGGCGGCAGGGAAATGTTGAGTTCTTTATTTTTCTGGATGTTGATTTGCTACAAATTACTTACATGTGTGGGTAGACTAGTAGAAAAAAAAGTCAAGAATTTAAGACAACCAGGTTGATTTAAACAAACAAGCAAAATTACGTCAGTCAAACAGAGGGGGAGATTTTTTAAAAGGTTGCAGTTGAGTCGCCTGCAGGTGTCCCAAACGATTCATCCAATTTATTCAAGTTATCAAAAGGCGACAGCACTTTGCAAAGGCAGGCAGCCACCCTTGTGGGCTTACGACACACCCTTTTAAATTGCCATGGCCTGAGCAATCTTCACAGCACATCGCCTTCAGCAAACTAGAACCTTTTCCGCAGCTTCTCCTAGCAATAGCAGCAGCACTTTGGATATTATTCCCTTTTAAGCTCCCCTTGCCCCACACCAAATACACAAGACTGAACTGCTTCTCAAACAGCTTCCCTTAAAAAGCAGAGGAAGAGGAGCTGGTGCCCTCCCAGATCCCATCAGCCCCAGTCAACACAGCTGGAAGCCAGGGATTATGGGGCTTGTAGTGCTGCTGGCAAAGATGGAGGTTCCTCACCCCTGCCCTAAAGCTCAAATTAGACACTGATGTGGGGGGAGGACCTGCTAGTCAGCTGCATCTCCTTTTCCTGTATGGATATCTCAGTCGGTAGACCACAAGACTCATTGATCTCCGGGTCAAGGGTTCGAGCCCCACATTGGGCAAAATATTATTGCGTTGAAGGGGGGTTGGACTAGATGATCCTTGTGGCCCCTTCCGACTCTACAAGTTCTATAACTCTCTGACCCAGAACTAATAAAATAAAATTTAATTTAAAAATTCCTTCCAGTAGCACCTTAGAGACCAACTACTGTATTTTTCGCTAAGACATACCTGCAGCATCTTAAAAAGCAGAAACATCACCTTGCCGACAAAGGTCCGTATAAAGCTATGGTTTTCCCAGGAGTGATGTTTGGAAGTGAGAGCTGGGCCATAAAGAAGGCTGCTCACCGAAGAATTGATGCTTTTGAATTATGGTGCTGGAGGAGACTCTTGAGAGTCCCATGGACTGCAAGAAGATCAAACCTCTCCATTCTTAAGGAAATCAGCCCTGAGTGCTCACTGGAAGGACAGATCCTGAAGCTGAGGCTCCAGTACTTTGGCCACCTCATGAGAGGAGAAGACTCCCTGGAAAAGACCCTGATGTTGGGAAAGATTGAGGGCCCAAGGAGAAGGGGACGACAGAGGATGAGATGGTTGGACAGTGTTCTCGAAGCTACCAGCATGAGTTTGACCAAACTGCGGGAGGCAGTGGAAGACAGAAGTGCCTGGCGTGCTCTGGTCCATGGGGTCACGAAGAGTCGGACACGACTAAACAACAACAAGACGCACCTGACCATAAGACGCACCTAGTTTTTAGCGGAGGAAATGGGGAAAGCCCTGTTTTGGGGAGGGTTAGCTCACAGTTGTGCAGCTTCTTTTGCAAAGGGTAAATACCCGCTTTTTTGAGGATCAGCTGACAGTTGTGCAGCTTGTCATTGGTATGAGCTTTCGTGTGCATGCACACTTCTTCAGATACCAAATTAAATAAACTAATTTAAACTGCAAGAAGGCATGAAAAGGGCAAAAACGGAACGAAAATCACAGGAAGGCACTTTGGCATATCAGTCTACCTCACTTGTCGTCGTTTCCACAATGTCCTCCAGCGATGCGGAAGACCGTGTTACCATTCAAGCCAGTCTGGTAAGTGCTGCTGGCTTTTGAAAAGGTTTTTTTAAAAAAAGGTTTTAAAGAGCTCTAGCTGTTTGCAGGCTTTTTAAATGATGTTCCCCACAACACATAATTTCACATTTATGCGCGGTACCCAAGGACGTAATCCCTGCGTTAGGTGGAGCGATGCCCGTATAATATTTTAATTGCTTTTACGTGTGCGGTTTTAAAATTATTTTTAAACGAAGTTTGTATTTTAAATTACATCGCTTTAACTTTTTGACGGATGCTGCCCTGGGCTTCTTTGGGAAAGGGAAGGACAGGACAGAAATTTAATAAATAAAAATAATACGGTTAATTGTACTTGTGAAATTGCTTCAAGATGCTTTGCAGGAAGCGATTAACAAATGAAATTAATAATAATAATAATAATAATAATAATAATAATAATAATAATATTTCCGGGAGGCAGGGAAATGTCAAGTGCAGTAATGTCGCACCCCTGATCTCTTTTCACTTGATGTTACTGGAGAAACTGGAGGAATCAGATGCACATCAGTCCTAAGCACAAATCTCTCAATTCACATCAAGTTTAGGGCCTTGGAAAAAGCACCATTCAATGCAACCAGCTCTGGACTCAGGTGCTTCAAGAGTTCATTCACCTGAGAGAACTCCCCTGTGCAGAATTTAGAACTGTGGCAGTCCAACGTGGGTTCACATTTCCAAGCTTAGTGCTGCGCAAAACTCTCTAGGCGATTTGTTAACAGGGAAATACACCTCTCATGGGTCATTCCATGCCAAGTGATCCAGTGACTTTTACCTTACCATTTTATATTGCTTTCAGTTTTAGTTTCCTAAAAGTAGTATAAGCGAAGATCCCAGATTTCGGCAAGCTATCGTTCTGCTTTGAAATACATTTTTAAAAGAAAAGCCAAACTAGCTTTTAACTGAATAACTTTTTAAAGAAATGCCTGAAGGTCTGGTTTATTCTGCTATATTTCACTCCAAGAAAACCAAATTATGCTAAATAGAATCCAATAAGGCAGACAGGTACGTACAAAATATTTTTATTAACTGTGATGTCATTGAGATCCCAAGATGAAATTTTGCAGGAAGCTTTTAGAAATATGAAATATTCCATACATTGGGGGGGATCTTAATCATATTCATTTTTTAAAATCACCTTTAAATTTTTTAGCTTAATTTTAAAATTTAAAGGAGACCCATCATGTGCCACATCATATTAAACTTCTGTATTTTTAGTTTTGAAGTATCTCCATTCTGGGCTGAGCTTTTAAGGTTTTTGTGTAATAGGGCATGATCAAAACTGTCAATTTTTTGAAATTCCAAACCTTCATACGTCAAAAAAGGGACGAGATGAAAGAATTAAAAGTTTAGATTTAAACTTAGTTTTGCTCATTCAACAAGTGTACAACAGGTGTAAAGAGTGTACAAAGTTTTAAGAAAATTGGATTTACAATTTTATAATATGCAGAGAATAACATGTGCTGAAAAACCAGAGAGAGGAGCTGAGGGAAGTCTGGGGTGGGGGTGGGGGTTGCTTTTATGAGGAGGGGGGAGGGGAAAAATGGGGGAGGAGGAGTTTGGATTTGAGGAGTTTGGATTTGATATCCCGCTTTATCACTACCCGAAGGAGTCTCAAAGCGGCTAACATTCTCCTTTCCCTACCTCCCCCACAACAAACACTCTGTGAGGTGAGTGGGGCTGAGAGACTTCAGAGAAGTGTGACTGGCCCAAGGTCACCCAGCAGCTGCATGTGGAGGAGCGGGGAAGCGAACCCAGTTCACCAGATTACGAGACTACCGCTCTTAACCACTACACCACACTGGCTCTCAGTGTGAGGAGGAGGATGTGTTTTTGATAAATTGTTATGTTGAAATTCCTAATAAAAAATATTCAAAAAAAAGAAAGAAAATTGGATGGAAAAAAATTAATTAAAAATCGGATCACTTGATATGGAATGACCCTCACCAGAGATTCAGAGCGCTTCTTGTTTAACTGCTCCAGGACAAGGCAGCGTGCCCGCGGCCGACAGCTTCTCTTTCACGTGAAACTTCTGGTGCTTCACGATGTGCGACCGGTGAGAGAAGCACTTCCCGCACTCCAGGCACTTGTAGGGCCTCTCGCCCGTGTGGACCCTCTTGTGAGCCAAGACGTTCGAGCGGTCTGAAAAGCGCTTCCCGCACTCGGAGCAGGCGAAGGGCTTTTCCCCCGTGTGGACCCTTTTGTGCCTGGCCAGGGACGAGCTGTCGGCGAAAGACTTCCCGCACTCGGAGCAGGCGTAGGGCCTCTCCCCCGTGTGGATGCGCTGGTGTTTCACCAGCCCCGACTGCTGAGCGAAGAACTTGCCGCACTCCAGGCACGTGTAGGGCTTCTCAGAGGTGTGGACGCGGCAGTGTTTCACGAGCGCCGAGGGCCGGGGAAAACACTTGCCGCACTCCAGACACTCGTAGGGCTGCTCCCCGGTGTGGATCATCCAGTGGCTCACGAGCGCAGAGTGCTGGTCAAAACATTCCCCACACTCCAGGCACTTGTAGGGGTTGGCTCCCTGGTGAACTCTCTGGTGTGCCACGACGTGCGACCGGTCAGCAAAGCACTTCCCACACTCCAGGCACTTGTAGGGCTTCCTCCCCGTGTGGACCCTCTGGTGCCTCACAAAGGCCGGGTGGTCGGCAAAGTGTTCCCCGCATTGCAAGCACTTGTGGGGCTTCTCCTGCAGGTGGGTTTTCTGGTGGGCCGAAAGGGACGACTCCTGAGCGAAGCCCTTCCCGCACTCCAGGCACGTGTGGCGAGGCCTGCCGGCCGCCGCGTGGATGCGCCGGTGCTTCACGAGGGACGAGGGCTGAGGGAAACACCTCCCGCACTCCAGACATTCGTACGGCTCCTCTCCGGTGTGCACCCTCCAGTGGCTCACGAAGGCTGCGTGCTGTTCGAAGCCATCGCCGCATTCCTGGCATTTGTAGGTTTTCTCTCCCGCCCGGGTCGCGACGGGGCCCGGCTGCCGAGCAAAACACTCCCCGCACACCAGACACCGGAAAGATCTCTTGCCCACCAAGATTCTCTGGGGCACGACGCCGCAACGATTCCCACACCGGGGGCACGCTTCCATTTCCAGAGGGTCACCTGGTAGGAGAAAGGAGGATTTCTTAGTCCATGTTCTAAATGAATGGAATCATAGAACTGTAGAGTTGGAAGGGACCCCAACAGTCATCTACTTCAACCCCTTTCAAATACATATACAGTGGTGCCTCGCAAGACGAAATTAATCCGTTCCGCGAGTCTCTTCGTCTTGCGGTTTTTTCGTCTTGCGAAGCACGGCTATTAGCGGCTTAGCGGCTATTAACGGCTTAGCGGCTTTAAGAAAAAGGAAACAAACTCGCAAGAACTCGCAAGACGTTTCGTCTTGCGAAGCAAGCACATAGGGAAATTCGTCTTGCGGAACGACTCAAAAAACGGAAAATTCTTTCGTCTTGCGCGTTTTTCGTCTTGTGAGGCATTCGTCTTGCGAGGTACCACTGTACAGTGGTACGTCGGTTACATATGCTTCAGGTTACATACGCTTCAGGTTACACACTCCGCTAACCCAGAAATAGGGCTTCAGGTTAAGAACAGTTTCAGGTTAAGAACGGACCTCTGGAACGAATTAAGTACTTAACCCGACGTACCAATGTACATACATAAACCCCTGCATAATTTTATCTGTACGCTGCCTTTCCACAGCTCAAACCGTGCTCAAGGTGGCTTACAACATGAAACAAATACATACCCATGACATAGCAAAAGTAGTCAAAATCAATAAATGAATCATTAAAAAATACAAAACCAAACTGAACGATTCCCACATAAATCGCAACAAAATCTAAAATAAAAATACAAAAAAGCAGCAGCGCTCAACAAAGAAACCCAAACCCCCCGACCTAATGCAGGAATCTCAGCTAAAGCATCCCTGACAGATGGCCATCCAACCTCTGCTTTAAAACCTCCAACGAAGGACAACTCCACAATCTCCTGAGAACCCACGTTTTATGTTCTATGGAGTTTGCGGATCCCGTTCGCATCCAGAGGTACCACTGTATCTTAATTATCTTGAGATGGTGGTGATTTAAGAAATGGATGGTGATGATTTTGTTGAATCTATACTGTTACGTTTTGGTTGGAACAGCCTTACTTGTTTTTATGATTCTATTATTATAACTCGCCCTGGGATATTGTGGATAAGAAATTCAATCAATCAATCAATCAATCAATCAATCAATATTATTTATTCCTCAGCCACTCTGGGCGGCTTCCAAAAAAAATTAAAATACTGTAATACATCAAACATTAAAAGCTTCCCTAAACAGGGCTGCCTTCAGATGTCTTCTGAAAGTCTGGTAGTTGTTTTTCTCTTTGACATCTGGTGGGAGGGCCTTCCACAGGGAGGGCGCCACTACTGAGAAGGCCCTCTGCCTGGTTCCCTGTAACTTGCACAAGGGAGAAGGAGTGTTCCAAACAATCACTAAAAGGGAGGCAAGGGAAGAACATCAACTGGCTGAGGTTTTTTTTATCACCAACAACTTACCTGAGCAGACATCAAGGATCCCTGCTTCACCTCTGTTTTGGGATTCGGGTACCCAGAGTTCTTCTCCTCGTTCCATCTGGGAGATGAGTTCAGGCTTTGGGCACAGAAATCCTGTAGGCAAGGCAACGTGAGAGTGTCAGTTTGCATTTCTTAGTACAGAAAACACTGATCTTTCCTATTCTGCTTAGTTCAAGAGGGTTCTAGAAAGTTTCTTTCTATGTGAAAGAAACAGGAAGGTTTCTGTTGTTTGGATTATTTCTTCTGGGAAGTTGAGTACAGCTGGTTTTAACTGCTTCTGTTATCTTTTTGTCAAGGCCATACTGACTATAATAGTAAGACCAGGAGAAGCCTGGGCCTCACTCACTTTCTCTTTTCTGTCTCCTTTGTTCTGGTGTTCTGTTTCTGTTTGCTATAGTGTTACAGTTTAAACTTATTATAAGTATTGTAAGTTTTCTTGTAATTGCCGCAACTGGATTTTTTATGGAGTGTACCAATCCTGAATGTGCTGGATTTGTGACCATTATGCTCATTTGCCAAAGCTCTGCTGGATGAAGTACAATGCCCTCTAGTCTATTTTTTGGGAACTCTGCTGTGTGTTTAAGTTTCTTCCTGCTCCTCCTTCATGGCCGACAGAGAGTACTTGATGTACCTTGTCATAATTCCTTAAATAGTGCTACTCAAACTGAGTCCTGGGGAAATCTGAGATTCCTCAGAAGCTCTTCATGGGTGCATAAGAATTCCCACAGATAATAATAATAATAATAATAATAATAATAATAATTTTTATTTATACACCGCCCTCCCCAGCCAAGGCCGGGCTCAGAGCGGCTTACAAGCAATAATAAAAACAAGTTGAATGATTACAACTTAAAAACAAAATTAAAATACAACATTTTAAGATGAGCTTCCATCTTATATAGTGCAGATATAGGTTGATATAGGTTTCCCCAGTAATGATGTATGGAAGTGAGAGCTGGACCATAAAGGCTGATCGCTGAAGAATTGATGCTTTTGAATTCTGGTGTTGGAGGAGGCTCTTGAGAGTCCCATGGACTGCAAGAAGATCAAACCTCCCCATTCTGAAGGAAATCAGCCCTGAGTGCTCACTGGAAGGACAGATCGTGAAGCTGAGGCTCCAATACTTTGGCCACTTCATAAGAAGAGGGAAAAGACCCTGATGTTGGGAAAGATGGAGGGCACAAGGAGAAGGGGACGACAGAGGACGAGATGGTTGGACAGTGTTCTTGAAGCTACCAGCATGAGTTTGACCAAACTGCGGGAGGCAGTGGAAGACAGGAGTGCCTGGCGTGCTCTGGTCCAGGGGGTCACGAAGAGTCGGACACGACTAAACGACTAAACAACAACAGGTTGACAGCCTCAGCGAGGATCAGGCCTCTACATCGAGGCTGCAAACTCCTTACCCAGTGAAGTTACATTCCCATAGTTCTCCATCATGACATCCCTGTACAAGGCCCTTTGGTCTGGATCCAGCAGAGCCCCCTGGCTCTCCGTGAAATAGACGGCCACATCTTCAAAAGTCACCGGACTCTGTAAGAATAAAGGGTTCTGTCTAGTTCCCACTACTTCATGAACGACATTTCAGGTTTTTTTTTAGAAAATGTAATCAATTAGTCAGTGAATAGTTTGAAAAGATTTATGGCATGTCAGCTTTAAAAATTTTGATTTTACAACAACTTCTTTGCATGGGTAACATTCCTAGCTCTAAGCCAGGCATAGGCAAACTCGGCCCGCCAGATGTTTTGGGACTACAACTCCCATCATCCCTAGCTAACAGGACCAGTGGTCAGGGATGATGGGAATTGTAGTCACAAAACATCTGGAGGGCCGTGTTTGCCCATGCCTGTTTGCTCCTGGACAGGCAGGTGTCGTTTTGGCTATATAAGCACCGGCAAAAGGAAAACTTAGGCCACTTTTAGTATGTACGCTATGATGTTAAATATGCTTACCACTGACAGAGAGGATAAGTAAACCTCAACATCGCAGGCGGGGAACAAAAGGCAAGTGCCCTTTCTGGCCTTAGGAGGCTGGATTCTCCCTACCCACATCTTCTATTGTAATGGGAGTTAGAATCACAGAGTTGGAAGGGACCACAAGAACCATTTAGCAATGCAGGAACTTTTCACCCAATTCTTATTATTTCTGAACATGGCTCTCCTATCCTGTGCCAATAGCTCTGTAGATCAGGTGGGCAGAAGAGCCTGAACAGTGGTACCGCTGGTTAAGAACTTAATTCATTCTGGAGGTCCATTCTTAACCTGAAACTATTCTTAACCTGAAGCACCACTTTAGCTAATGGGGCCTCCTGCTGCCACCGCCGCGCCGCAGCAGCACGATTTCTGTTCTCATCCTGAAGCAAAGTGCTTAACCCGAGGTACTATTTCTGGGTTAGCGGAATCTGTAACCTGAAGCGTCTGTAACCTGAAGCGTCTGTAACCTGAGGTACCACTGTATTTCTGAGCCCCAGCAGAAAATAAGGCTGCTTGCTTGGCATCCCCTAGCCCAATCCTATGCTCTGGAAAAGCCTGTCCAAACTGGGCACCCTCCAGATGTTGCCCTCCAGTGCCCATCAGTCCTGGCCAGCACGGCCAATGGTCGGGGGGATGATGGGAGTTAGAGTCCAGCAGAAACAGCAGCGGGAAGGGACCAGGCTTGGGTCAGTTGCCTGGCATAAACATCCTGCTGAACCCAGCAGGATCCGACTCTCAAGTCCAGGGCAGGAGCCATAGGTGCCTGTTCCTCCCCCAGCACCTGCCGCAGACCCTTCCTCCTTACCTGACCCAGCTCCGTTGCCATATAAGTGAAAATCGCGTAAGTGGGGAGCACCCTCTAAATGCCCTCTCTGCCGCTCTCTCTCCAATCCAGATCAGAAATACAGTGGTACCTCAGGTTACATATGCTTCAGGTTACATATGCGTCAGGTTACAGACTCCTCTAACCCAGAGATCGTGCTTCAGGTTAAGAACTTTGCTTCAGGATGAGAACAGAAATCATGCTCCGGTGGTGCGGTGGCAGCAGGAGGCCCCATTAGCTAAAGTGGTGCTTCAGGTTAAGAACAGTTTCAGGTGAAGTACAGACCTCCGGAACGAATTACAGTGGTGCCTCGCAAGACGAAATTAATCCGTTCCGCGAGTGTCTTCGTCTAGCGGTTTTTTCGTCTTGCGAAGCAACCCTATTAGCGGATTAGCGCTATTAGCGGTTTAGCGGCTATTAAAGGCTTAGCGGCTTAGCTGCTAAAAGGCTATTAGCGGCTTAGAAAAAGGGGGGGGAGCGAAAAAAAATCTCAAGACTCGCAAGACATTTTCGTCTTGCGAAGCAAGCCCATAGGGAAATTCGTCCTGCGAAGCAACTCAAAAACGGAAAACCCTTTCGTCTAGCGGGTTTTCCGTCTTGCGAGGCATTCGTCTTGCGGGGCACCACTGTACCGTATTTTTTGCACCATAACACTCACTTTTTTTCCTCCTAAAAAGTAAGGCGAAATGTCTGTGCGTGTTATGGAGGGAATGCCTACGGGTGGCATGCCTACGGATTTTCCTCCTCTAAAAACTACGTGCGTGTTATGATCGGGTGCGTGTTATAGAGCGAAAAATACGGTAAGTACTTAACCCGAGGTACCACTGTACTATAGCAAAACTAGCCACAACTGGAATTGAAGCTGGAATTGAAGCAGGAGGCAGGAGCATAGCTGTCAAGTTTTCCCTCTCAAGTCAGGGCAGCAGCCATAGGTGCCTGTTCCTTCCCCATCGCAGAGCCTTCCTCCTTACCTGAGTCAGCTCCGTTGCTGCCCTGGCCATTTCTACAGAAAGGGGGGATAATCCGGATTCAAGCGCCGACATCATTCTGCATTCTGCGGGGGACCAAAGGGTGGCTTATCAAAATTGGGGATACGAGCAACACAGAGTCACATACATGCAACCCTCTTCGCCCCACTTGTTCCCAGAGCATCCTCTACTTCACTTTCCCCTTTTCTCCCCGCCCCCAACCAATGAATAATAATAATAATAATTTTTAAAAAAATATTTATAACCCGCCCTTCCCGGTTCAGAAAATCAGGCTCAGGGCTGCTAACAACAAATTTATGCAACAAAAAACAGCATAAAATACAGTATAAAACGTGAACAACAATAAATTCAGAATTCAATAATCAATTTAGGGGGGAAATCCATCCAATAAACATTCGATGATCACCAGGGCTAGCTGGCTAAATTAGTCCTATTTGGGCCAGCGAGGAGACCAGGGGAGAATTAGCTGTGGGATCCCAGTTAACAACCCTGTCAGGCTGAGAGAGACACACAGAGAGAAAACAGAGCAGAAGAGAACAGAAGAGAGGAGAGAGAGAGAGAGAGAGAGAATATGAATATGTCTGATCATGGGATATCCAAGTGAGCTTCAAGGCCATTGGGTACCCAATCTCCCTCGTCTCAGTCCAACACTCTTAACCACACTAGCCTTCTGAATAAAAGGTGCCCTCTTAAGAAAAAGAAAGAAAAAAGACTTTTGACTATCTCTATCCTCTTCCGGGACCAAGAAGGCAGCCACCCATAAACTGCAGACCAACAGCCTCCCAGGCAAGGTTGCCATGGGAGTGTGGAGAGACAAGTGGCAGCAGGTTGATGGAATCCTATTGAGTGTGCAGGCAAGGAACCCCCCTTGCCATCCAGAAAAGCCACGGGAATTAGTTAGCCATTCCGGCTACTTCCTTTGGGAGCCTTATTTGCCTTCTTTGTCTGGAATGTCCCCCGCCCCCTTTTAGTTTTATTTTTCAGTCCGGAAAGCACTTATCCAGCAACAATGGCAGGGCGTGCAAAGAGAGGAGCCTTTTTGCAAAAAAGAGTTCTGCCTCCTCCTGCTCCTCCTCCTCCTCCTCCCAGCTCTATGACGTCTTTCGCCCCTCCAGGGTCCCCCAAAAGCCAGCCCGCCCACCCACCCCTTGCGCGCCTTCCCGGGGCTCCTGCGGGCGCTTCCTCGGCGTCGCTCCTGACAATTCCATCCCATCCCTCATCCGGGCTCCTCCAAGCTGGGGCGCACGGAAGCCCAGTGGCCGCTGGGAATTGTAGTCCTTGGGCCCGCGTCCTTCCGTTGCGCGAAGTTACGTTTTGCAAAGGGGGTTTCTGGGAATTGTAGTCCTCGCTTCCCTGCTCTGCTCGCAGCTGGCGCTTTGGAAACGAGTTGGTGCTTGCTTTTGGCAGTTCTTGCGTGGTGGTGGGAGGGGGGGCAGCCTAACGTTGTTTTTGTTTAATAATAATAATAATAATAATAATAATAATGTATATTGTATTTTAAAATTGGGTTTCAGAGTTTTTAGGGGTTTTTGAATGTTTTATGTAGTTTTTCAAATTCATTGTATGGGACAATGACAATAAAGATATTGTATATCGAATAATAATAATAATAATAATAATAATAATAATAATAATAATTTTATTTTATTTATACCCCGCCCTCCCCGGCCAAAGCCGGGCTCAGGGCGGCTAACACCAGTAAAATTACAATGGAAACATAATAGGAGGTGGGAACCCAATTTAAAATACAGGTTAAAATGCAATTTAAAAAGCAGCCTCATTTTAAAAGTAGCCCCCACCTTTCCCCCTTGACAGATAAAAATAAGAACAGCTGAAAATTTGGGAGGGGTGTGAATAATTAAAAAGCAATTAAAATAAATATAACGTTAGGGATTAAACCATATATAGAGCCTTGCTAATTACTGCAGAATTTCCTTTCCCCCACCCCCCCAATGTGCTGCAAAGTCCTGCATTGTAGAGGGTCGGGCTAGAGTGGGGTCCCTTCCCACTCTACAATTCTGAGATTCTATGAAATATTTGTTAAACCTCAACGATATTCCGCCTTACTCATGTTCCATGTTTGCATGGATGCTTATTTAATACTCTTCTCCCACCCGCTCCTGGGTATCTTCTCTCTTTTCTTTCTTATTGCCCCCCCTTCTCTTATGATTTTAAAGCTGCAATAAAATTATATGAGGGGGAAAAGGAAATAAACAGGGCCTTGCTGGATCAGGCAAAGAATCCTTATAACAACTTTGGATCGGCAGAACTGGCACTGTTACAGGTACCATATAATACTTGCTCCAGGTTGGTAGGGAATCAATCTTTTAGTGCGGCACCATTTACACTTTGGAAGGCAGATGCCTTCACTGAACTCTTTTCAGTACCTGCTGGAAACATTTTTGCTTATGCATGCCTACCCAGATATGTAGAATGCTGACGTGTGTTTTATTTCAACTTTTTACAGTATCTTATTGCTGACATCAATTTTTTAAAGAGTTGTCTTTACTGATAATTACATTGTTTCATTCTTTTTTATTCAAACTGCTTTGAAGTTGTTGGTGGGTTGTTGTTGTTTTGCAATCAAGTGGTATACATTTTTATGCAGTAAATAAATATTGAATCCTAGAGTTGTTTCCCATGAACTTTCTTCTTTTTTTCTTTTAAAGAAAGGCTTGTGCTGTAAGTTACGGGATATAATGAACATAGTCAAATGAAAAGATAAAGTGAAAATACAACAACGGATATTGTTTTATGATAACTTGGAAGTTCCTTTATTGATTACAAGGAATATATGTTAAAACTTTTCTTAACCGTTAACGTGAAAAGTTACGTTTATCCATACAGAACACAAAGACAAGAGACATCACAAAACCCCCCAGGTAAGAAAAAAATCCAATCAGGTTACATCGTTTAATGCATTCTTCTTACCCACTCACGTAAATGATCCAATATATAAGTACCCGATATACTGAGTTTATTCTGAGTATTCATTCTTTCAATCAATCAATCAATCAATCAGCTTACAGCAAGCCCAAGTTACTCTCAAACAGTCCAGAATATTATTCCACTTTTAAATATTACAAGTGCCTTGTATTAAAATATTAACAATAGATCTATGCTGCTGGAGCCAGAAGGATAGTTACCGTATTTTTCGCTCTAGAAGATGCACCAGACCACAAGATGCACCTAGTTTTTGGAGGAGGAAAACAAGAAAAAAAATATTCTGAATCTCAGAAGCCAGAACAGCAAGAGGGATCGCTGCGCAGTGAAAGAAGCAATCCCTCCTGCTGTTCTGGCTTCTGGGATAGCTGCACAGCCTGCATTCGCTCCATAAGGCGCACACACATTTCCCCATACTTTTAAGGAAGGAAAACTGAGTCTTATAAAGCAAAAAATACTATGTTCTACCTCCACTGTCGGAGAAAGTATGCCTCTGAAAACCAGTTGCCAGGAACTGCAAGGAAGGAGAGCACAGCTGTGATCAAGATTCCTACTTGTGGGCTCCCCAAGGCCACTGTGAGAATAGGATGGGCTTCATGGGCCCTTGGGCTGTTCCGGCACAGCTCTTCTGACGTTCCTATGAACCGGTGGCGCCTGTTGTAGTTTCACTGCCCAGGCGCCAGTCGTTACTCCATTTGAGGCCACAACGAGCGGGAGAAGGAGGAGCGCTCGCTGAAATGTGCAACCGGCAAACTCACCTCCAGTGTTGGGGTCTGATGGCAATTGACACTGGTCAGCCCCCATGACCCACCAGAGGACACATGCTGACGGTGTCTGCCATAAAAACAATGCCCGTTTCGCCCTGGCAAGCAGAGCAAAAACAACAGGGTCACCGAAGAAGGGGAGCAAAAGGAAGGGGTGGCCGCATAGTGATGCAACAGGGCCACTTCCTCGCCTGCCAGGAAGCCTGACTGTTTAGGGCAGATGTCTAGCCTGCAAACACCAGTTTGTGAGCCAAGTGGCCACTGACCAAGGAGGAGCAACCCCAGGTTTTTCTGGCAGCACCCAAAGGAAGTTGAGAGAATAAAGGTCAGGAAGGTGGGTCAACAACCCCAATGTTACCCCTGAATTTCTCAAGCGACTCTGGGGGCGCCCAATAACACACCAACCCGTGATTTTGATTTAGCTACAACTTGCTACCTCCCGTTTATTTTGGATCTTCAGGGGTGGAAGGGAATATTCCCCCCATCTTTATTTTCCATTTCATCAATTCTATCTAACGTTGATTAAATTATTTTCCTCCAGTATTTCTTAATTTTCAATTCAAGCTTGCTGAATATCATTCGTTCATATATCTGCATCTTTTTAGCCTATTCAGTTTTTATTTTAACCAGGCTATGGGCTATTTCCACCTATGTAATACTGATTAATATTTTTATCATTTTTTTCTTTATTTGCAATATATATCATTCATAAATGGTGATTTATACACTGCTGTTTTTTTTGTTTTTGTAACCCCACCTCCCGACACAGAAGCACCATGTGTCTCAGTTATGTTTAATTTTGAAGTCATTTCAGCTTTTAAACAAAGGTATCATCCCACAAATGTGTTCTGCTGATTTAGAATATTTTTTCAGTTTTATTCAAGAAGTGTGATGAAATATTTCTGTCCTTGTTCTTTCCCATGCAGAGCTACTTTATATTTATATTTAATATTTAAAAATCTACAGGATTCTTACAAAGTAGCTCTAAGGATATGGGATTCATAAACTAATTTTGTCATCCAGAGCACTCATTATTCTCCCCTTACATAATCCTATGAAATTTAACTGCGATTTGCTATTAGCTCTATCAATCAGATTGCAAACACTGAATCTTATTTGAGATTGCTATTCTAAACACACTTACTAGACAGCAAATCCCACTGAAGACAGTGGAATATTTGTCTCAGTAAACTTGCGCTCTGAATCAGTTGAATATATCCAATAAAACTGATTTTTCACAACACCACAATACTCAAAATCTAATACCTACTTCAATTAAGAAATATTTATTTCTTAAAAACCAACGTGATAAATTAATATAATTAATCATCACAGGTCCCCAATTTGCCATCTCTCTCCCCACGATTGTAATGACTGCAGTAATCACACTGTGGAAAACATTTACAGAACAATGCATACATATCCAATATTAATTTGCTGGAGTCTTTTTATCCAACATTTAACCACAAGATTATTATGCATATCACATGCCAACTGCTCTTATAAATCCCCCTATCTGTTAAACCGATTAATAAGTTCCTTCTTTTATTTAACAACACCAACAAAGATTGCCATAGTTCATAAAATGAAACTCAGGACACAAAAGTTATTTTTGGCAAAGTTTTCAAGACTTTTTTTGCGAAATCTTTTTTTAAAAAAAGTGTTTTTGAGCTACTGTATTTTTAATGCCAATTGCCAAAATCTACACTACCGACATGGGCCACGTCTGGAAAATTCCACATGTATGTCAACCCTACTTTAACGTTGCACACGATCCTGACAAGTACAGTACTTTTGAGTGCCCTTCGATTTTGACCGCCAGCGTTAAGCAACTAACTGTTCCAAACTCTCCCACTGAACTCAAATGAGAGGCTGTAGAATCACAGAATTGTAGCGTTGGAAGGGATCCCGAGGGTCATCTACTCCAACACCCTGCAAGGCAGGAATCTCCCCCCCCCCCCCAGACTTGGGGCTCGAACCAACAACCGTGAGATTAGGAGTCTCATGCTCTGTTGACGGAACTACCCTATCTGAGTTAAGTGCAAAGCTCATGTTTTGCACGGATTGCCAATCAGTTACGACCATGCCATGCTAGATGGATTCAAGGTTTGATTATAAGGCAGCTTCACGTGTCTCGCTATGAGATTTGGAATTGCTTAAATTAGGCTGGGTTGTGCCTATTGATTCTCGCTTAATTCTTTCCAGTTGTCAGTGCCTAGGGGCTGTATCCAGCACTTGCAGCCGTGCTCATGCAGCAGACTCCAGTACAACAAAACTACTTCTTCTCCTGTCCCCTCCACACCCTACACCAGCACCCCCAAATCAGCTCCCAGGGGATGGGGAAGTCAGGTTATTATTTCCCCCCCGCAAGGTGGAAAGGAGAGGAAATGGAAGTTCCATTGCATAAGCAAAACTCCAGTGTTCAATGCAGCCCTTTGTAGTGATTAATACTATGAGGTTGTGTTTTAAAAAAGAAAAAACGCCAGAAATTTCTGAGCCTGTTTAAAAAAACCCCAGAAAGCTTTAAAACGTAATTTGAACCACGCTAAACACAAAAGAACAAGAAGCAATGAAATATTGCATGTATACACGCACATACATACTGTCTCTATGTAGTGGAATATCAAATCAATAAACGCAGCGTATTATAGGATTATAATGAAATTATAAATTATTGAAGGCAAACTTCACATAAATTGCAAGCTGGAACAAAACATGCAGCACAAAGCAAACATAGAGGGGAAATGAAGGTCACAAACACAACACAAAGAGCAAAGAGCCATGAGTGGTGCAGATGTGCAGAATGGTGAGCCACGAAACGAACTTTCCAAGTGCTAGGAATGAACTAGTTCGGTTTCGCAAAGTTCACTGGATTACTTCAAAAAATCTCCAAAGCCGTCCCTATAATTCCCGGGGGAAGAGAACGTGAATTAAGTTTGTTTTGGGGGTAGAACTTTGAACCATATCTAGTTCAGCTTCGGCTTCTTTCTTTTACGTGCGTTTTTGACTCTTCTAGGCTCCTTTACAATCGTTAATTGTTTCAACAAAACAAAATAAACAATTCACACCTTGTCTTCTTAAACTATATTTCACTCTTCAGCACAGCAGCCTGTAGCATCCTGAATGCTGAGATTCTTTTTGGTCAAGGATCCTTTAGGCCCACTTGAATTGAACTGTGGTCCGAACTAGTTCATTTTGCAAAGGGAAGACACTGAACTGGGATAAGTTCCCTTTTGGACTCACTGAACTTGAGCTAGTTCCTGTGAGAGAAAAAGAGCTTTCTAAGCTCCAGACTGACTTTCCAACTTGGCCTACAGCTAGGTAGCCAATAAGTAAATAATTCATTTAACATCACCATTGTTTTAATTTTTTATATTTGTAGCCCACCTCTCCTCCAGGGGGGAAGCACATGCCCTCCTCCAAAATTTTATGTCAGTTTATTCTGGTGGGTTAGTGAGAAAAATCCTGTCACGCAAAATGGTGGTTTAGGCAGGGCTGGCCTTGCATGAGGCGGCCGGGAAGGAGAGCTGAAGGCAAGAACTGGGGTCTTAATGGTACAAGAAGACTTTTCAAAGTGTTTGCCCTGGGAGGGCGAGGAAGGGTGCCATTTTGGCTCTGCTTCAGGCCGGAGATAAATATCATTAGACTCTGCTGCAGGCCGCAAAATGGACTCTGCATGTGTGTGTGAGAAAGAGAGAGAGAGATCATGCTCACACCATACATTTAAAGCAGTATAAAACTACTTTATAAACGGTCATGGCTTCCCCCCAATAATTATGGGAGCTATAGTTTGTTAAGGGTGCCGAGAGTACATTCCCCCTCTCAGAGCTACAGTTCCCAGAGGGATTGACTGTTAAACTCCTCTGGGAATTGTAGCCCTTGTGAGGGGCATAGGGAGGTCTCCTCACAACACTCGCCACCCTTAACAAACTACAGTTCCCAGGATTCCTTGGGGGAAGCCCTGACTGTTCAAAGCGGTGCAACAGTGCTTTAAATGGGATCCCTGAGAAGGGGTCTGTGCATATTTTATACCCCCAAATCCACCCACTCTGTACCCACCTCTATGGGATCCCTGTCAGGGTGAAGTACTATCTGGGCTAAGAGAGAGGTTCTCTCTTGGCAGCTGCAATGTCCCCATGGGATACTGCTTTTCCTTTCAAAAGCGCATGGTGACGGCACATTTAATGCAACCAGAATTTCAGAAACACTGCTAGGAACCGGAGCCAAACCTCCTTCCTGTCCCTGGTGACCCCCCCACCCCCAGCCATTAAGAACCAAGGCTGCCCCTATCTGTATATAAGCCTGCTCCAGGTTCTGGTTTAATTTTAAAATTGAAATAACTTTTATTGTTTTTTTTCCAAAAAGGAGGAGGTTATACAAGATTTTGCAAAACAGTGCTATCAAACAGGACTCTAGTGGCAAGATAAATACCCCGTATACAATTATAGATCATTGTCGAACATAAAATAAAGCCTAAATAAATAAATAAACGGCACCTACGCAGATGTGTGGAAGGTAACAACTAGAACTGTGTATAACACAGACAACGTAATGGTTGATCATGACAAACTCTGGGCTCTGTTGATCCCCTCTGGCACCCTCCATATGTTTCCTTCGTCTCTGACCATTGGCCATGCTTGGCTGCGGCTGAATGGATTTGAAAGGTTGATACTCCACTTTGAGCTCTGGCTCCGCACATCACAGACTTTGGCGCCACGCACTGACCCCAACAGATCACCCTCAAGAGAAAGTGGCCCTCAATGTGTGTGTGTGTGTGTGTGTGTGTGTGTGTGTGGAGTTTCACCACCCCTGCTCTAGAGTACAACAGAACGCTGCAAACCGTAATATACATAGCTAGATGCTCATAAGCGTTACCTTGCCTTAGAGACACAGAACTGAGCATAAACTAGGCCGCTAAGCAACAACCAAAGTACTTAAACGACAATAGTGCTAATCGGAAAACTGAAGTGCTTTCCCCTACCGTACCATTCCGATTCAAACCCTAACGCGACAGGTGCCCGGAATCGGGCTTCGGGTCACAAAACTGCCATACGGAACATTTTAAAGCCAGCATTACAGATCAGAACAGCTTTGGTTATATAGCTGTACGTTCAGCTGAAATCTTTCCTCTTCTCTCAACTACTCAAAAGCAGCTTATACTTTTCTTTAAGAAAGGCATTCGGCCCCGATTCCCGAAATTCTACTCTTCCTGCAGCTTCGGTGACTGATGGGAACATAGGTGTGGCTTAAGGAGATGTTCAGTAAACAAAGGTGCAATTTTACAGAGGAGGACTTGGGGACTTGAGGCTCCACAGCGATAAAGCATACCAGATATTCAGGGATAATGGGGGCAACCCTCCACAGTAACTTCACTCCTGAGCCGGACACTCGGAATCGAAAGAGTACATACCTGATTTCTCCCACACCGTTACAGCCTAGTAACAAGGACAGATACAAACATTTCAGAGTGGTGTCAAGGGCCTCTGCTGCCTTCAATATAAGTGTGTTTATTTTCTTAGCCTGGGGGTAAGCTCCAAAAAGTTGGAGCCAGGGAAAGGGCAGCTGCGGACAGCGCCAACTGGCTAGCACCCGTGATGTCACAAACAGCTTTCCCTGCTCCCCCGTGATGCAAACAGTTGTAAAATATTTGGTGGGTTGGGTTTTCCTGTTTGAGAAAGGAACAACAGAAGAACGTACGTGAGGTCCGCTGGCTTGTTTGTTAAAGGTAGACAACGCACACATAACAGACAGCTGAGCCCATTTGACTTGTTGGTGTGTGGCTGCCCTGCTGAACTGTGGCTATTTGCTAAATACTAAATCCGTCTTCACCCCAAGGTACTTCTCACCTAAGCCTGAGAAGGTCCTCTTGGCATTCTTCCTATAGGTATCTGGTTGGCCACTGTGGGTACAGGATGCTGGACAAAATGGGCCTCTGGCCTGATCCAGCAAATTCTTTTTATGTTCTTAACCAGGTGGTTAAGAAAGCCCAACAGAGACTCCATCTCCTCAGAGTATTGCGGAAGAACGATGTCAATCAACATTTGATGATCTCCTTCTACCGCTCCACAATCGAAAGTGTCCTTTCATACTGCATCACGGTGTGGTACGCTGGTTTGACAACATCTGATAGGAAGTGCCTGCAGAGGGTGGTGAATACAGCACAAGATATTATGGGCTGTCCTGTGAATCCGCTGGATGAAATAGCGGAAGAACGTTGCCTCAGGAGAGTGAGGAAAATTCTCAGGGATGATTCACACCCTGGCCGGCACTTTCTTGATCTCCTGCCCTCATGCAGAAGATATAGAAGCATGATTAGTCCCACCAACAGGGTAAAGAACAGCTTCTATCCGTGGGCTGTTAGGCTGCTGAATGAAAAGATAACAACAGGGCAACTGACTTTCGGGTTTGGTGTGTGTGTGTGTGTGTCAGTAAACGAGGGGAATTAAGAGAGCTGAGTTGGGGTGCTCGTTTAATCTCACTGTATACAAGTTGTACAAGTGACAATAAAGTATTTCAATTCCAATTAAGTGCTGGCTATTTGATATTGAATAAGGCTCCCCTTCTCCATCAAGCTCTCGAGATCGTTGAGGCGTTGGCTGGCTTTCGCTCTCAAGTGAACTCTGTGGTGAACCCGGAGGTGCGAGTGCCGAGCGAAGCACTTCCCGCACTCCAAGCATTTGTAGGGTTTCTCCCCCGTGTGGACTCGCTGGTGCTTCACGAGGTTGGACAGCTGAGAGAAGCATTTCTCGCACTCCATACACTTGTAGGGCTTCTCTCCCGTGTGGACTCGCTGGTGGCTCACCAGGGCCGAGCGCTGAGCGAAGCACTTCCCGCACTCCTGGCACTTGTGAGGCTTCTCCCCCGTGTGGACCCGCTGGTGGTTCACAACGTCCGAATGGATGGCGAAGCACTTGCCACACTCCAAGCACTTGTACGGCCTCTCCCCCGTGTGGATGCGCCGGTGTTTCACGAGGTCCGACTGCTGGGCGAAGCACTTCCCGCACTTCAAGCACTTGTAGGGCTTCTCGCCCGTGTGGACCCTCTGGTGGTTCACGAGGTTCGACTGGTGAGCAAAACGCTTCCCGCACTCCTGACACTTGTAGGGCTTCTCCCCCGTGTGGACTCTCTGGTGGTTCACGAGGACGGACTGCCGTGCGAAGCATTTCGCACACTCCAAGCACTGGTAGGGCTTCTCCCCCGTGTGGACCCTTTGGTGGTTGATGAGGACCGAGTGGCGTGCGAAACACTTCTCGCACTCGGGACACTTGTACGGCTTCTCTCCCGTGTGGACTCTCCGGTGCCTGACAAGCTGCGATCTCTGGGTGAAGCACTTGACGCACTCCAGGCATTTGTAAGGTTTCTCCCCCGTGTGGATCCTGTGGTGGTTCACGAGGACGGACTGGCGCGAAAAGCACTTCCCGCACTCCAGGCACTTGAAGGGCCTCTCCCCTGTGTGGACCCGCTGGTGTTTCACGAGCTCCGAATGGTGAACGAAATACTTCGCACACTCCAAGCACTTGAAAGGCTTCTCTCCCATGTGGACCAAGCGGTGTATGACGAGATCCGGTTTCTGAGGGAAGCATTTCCCACACTTGCGGCACGAGTTCTTCTTCCTCAAGACACCTGGAAGGGTGAGAAGTGGGGAGGGGGGGGGCACTGACAGGACTGACCTTCAACTCCAGAAGAGGAAGAATCGTAGAAAGTCAATCAGGGTGAGTTGTGGGAAATAAGCTGTAAATTTCCTGGAGACCTTTTTTGCCACAGGAGGTGGTGGCGGCAACCAGACCGCCAAATCGGGCGGCTTTAAAACTGGAAGCAAGCTGTAAATTTCCTGAGGTAAATTTTTGCCACAGAAAGTGGTGGCCACCAGACCACCAAATCAGGTGACTTTAAAACAATTCAGAGGTTTGGTGGCTGGGGCGACCCGAGAGAGGGTATTCCTTGTGGCAGCCCCAAAGTTGTGGGATTCCCTCCCCACACAGGGTAAGCAAGTGTTTCGAAGAAGAGCAGTGGGAAGAGGCAACACATCCAAATGTAATGGCTGAGACTCATGGCTGGCCATGTTTGGGCGATGGGGACACACCTCAATGGATTATTTGCCTGTTGGCATGCCCTAACCTCTCACCTGAGCACCTGCTGCCCAAGTTCCGAGGATCTGGTACCCAGGGAGCTTCTCCTTGTTCCAGACGAGTGATGAGGACAGGCTTTGCAACCGGAAACCCTTGATAAAAGATTTTCAAAAAATTAAAAGCCCTCCTCTTCCCGCAAAGGACTATCAGAAAGCAGGAGTTTTTTCTCCCTAGCTTAACAAAACAAGGCAGCAAAGTTCCTTACCTAAGGAGGTCACGTTCTCATAATTCTCCATCATGACCTCTCTATATAGAGCTCTCTGATTTGGGTCCAGCAGAGCGCCTTGTGCCTCTGTGAAATAGACGGCCACATCTCTGAAAGTCACCAGCCTCTGGAAGAAAGAAGAATCCTCGTCTCAGCCTCAAAAGCTCTCACCCGCAGAGAGAAAATGAAAGGCTGCAAACATTTCTATATTTCATTCCATAGTACTTATATACCAGAGTGTTTAAACAACCGATCCTTCTTCCTAGAGAGCTCTGGGAACTATAGCTCTGAAAGGGGAGGAGGGGGTCTCTTAACAATTCTCAGCACCCTTAACAAACTATAGTTCCCAGGATCCTCTGGGGGAAGCTATGACTGTTGAAAGTAATGTTAATAGTGTACAGTGGTACCTCGGGTTACATACACTTCAGGTTACAGACGCTTCAGGTTACACACTCCGCTAACCCAGAAATATTACCTCAGGTTAAGAACTTTGCTTCAGGATGAGAACAGAAATCGTGCTCCGGCGGCACGGTGGCAGCAGGAGGCCCCATTAGCTAAAGTGGTGCTTCAGGTTAAGAACAGTCTCAGGTTAAGAACGGACCTCCGGAACGAATTAAGTACTTAACCCGAGGTACCATTGTATTGTATCACATCCACGCAAGCCAGATGCGCAATCCCTCAATGGGCAGCACTTTTCCGTGGAGTTAAAAGGGTATTTTTGCATGTTCAGTGGTACCTCTGGTTGCGAACGGGATCCGTTCCAGAGGCCAGTTCGCAACATAAAAAGAGCGCAACCCACAGCGGCACATCTGTGCACACGTGGGTTGCGATTTGCCGCTTCTGCGCATGCGTGTGACGTCATTTTGCGTTTCTGCGCATGTGCGAGCGGCAAAACCCGGAAGTAACCCTTTCCGGTGCTTCCGGGTCGCCGCAGGATGTAACCTGAAAGAACGTAACATGAAGCAAACATAACATGAGGTATGACTGTACCCCAATCACTTCCACTTGGAAGGACTTTGGGCCCCAAATCTTACCTGAGTTGGCTCAGCTGCAGCTCTTTCCCATCCTCTGGAAGGAGGAGACAATCCGGACAGAAACATGGCCCTCATATTGTCTTCTGTAGAAGTTAAAAAACCAAAGAAAAAGTGGTTCATTTCAAGTACAAAAGAGGTGGGGGGAATCTCGTTTTTCAACATTACATTGGATTTTATGAGGTAAAATGAACGATGGGAAAAAGAGACACACACACACCCCTATATTCCCCTCCCAGAGCTACAGTTCCCAGAGTTCCATGTGAAGAGGATTTGACTGTTGCACCACTCTGGGAATTGTAGCTTGGTGGGGGTGGGAGGGAAAAGCCACCATTTACCCTTTTTGCTCCACACCCAGGGCCGGCCCAAGACATTTTGCCGTTTGAGGCAAAGGGACAAGCTGGCAGAAGCTGACCACGTAGGCGGCCGAATCGTGCTTCAACGCTGGCGAGAGGACAGCAGCCTCTTCCACCTCACCTGAGGCTAGCGAGCCACCTTTGGAGGCGCAGGCCAGGCGACATGGTGCTTGCTCAATTCCATCCTACCAACAGTTCAGCCCCATTCTCCGCCTCACCTGCTGCCCGGAGGCGGCCACCTCAGTCGCCCTAACAGCAGGCTCGGTGGCCCTGAGCACCCTCATCCAAAGAGATCCCAGGGGCATTGAGACAACATCTCTCCAGTTAAAGGAGCAAGGCACACGATAAAACAGGAAAACGCAAACTAAAAACCAAAATCCGTCGCCCAACTGAGCAGAGCGCTTCCTGCATCTGACAACGCAGACTCCAGTCCGCAAAAACTTCTGCCACCATGACTTCAGGCGCCCTGCGACTCTCTTTGGTGCGTTAGCTGCAACAGACTTACATTCTTGCCCCCCCCCAGACTCTGCCCACCCGCACATGCGTTTTGGAGTAGGGGTCAAGAAGGAGGACGCTATCGGAGGCTACTAGCCACAACGGCTACGTCTTTCCTCCACTGTCGGAGAGACAGCATGCTTCTGTATACCTGTTGCCAGGAATCGCAAGCAAAGGGACTGCTCTTGCACCCGGGTCCTGCTTGGGGGCACTGGGTTGGCGACTGTGAGACCAGGACAGGGTGGATCCTGCTTTCGGTGCACCATATTGATTGGTTTGCAATCCCTTTTTTTTAGCCACCCCTCATCCAAAGAGATCCATAGATGTCAACGTTTCCCTTTTTTTAAAGGGAAATTCCCTTATTCCGAATAGGATTCCTCGCAAGAAAAGGGAAAAGTTGACAGCTATGAAGAGATCCCAGGGGCACTCACACAACTCTCCAGTTAAAGGAGCAAGGCTCACAATAAAACAGGAAAACGCAAACTAAAAACCAAGTTGTTGTTTTTTAAGTCCTGCTACTACCCTGTGGGCCGCGAGATGCTGTTTGCTGCCCCAACTCTAACCACCGCTAATGGTCAGGGATGATGGGAATTGCAGCCCGGAAAAATCGGGGGAGGGGCACTCAGCAAGGCTGCAGAATTGCTAGATGACCCGACTTCTTTTTCCTTTGCTTTTAAAAATCTGTTTCTTCCTGTCCTTCCCTTCACATCTCGTTCGATTGCTAAAAAGGGGAGAGGACAGCAGGCGCCCAAGCAAGCCGTGATCTCCTCCTGCCCACCGTTTTTGCCTCCACTGAATTCCCCCCATTCTTCTTCTTCCACCTTTCCAAGGTTTGGGGTTTGGGGGGTGGGAGCGGCGGAGGGAGAGGAAACAAAGGAAAACTCAAAAGCCCTGCAGCCGCTCCCTTCTCCACCCCACACCGCTTCCAGATCCATCACCCTCAAAATCTAAGACAGAATCAGAAAAGTGGGGCGAGGGGGAGGAAAGATGGGAGCCCACCCCACCCAGCCTCCTTCTCCAGGAAGGCAAGCGCCCCTCTTTCTGGACCCTCACCTGCATTGGCTAAATTGCGCACAGGCTCCTCCAGGATGCAATTCACCAAGGTTGGGGGCGCGCCACCCCACCGCACCCCACTCCCAGCAGATCCCTTTCCGCTCCCCAACCTCCCCACCCCCAGATCCAATGTCTCCGCTAGATCTCTTGGGATTCAGACAGCCTGACCCTGCCTGCTGGGACTTGTAGTCCTCTTCCCCCCCCCTCTCTCTCGCCCCCTCCTTTGCGTCTGCCCCGCACAAAAACCAAACAGAGGGGATTCTGGGAGCTGTAGTTCCCCCAGCGCCACCCTCGCCTGTGATTTAGGAGCAAACGCCAGGCTGTCGAGAGCACTGCTGTCAAAAATAGAAAAAAGGGTCTGCGATGGGCTTGCATTTTTCAAAACCAAACAGAAAGCAACAACAGCTTTTGGCGGGTTATAAGCCCGTCGTGGTTTCATTCTGATCAAGCTCATCCCCAAAATTCACTGAAGTGTTTTATGTCCCGTCCTCTGGCTGGGTCGGGATGGCATGGGGATGAGGGACCAATTCCCTTCTCTTGCGGGGGCCCAATTAGTGCCATTGCCTTCCGTTAAGAGTTTGGGTGTAATCCTTGACGCCTCCCTTTCCATGGAGGCGCACGTTACAGCAACAGCCAAGGTGACATTTTTCCACCTTCGCCGCATCAAGCAGTTGGTCCCTTACCTTTCCCGCCCCGACCTGGCCACAGTGATCCATGCGATGGTCACCTCCAGGCTTGACTACTGTAATTCCCTCTACGCAGGGCTGCCCTTGAAACTGTCCCACAAACTCCAACCGGTGCAGATTGCTGCAGCGAGGCTCCTCACGGGGGCTCTGCCATGGGAGCATATTCACCCAGTGCTTTTCCAGCTGCACTGGCTCCCGGTGGAGTACAGGGTCAGATTTAAGGTGCTGGTTTTTACCTTTAAAGCCCTTCACGGCCTAGGACCCTCATACTTACGGGACCGCCTCTCCCGGTATGCTCCACGGAAAGCCTCAAGGTCCATAAATAGCAACACCCTAGTGGTCCCAGGCCCTAAGGAAGTCAGATTAGCTTCAGCCAGAGCAGGGCCTTCTCAGCACTGGCTCCGGCCTGGTGGAACGCTCTGCCTCATGAAACCAGGGCCCTGCAGGATCTGATTTATTTCCGCAGGGCCTGTAAGACAGAGTTGTTCTGCCTGGCCTTCGGCTTGGAGCCAGTTTGATTCCCTCCCTCTCTTTCTTTTTTCTTTTCCTTTCTCCTGCGATGAGGCTACATTTTAATATTTTAATGTTTCAATATTTTAATGTTGTATTTTAGTTTTGTTTTTAACTTGTATTCATTCAACTTGTTTTTATTAGTGCTTGTTAGCCGCCCTGAGCCCAGCCTTGGCTGGGGAGGGCGGGGTATAAATAAAAATTATTATTATTATTATTATTATTATTATTATTATTATTATTATGTTTCCTAAATGGTGTGTTTTATGACGACTCTCGTCTGATCTGCAGCTGAATAACATATTTGGTTTAAAGGGAGGTCAGAGTGAACTAGCTGTTAGGTTGCGTTTATGGCTTAGAGGAAAACAAGCTAGCAGGCAGTTTGGTTCCTTCTCATGTGTAGCAGCGTTTGCACCTCTTTCCCTGCTGCTCCTGAACCTAGACTTAAATGTCCGCATGCAAAGAACCGATGCAATGGCTGTTGTACTCCTGGGATAGCTCAGTTGGTAGACTGCGAGACTCTTAATCTCGGTCATGGGTTCGAGTTTGGGCAAAGATTCCTGCATTGCAGGGGGTTGGACTAGATGATTCTAAAATGGTCTCATTCGCTGCAACACAACCTTCTTTCAGACCAGGCCAGGCTGAGGTCGCTGCAGGGTAGAACTCAGGATTGCCAGAGCCTGTTTCCTTTTGGATTTCCAGATCTTTTCCTCAAAAGGCACCCTAGTCTAGCCCTTTCACTTATAGGGATATAATGAGAAATACTCATAACACATTCTGGGTTTTTTTAAACACAGCACCTCACTTGTATTTGAGCTTCATTAGCAAAATAAGGTTAAATGGTTCTAATTATTCCATAGCTCCTTCTCCAAAGGAACTTACGTAGTAACGGGAGAAATGAATATGAGTGAATTCGGTTGCAGTTGGAAAGAATGAGAATGCTATTATTATTATTATTATTATTATTATTATTATTATACCGCCCTTCATTCAAAGATCTCAAGATGGTTCCCAGAACAAAAATGTGAGATTAAAAATGCATAATAAAAACAGAAACAAATCTATAACCCCCTTCCTCCTTCCACAAGCATGTAAAAGGATATGAGATGTCAGTCAGCCCAAGTCCTGATTAAACAGGAACATTTTTACCTGGCACCTAAAGATGACTAATGAAGGTGCCCAACGAGCCTCCCAGGGGAGACCATTTCACAAATGAAAACAATTTGAATGAAAACAGTCACAACAGAATGGAATGCCTCTGTCACGTGACTCACAGTCAGCCAATCACATGAGAGATAAGGGTGCCTTGGGCTTTGAAGATGCTCAAACTCAGGACGAAAGGGAAAAATGTGCTAAGAAGAAGACACGCTTGGCAAACCCTCACCGGGATCAACTCCCGTCCGGAAACCTCAGTCCCCACTGTGGAAGGGCGTGTGGATCCGCCTCCCCTGGTATGCCCCACAGAGGACCTTAAGGTCCACAAATGACAACATTTTGGAGGTCCCAAGTTGCAAGGCGGTTAGATTGGTCTCAGCTAGGGCCAGGGCCTTTTCAGTACTGGCCCCGACTTGGTGGAACGCTCTGTCACATGAGGGCCCTGCGGGACTTGACATCTTTCTGCAGGGCCTGCAAGACAGAGCTGTTCCGTCTGGCCTTTGGTTTGGACTCAGTCTGACCCTTATGTTTCCCTCCCCTTAGTGTCTTGATTTATTGGCTGCTTTTAAAATGAGGCTGCATTTTAAATTGCATTTTAACCTATACAGTGGTACCTTGGGTTAAGGACTTAATTCGTTCTGGAGGTCCATTCTTAACCTGAAACTGTTCTTAACCTGAAGCACCACTTTAGCTAATGGGGCCTCCTGCTGCTGCTGCGCCACTGGAGCACGATTTCTGTTCTCATCCTGAAGCAAAGTTCTTAACCCGAGGTAATATTTCTGGGTTAGCGGAGTCTGTAACCTGAAGCGTATGTAACCTGAAGCGTATGTAACCCGAGGTACCACTGTATTTTAAATTGTATTCCCCCCCCCCCCATTACGTTTTTACTGTGATTTTATTGGTGTTAGCCGTCCTGAGCCCGGGGTATAAATAAAAATTATTATTATTATTATTATTACACCAACCACCCGTCTCGCTGATCCACAGCAAAAGCAGGGCTTTGGTTAAAAGCATTGGCTTTCCACCTCTGCAGAACTGCCCCCGGCATTCAGGAATCCATGAGGTTCCATCAGCCTCCAGGGACGGACCATCCAATCTGGCCTTACCACCCATCCAGACTTTATGAGATATGGTGATCCAGGGGGATGCACTGAACACACAACCTCTTGTATGTACACAGAACCCTATTTATAGTTCTAGGAAGAAACACCATGCAGTCGTGGGCATATGATGCCAGTGGGCATGACACTAAAATATTAAAATATAACCCCTGCTCACTGAGCAATAGCAGCTGGTTGAAACCAGTTTTTTTCCAAAATCCTTGACTCGCTACCTGTCCGCTGGCAGCTCTCGCCTCCTTGCATTCCTTCTCTTGCAACAAGGTTCCCAGTTTATGTGCCGCTGGGAGTCTAGACATGTTCTCGACAGGCATTCGAGTCGTGTATGTGAGTGCCAGGCTTTCCCCTGCCCCTCCCTACCCTGAGCAAGGCTCCACCCGGTTGCCAACTATTTTAATTTCAAAAAAGTTTGATTTTTACTACCCATCTGATTTTGAAACCCCACGATGGAATTGTGTTTTAGTTAACAAGATGCATGAAGCACTTCATTAAAGTGTTTTTGCCTGGATAACTCAGCTGGTTAGAGCGTGGTGCTGGTAACGCCAAGGTTGCAGGTATTTTTCTGCATTGAGGGGGGTTGGACTAGATGATCCTCAGGGTCTCTTCCAACTATAATACTATTGGAGAGGCGGGAAGCTCTCTAAGTGGCTCACATAATACAAAATGTTGATAAGAAAATACAGATAAAAACCAATGCGCTTAAAAGAAAAAGAAAAACAAATTACACCTAATAAAATTAGGCAAATCTAGTGAAAGTTGTTGTTGTTTAGCCGTTTAGTCGTGTCCGACTCTTCGTGACCCCATGGACCAGAGCACGCCAGGCACTCCTGTCTTCCACTGCCTCCCGCAGTTTGGTCAGACTCATGTTTGTGGCTTCGAGAACACTGTCCAACCATCTCGTCCTCTGTCGTCCCCTTCTCCTTGTGCCCTCCATCTTTCCCAACATCAGGGTCTTTTCCAGGGAGTCTTCTCTTCTCATGAGGTGGCCAAAGTATTGGAGCCTCAGCTTCAGGATCTGTCCTTCCAGTGAGCACTCAGGGCTGATTTCCTTCAGAATGGATGCGTTTCTAGTGAAAGAGGAGAGTGCAAAATATGGTCTGAAGCTCATCACCTAAAAAACTAAGATCATGGCCACTGGTCCCATCACCTCCTGGCAAATAGAAGGGGAAGAAATGGAGGCATTGATAAATTTTACTTTCTTGGGCTCCATGATCACTGCAGATGGTGACAGCAGTCACGAAATTAAAAGACGCCTGCTCCTTGGGAGAAAGGCGATGACAAACCTAGACAGCATCTTAAAAAGCAGAGACATCACCTTGCCAACAAAGGTCCGTATAGTTAAAGCTATGGTTTTCCCAGTAGTGATGTATGGAAGTGAGAGCTGGACCATAAAGAAGGCTGATCGCCGAAGAATGGATGCTTTTGAATTATGGTGCTGGAGGAGTCTCTTCAGAGTCCCATGGACTGCAAGAAGATCAAACCTCTCCATTCTGAAGGAAATCAGCCCTGAGTGCTCACTGGAAGGACAGATCCTGAAGCTGAGGCTCCAATACTTTGGCCACCTCCTGAGAAGAGAAGACTCCCTGGAAAAGACCCTGATGTTGGGAAAGATGGAGGGCACAAGGACAAGGGGACGACAGAGGACGAGATGGTTGGACAGTGTTCTCGAAGATACCAGCAGGAGTTTGACCAAACTGCAGGAGGCAGTGGAAGACAGGAGTGCCTGGCGTGCTCTGGTCCATGGGGTCACAGAGTCGGACACGACTAAATGACTAAACAGCAACAACAAGGATAAAATTCAGTTTTAAAACTGATATACATAATATAAAAATCGCAAGTCTGGGAAGGCCTGTCTTAAACTAAAAAGTTTGCAGCTGGCCTTGAAAAATGTACAAATGCACCTATATAGTATCAACCTGCAGAGAGTTCCACAGAGTAGGCCCTGCTATGCTGAAAGACAGATTGTAGCTTCACTAAATATTGAAATACGACATGTGATCGGATCGTAGCTTTTGCTATAAAAGCACACAGCTTTTCGCCAGAGGGGAGCAGGCAGCAGTATTTTGAAACTCAAGACAAAACCAGCAAGAGAAGCTTTGCTCTCTGTCTGGACCGCGCTGTGCCTGTTGTCTATTCCACCCCAGCATCAGTTGCCATCAATAAGGGACACAGCTCTCTTTACAGTATTATTTGTAAATGATAAAATGTGAAGATTTTTACGGTTAAAGTAAGGGTGATTAAAAAAAAAGGTTAGAAATTATGATATATGTAAACTGCTAAATATGAGGTAAAATGAAAATCAGATAGGGGGAACTTGGAGAAGCCCACCGAACGATGTTTAGAGAAAAATAATGATAAGACAAGAATCTGTTTGTATTGTTTGTTTTTGTGTTTGTGTTGTTTATTTGTGTTATAAAATGAATAAAAATATGTGAAGGGGGGAAAAAGGGGGACACAGCTCTCTCGTTCAGACGATATGAGTCGCCTGTATTGTGGTGCTTGAAAACCAGGGGGAAGGGGGGGAAAGCAAGAGAAAACTGTTCTGGTCACATATTAAGTTTATTTTGCAGCTATTATTTATCCTTTTTTTAAAATAAAAAAAACACAAGGAGGATCCAAAGGGGGCAGATCTAAGTGCCATCAGAGAAACTGGGAGGGGAGTATACACGTACACACACACACACACACACACACTGCATTTTGCAAACTTCCCTTTGCCCTTCTCCTACACACACACACACACACATACACACACACACAATTGGAGACAGTAGTTTAAAAGAGACACCCTTCCTCACTCTCCCACATTTACCCAAATGCACAGGTTCCTTAGTCTCAGCCATCAGGGGGCAGCAGAGGCGCACAGAAAGTCTCAACTGGGCCACGAAGTGTGGGGGGGCGTTGTAGGGGGAGGTAGTGTCCGCGGTGCCAGCCCCCAGCACCCCGAACCGCAGGATCCAATCCCCACTGACCCCTCCTGGAGGCAGCCGTGAGATCAGCTGACAGAAGTGGCATAGCCCATTTCTCGACACGAGCAGGAGTTCCACTGAGGGGGCGGGTCCGTTCCCCTGGCGCGAGGGCCCCCACTTTCCGTTAAGGGTGCTCTTCTCCCCCGTGTCGTCGGGGTGGTGGGGCCTCCCTTTTCTACCCTTCCCAGCAGGGCCTGGGCCGGGTTAGCCCCCTCCCCCGTGCTCCCCGAGGTACAGGGTGCGCTGCGGGGGCCGCCGGCCTGAGGGCAAGGTGGGCCTGGGGGCCCGCAAGGCCGCGCGGGCCGTCGCTCTCCCGGAAAAGGCCGGCGGGGAAGAAGGGTGAGTGCGGTTGTCGCGGGTGGCAGCGTCATGCCGCCTCAGGAAGGGAGGCACCGTGGAGCTCTTGATGTGGATGACGCGGGTGTCCATGACCTCACAGTCTATCTGCATCATCACTTCGTAGCCCAGGGACGAATTGTACAGGCTCTCTGGGGGAGAAAGAAAACAAAGCAAGAAGGCGATTCTTATTTGTTTCATATTTGCTTCATAGAATTTATACGCTCCCTCTGGAGGGAATGAGAATGGTCGTCTTTCCCCCCAACTGTATATAACATTATTGTAACCTGCCCTGGCACCTTATAGTATAAATTTTATAATATAGGTAAAGGTAAAGGGACCCCTGACCATTGTTCCAGTCACAGACGACTCTGGAGTTGAGGCGCTCATCTCACATTATTGGCCAAGGGAGCCGGCGTACAGCTTCCGGTTCATGTGGCCAGCATGACTAAGCTGCTTCTGGCGAACCAGAGCAGCGCACAGAAATGCCGTTTACCTTCCCTATTTATTTACTTGCAGTTCATGCTTTCGAACTGTTAGGTTGGCAGGAGCAGGGACCGAGCAACGGGAGCTCACCCCGTCGTGGGGATTCGAACCGCCGATTTTCCAACTGGCAAGCCCAAGAGGCTCAGTGGTTTAACCCACAGCGCCACCCGCATCCTAGTAATAATAATAATAATAATAATAATAATAATAATAATAATATAGGTTAAAGAAAGGTAAAGGTAAAGGACTCCTGGACGCTTAAGTCCAGTCAAAGGTGACCATGGGGTTGCAGTGCTCATCTCGCTTTCAGTCCAAGGGAGCCAACGTTTGTCCACAGACAGATTTACGGGTCATGTGACCACCATGACTAAACCATTTCTGGTGCAACAGAACACCGTGATGGAAGCCAGAGCGCATGGAAATGCTGTTTACCTTCCCGCCGCAGCGGTACCTATTTATCTGCTTGCACTGGTGTGCTTTCGAACTCCTAGGTTGGCAGGCGCTGGGACAGAGCAATGGGAGCTCACTTCATTGCAGGGATTCGAACCGCTGACCTTCCGATCGGCAAGCCCAAGAGGCTCAGTAGTTTAGAAAACAGCGCCAAAGGGATATACATATATATAGATATGGAGATGCAGATGTAGTCGGTGACTGCATCTGGCACAAAACATTTGGACACAAAGTCCTCAAGTCCACCCGCACGTTTTCTTTTCTTTCTTTTTTTTACCGTTGAGAGCCATGGCTGGCATCACCAGTGACATTTTTGGGCGGGAGGTTTTGTTGTGGCTGATGGCAGGCAGCAGCAAGTGATCCTAAGGTTAAAGAGGGGGAAAGACAGGAGAGGAAAATCTGTCAGTTTGCATTTCTTTGTGCAGAAAGTATGTATTGATCTGATGTGTAGAGATCTTTCCTACTCTACTTAATTCAGGAGGGTTCTGGAAGCTTCTCTGTGTGAAAGAAGCAAGCTGAAGGCTCCTGATGTTTGGGTTATTGCTTCAGAGAGGCTGAGTACAGCTGGCCTAAACTGGTTCTGTTATTTTTTCTGACAAGGTCATGCTGACTATAATAGTAAGGCCAGAAGGAGCCTGGGTTTGACTTTCTCTTTCTATCTCTTTTCCGTCTGGTGTGGTGTTCTGTACATAGACTTATTAGAAGTTATTGTAAGTTTAAGTTAAGTCTGCTGCAACTGGATTTCTTATGGACAGTGCCAGTCCTGAATGTACTGGATTTGTGACCATTGTGCTCATTGGCCTTCAGAAGCAGTAAAGCTCTGCTGGATGAAATACAATTGCCTCTGGTCTTTGGGAATCCTGCAATGTGTTTAAGTTTTTACTCTGCTAACTCTAAGTCGGAGTTCTGCTCTGGATCAATACTGAGTGGGCTTTCATGACAAAATCATCACTGATGTAAGAATTAAGAGACCCAGGGTGTGCTGGAGTTCAAGGACACGCCCTGACAACCTCTCCCCGTTTGGCTCCCAGACTCCACAAATGCCGGCCCAAGGAGCTGTGTTCATCATCCCAGACGCCTGCATTGCAAGGTGACTCTCATGGTCCCTCCCAATTCTACAATTCTATTATCCCAGCTATTAAAAAAACATTTAAAAGATGGGTGCAAAGCAGAGGTAGGAACGGGGTATGGCTGTGAAAGGGATGTGGCCTGGGGACAGCCCCAGCATCCCTGAGCGCCAGCCATGCTGGAAGGAGCTGATGGGAGTTGTAGTTCAGCAACTACAGGAAGGGCCACAGGTTAGGCACTCCTGCCTGGTGGCTTCCGAGAAGGGAAAATTCTCCATTTGCATCTTTGCCCCAGTGTGCCTTTATGCAACCTGTAATCTTCTGCCCAAGGGCTTCCTTCCTCTACTGCTTTCTTCTCAGCTCTCTCTCTGGAGCCACATGCCTGAAGGAGAACATTGTGCAATGCAAAATCTGGGGCGCCGCACTGCCTGCTCAACTCTCTCAGTGCCCCGCAAGCCGCTCTTTACTCACCCTGCGGAAGGACACCACGTAGAAAGTATCCTCGCGGCGGTCAATCGCGTCCATGAAGTCGTGTTCTGTGTGGTCAGGGTGCTGGTATACCTGCAGCTGACTGAGGGAATTCCTGGAAAGGCAGAGGAGGAGGAGGGGTTGGAGAGGAGATCTGTTTGCAAACATAAGGGCTCCCTCCACCTCATCACTGTCACGGGACACAGGAATGGAGTCTCCAGCGGGTGGGTAGAGGGAGCAACGAAGCAAGGAGCCAATTTGAAGAGGCTCCACCAGGCCTCTTCTCCCTTAGCCCTGGAGGCAGCTGTTCCATTAGCCAGTCTCTGGGGGGGAGATGGGAAGCAGGGCTCACCCCATCCGTTCTGCTGTGAGAGGCCAGCTCAATTGCGCACCTCCTACCCCTTATAATGCCAGCTGGTCATTATAAGAACTTAAGAATTGGTGCTGGAGTTTGAGTTCTTCCTCTTCCCTCCCTGATCCCTTTTCCTCGTGTGTGTTGGGAAGGGGGTTAGCTTGTCAGCCAGAGGGGCAGGGTGTTTCCACATCGAAAAAGGGAGCTAACTCAAAACAATTTGGTGCAGAAGCTGCTTACCTCTCAGGGTGCCTGGGGGGGCTGGCGGGGACGTAGCGGGAGGGGCTAGGGGGCTTCTTTTGTGGCTTTTCCTGAAATGAAGAATGAAATTAGGATATGAAAAGGCTGTGAAGCAACAGAGCCCCTGGCCCTGCCCTCAACCTTCTTGGCAAACCACAGTAAGATTCTGGGCGCCCTTGTCTAGCCCCACAAGGGATTATCGCCACTGCACCCCTCCATTTCCCTGCCCAGTTGCCTCCCCACAATCCACATCACACCTGGCTGGCTTGAGCTGCTTTGCGAGACTGTGAGGGTTTCCTGCGGTTGATCTGGTGCCGGCGGACCCAGCCGCTGAGCTCGTCTGCCAGTCTGTAGGGGGGATGAGGACGCAGGCAGAAGGGTCACCCACAATGTTCCCAGGCCTCAATGCTCACAAAAGTCCTCTCCAAAATGCTTAGCACCCCCTCCCTTCTCCTGCCCCAGGACCCACCTGAGGGATTCAGTGCGGTTGAACTGGCGGCAATCGGAAGCGAGGAACAACTTGTCCAAGTCCCTGAGCATCAGGTCCTTCATGTCAGAGAAGGGAGCCGACAAGTTTCTTGGGGGGGGGGTGGAGAGAGAGAGAAGAAAATGTGAATTTTAAATAGTGATTGGCCGAGAGAGGAAATCAAGTGTTGAGGGAGAGCTGAGAAGAGCACATGGTGATTTGGGAGTCGCACAATCTGTAAGTAGCTGCTCAACCTGGAGCAAAACCACATGTTTCAAGAACAGAATGAGGTGGGCTGGCTGCAGTTGGACAGTCCCCTTCCCTTCCTGCCAAACCAACTTTGCATTTTACACCATACATCTGTAATGCGGGAATCTCAACTAAATCATCCATGACTCATGGCCATCCAAGCTCTGCTCAGAAACTTCCAATGTCACCTTTAGTTCCTTGGGAGAAATGGGTGGGGCAGGAATGCAATAAGTCAATAAAGGAAGGCCTGGGGAGGGGAGTATGAGTTGGCAGAGTCAAATGGGGCCGCCAGAGAGGCATGGAGGGCGATTGTCGGCCCTCTCCAAGCCTGAGGACCCTCACCCCTGGGTTAGCATCGCATCCAAACACAGTCAAGGACTTCTTCCTGGTTGCCAGGGCCCCCAAAATATTTTTTACAGAGAGATGCACGGGCAGATTGTTTCTTCTTCTCTTCACCGCCTTGTTGTTTCTCCTGCCTGCCCCCCAAATTTACCGGAACTGTGCCTTTCTCAGCCTGGCTGGGGCCTCCTCTTGCCGCTCTTCCTGCTCCTCCTCTGGAGTGTCGTGGGTCTCCTCCGCAATGCCTAAGAGGTGCCTCCGGCCAGGGCCAGCCTCCACCTCCTGCTTCGGCAGCTCCACGTCTGCCACCTTGCGCTCACTGATGCTGGAGAGATGGAAACGGGGAGTTAAGTTCCCTAGAGGAATTCAGGGACACTCTACCAAAGAGGTCAGAGCTTTCTTTATTATCATTTTTATTTCATTAAAATATCTATGAACCTATCTGTAAAGGTAAAGGACCCCTGGATGGTTAGGTCCAGTCAAAGGTGACTACAGTGGTACCTCGGGTTACAGACGCTTCAGGTTACAGACTCGTGCTAACCCAGAAATAGTACCTCGGGTTAAGAACTTTGCTTCAGGATGAGAACAGAAATTGTGTGGTGGCGACACAGCGGGAGGCCCCATTAGCTAAAGTGGTGCTTCAGGTTAAGAACAGTTTCAGGTTAAGAATGGACCTCCAGAATGAATTACGTTCATAACCCGAGGTACCACTGTATGGGGTTGCGGCACTCATCTCACTTTCAGGCCAAGGGAGCCAGCGTTTGTCCACCGACAGATTTCTGGGTCATGTGGCCAGCAGGACTAAACTACTTCTGGCTCAATGGAACATCGTTACAGAAGCCAGAGCGCCTGGAAACACCGTTTACCTTCCCGCCGGTGTGGTACCTATTTATCTACTTGCACTGGCATGCTTTTGAACTGCTAGGTTGGCAGGAGCTGGAACAAAACAACAGGAGCTCACTCCATCATGGGGATTTGAACCGCCGATTTTCCAACTGGCAAACCCAAGAGGCTCAGTGGTTTAGGTCACAGCGCACTGAGTCACAGCATGTGACTCCTTTCCTAGCGTGATGCAAAAAGGAGAGTTGCCTACAAGAAATGCAGGGTGGGGAGAGCTTTCAGGGCTCTAGTCCAACTTCAACCCAGGAAATATGCTTCCCTATCCAGTCTGCTAAACTTTGCCAAACATCCAGCAAGCCTACACATGCCAGCTTCACCACCTACGAGTGAAACCAATTTCTCTGGGGCCTTGCCAACTTCAGAGGCTCCCAGACAGGGACTGCCTAGCAAAGTCATTCACTCCCCAATTGTGGGACTGGAGGGACACCCGCAAGCACTCTGAAGCCTCACCTGACAGGCCCAAAGTTGAAAGCTATGAAGAGCAGCAGCACCATGACGCAGATGACTTTCCGGTTGCCAGAGCCAAATTTCAGCTCATTGTTCTGCAGGGAGAAGGCAAGAAACATGTGGTTATGGCCACAGAGGCATGTCGCCCACTTAGAAGTCTCACTCCCGGTATAATACCACTTTTCCAATTTTCCCCGGCACTGAGACTTGGTATTATACCAACAAAAACAGAGTGGCTTACCAAATTATTGGAGTGCTACAATATATCCAAAACAATGGGAGAAATTGGAAGGATCTCAAAAGAGGATAGACAGGGACTGGAAGGTGTTTAAAGGATACTTGCAAAACCATATCGAAAAATCAGAACTCCTAGTAGAATAAACAAGTTCCGTTTTAAATACTGAAATACTAAATAAGATGGATAACAATGTGTAATAGAAAAAGAAGCATGAAAGTAGGTTAAAGGTGTGTGAAAGAAAGTAATAGAAGTGGAAAGAAATTGCAATTGAGTAGATTGGAAGTCTAACACAAAGGTGGGGTGAGGGGTGGTGGATGGTGATGGGAAAAGGAATTATCCGTGGGATTGAGTGTAGGTATGTTTGAACATTTTTAAGGATTGTATAAAATGTATGTTTGTATGCTTGTATATTTGCAATATGTGTGTATTAAAGCTGAATTATTTTAACAATAAAAACCTTTTTTAAAAAAGAAGCCTCACTGCCCTTGCAGTGCCCAAATCATTATTATTTAGCCAAGGGACGTCAACTGTGTCCCTTCTGTGTCCCTTCCAATGGGATTGTGAGAGTTTGGGGCTCCCCTTTGGGGAGTGGGCATCATCGTAGCCCTGCATGGCACTGGTAGACGGCCCAGCCGACTTCTCGTACAGAGTGAGACAAACTAGAAAACATCTAGACAAAGGTTCCCATCACTGAAGAGAAGCTTTCCATTAACCACTTGCATCCAAATGTCATGTTTAAGGATTTCAAGACAAACAGAACCAAACACCAATTATTTTGAAAGCAGACTGCTGTTCTTCATAAAACAATGGAGATGATAGCAGCCGAGCCACTGGAACCAAACTTGTGGGGAAAAAACTCTTTTTACTGTTTAGTGAAGCTTTTAATGTTTAATAGACGATTGTATTTTAATATTCTCTTGAAAGCTGCCCAGAGTATCTAGGGAAACCCAGCCAGATGGGTGGGGCATAAATAAAAAATTATTATTATTATTATTGGTAACTAAGCACTAGAACAGTTTTTACTGCTGCTTTAGTTTCCTGTTTGTGTCTTAATGTTTATTATATATTGTATTTGGGAGGGGAGGACTTGGAATTTATGATGAAGGGTGGTAAATAATATAAACATAAATATGAATATGAATATGAATATAAATATAAATATAAATACAATAACACCTCCCCAGAAGAGGTGTAAGCATTTCAGTGCTGGCGAGGCATTTATAGATGCAGAAGTGATACGTTTCAGCAGCTATGAAAAGCCCACCCCTGCCCAGCACAGGAGGGAAGACAGATATGGGAAAGGAGGAAGTCTTAGTCCACACAGGAAGAGGGCCATGACATGTGTTCCCTTATTTTCTCCTGCAAGGAGAGGCAGAACAGGCAGAATGAAAACCACACTGCCAGACTCCTTAGGATGACCCTGCATTCTGGCTCTCACGTGTTCACTCCAAACTCCATCCACCTGCAGAGGTGAGACTCGTGTGCAGTCACGCAACTACCCAAGCAAACGTGTAAGAGGCAGTCAGGTAGAGTTTCTTGGGCCACGGCCTCTCCTGTTGTACCATAATCACTCACTCTAATAGCAGGCTCATAATAATAATTTATTATTCATACCCTGCCCATCTGGCTGGGTTTCCCCAGCCACTCTGGGCGGCTTTCAACAGAATATTAAAATACAATAGTCTATTAAACATTAAAAGCTTCCCTAAACAGGGCTGCCTTCAGATGTCTTCTAAAAGTCTGGTAGCTGTTTTTCTCTTTGACATCTGATGGGAGGGCATTCCACAGGGCAGGTGCCACTACCGAGAAGGCCCTCTGCCTGGTTCCCTGTAACTTGGCTTCTCGCAGTGAGGGAACCGCCAGAAGGCCCTCGGCGCTGGACCTCAGTGTCCGGGCAGAATGATGGGGGTGGAGACGCTCCTTCAGGAATACTGGGCCGAGGCCGTTTAGGGCTTTAAAGGTCAGCACCAACACTTTGAATTGTGCTCAGAAATGTACTGGGAGCTCAGGTGGTGAGGGCCAACAGGACTGGAGTTAAAGTGGGACTGCAGAGGAACGAGAGAGGTTCATGCTTGCTCAAAGGAACCCCGAGGTTTACAGAAGTTAAACTCAAATTAAACTCAAACAGGGCAATCCCACCTCTCCACCAGCCTGAAAATCAGCTCAGTGAGAACCATGCAGGCAGGCTTGGCAGCCGCGGGGGGTACTGAGTGTCACTGGCTGACATCCAGAACAGAAGAGCTCCTGTTGGAAGGCAAAGCTACACTGCAGCATTTTGTTGCAGTCCTGCTGGTAATCCACAAATTGCTGAAATGTGGATGTAATGCGGGTGGACAAATATGCAGGCACACACGGTGCGGGGTGTGTGAGGGACCCAACAAAGCTGCAGGTCTGGCCGGCAGACACTCACCTCGTTCAGGACACAGTCTAGCCGGCGGCGAAGGAGCGTGTTCTCCCGCCGCAGCCGCTCGTTATCCGTCAGGGCCTCCCGCAGCCGAGACTCCAGCCCTTGCAGATATTCCTTCTTTTTCCGCCGCGACTGGCAGGCCGATTCACGGTTCTTGATCATCCGCTGCTGCCTTTTAAGTACCTTGATCTTTGGGGAATTAGCAAAGGGGGTGGGGAATGCTATATTCTCTCTCTCTCTCTCTCTCTCTCTCTCTCTCCCACACACACACACACACACACATGCATACACTCGCGCTTTAAAACAGAGATGCGGAGGCTGCGGCCCTCCAATTGTCATTGGGTTAAAATAATAATAATAATAATTTTTTTTTTTTAATTTATACCCCGCCCTCCCCAGCCAAGGCAGGGCTCAGGGCTGCTAACAAGCAATAATAAAAACAAGTTGAATGACTACAACTTAAAGACAAAATTAAAATACAACATTAAAATATTGAAACATTAAAATATTAAAATGCAGCCTCATCACAGGAGGAGAAAGGAAAAAGGAAAAAGAAAGAGGGGGAGGGAATCAAATTGGCTCCAAGGCCAGGCGGAACAACTCTGTCTTACAGGCCCTGTGGAAAGAAATCAGATCCTGCAGGGCCCTGGTCTCATGAGACAGAGCATTCCACCAGGCCGGAGCCACTGTTGAGAAGGCCCTGGCTCTGGCTCTGGTTGAGGCTAATCTGACTTCCTTAGGGCCCGGGACCACTAGGCTGTTGCTATTTATGGACCTTGAGGCTCTCTGTGGGGCATACAAACACAAATACAAACACACAGCACACATGTGGCCATAATGTTCAGCCATATAACCACCACCCCCATCACATGTGTTCAGGAGAAGTCCCAGGACAGGACTGGTGACCCCTGGAGCAGCAGAAAGAAGGGGGCCGAAAGGTACTTACATCAATCTCTTGGTTGCAGGGTCCTATCTGCGTTGGCGCCGGGACAATAGTTTTGGTTTCTGGTTTGGGGGCAGAGGGAGCTGGCTTTGCCGGGAGACTTTCCTTTAGAGGGGACTGGACCTTGATCAGCCCAGAGACGGGGAGATGCAGCAGCTCAGACTGGGAAATCACAACACTCTGCGCTGGAACTGAGGTTAAAAAAGAAGGCAAGGTCCTATAAATCCATGCCTGCCACACATACATTGTAGTTTTGCCCCACAAAAAAAGGTTCTTTTCATTCATTATTAAATTTCTATACTGCTCTCCCTCCCAAAGGACCCCAGGGTAGCAAACAACAAAGCAGCGAAAGAACACAATTAAAATCAGTTTGAAAGGTTTTCAGCCTCGTGGGCACATTTGGGCTTTTGAGCAAGGTGGCCCCAAGTCACTTCTCTCCCCATGATCAGCCCCCTCCCAAGAGACCGAGAAAGCACACTGTGAAGGAGAACGCCAGCTCCAATGAAGTGAGTGAGCCTTAAAAAGCACAGAGAGCTGAAAGGGTGGGGGGAGAGAGTAGCACTCTTCCAACTTCAGCTCTACGTACTTTTCGAAGGTGAAAAATGGCAACCACCCTGACTACCTCATAACCAAGGGGGGCTCAGAGGACCGGTGGATGCCAAGGGAAGCCCTCAAGGGTGCAACTGTGCAGCTGGGGGCCACGTTTAACAACATTAGGGAAATCTGAAAAGAGGACTTGTGTGCCCCTTAGTACAGCGTGTTCGGTTGCACTTGGAACCGGGGTTCAAGCAGGCTCCTATTAGCCGAACCTTTCTCTGTTTCTGCACTGCCCAATCTGTGGCCTTTCACATGCTCTGGATCACAACCCCCAGCCAGCAAAAGCATTACCTGAAATCGCTGGGTTGATAGCCTGCGGCTGGGACACAGGTACAGGCTGCAATAAGATGGTCTTACTGGACGTGGCTGCAGGCTGCACTGGGACAGTGGTGACCACAACTGGCTTTGGCTGAATGGGGGGCTTCCGGCTGAGAATGCTCTCGGCTTTATTGGAAGCGGCCGGTTTCCCTGTAACAGAACAAGCTGATCAGTGAAGCCGCTTTTCTGAAGGGCACTGTATTAGGTTAAACTAAATGCCACAGGAGTCTCATATTGACTTAATTTGCATCCCTTTCTCCCTAAAGGTAAAGGTAAAGGTAAAGGGACCCCTGACCATTAGGTCCAGTTGTGACCGACTCTGGGGTTGCGGCGCTCATCTCGCTTTATTGGCCAAGGGAGCTGGCGTACAGCTTCCGGGTCATGTGGCCAGCATGACTAAGCGGCTTCTGGCGAACCAGAGCAGTGCACAGAAACGCTGTTTACCTTCCCGCCAGAGCGGTACCTATTTATCTACTTGCACTTTGACGTGCTTTCGAACTGCTAGGTTGGCAGGAGCAGCGACGCAGCAACAGGAGCTCACCCCGTCGCAGGGATTCGAACTGCCGACCTTCTGATCGGCAAGCCCTAGGCTCTGTGGTTTAACCCACAGCGCCACCCGCATCCTCCCCTTTCTCCCTAGGCACTTGCTATTTCTACTCACTCTCTCTCATCCACTACATACCTGTCTCAGGAGCCGGGACGACACTGATCTGCACCGTGCCAAAGTGGGGGGGTAGGACATCTCCATACATGCACGGAGGGGTGGGGGGTTGCTCGGTCTTCACTCCCATCACGTCGGCCTGGCCAGGGGCCTGCGAGAGAAAAGCGCAGGCCTGAGCACAAGAGCTTAAGGGGCAGGTGGCAAGATTCTACTGTAACAAGAGGTCCGACAAGCATACCTGCCCTGAGAGATCAGCAGAGGAGGAGGAGGAGGAAGAGGACAGCGTAGAGGAATCAGAGCAATGCGACGAGGCGGGGGAGACAGGCTCCGACTTCACCTGCAGCTCTAAAGGAAGAAGGGGAACAAATCACTAACATGCTTTCACTGCCAGCCACTTCAACCGTGGAAACAAAGAAGCCGCTCAAACTTATCTCCTCTGTGCCCCCTGGGAAGTTTGCACTGAAAATAAATACTGGACAAGTATTGGTCTGGGAGGTGCCAAGGCAAAGAGAAGCTCCTTGTTACCAAGAAGCCCAGTCTAGCCCTGAAATGGGCTAGATTGCTGTCCAATGGCAAAGGGCTGCTTAACCCCTGCCAAGCTGCCTTCAGGAAGAAGAGGGAAACTGCCAAACACAGGTTATTTGTGGTTTTGAGCCTTAGCTGGTAGGGCAGAGCTTAGGGAGATCAGTGAAAGCAATATGCCCTCTCACCCCTTCTGCTGCTCTACCCACCAGCCAGTTTAGTTGCTGGCAATAAATATAAGACTTATATATAGAAACTATAGAAACTAGGTGGTCCAGGATGGGGGAGGAAAAAAACTTTGCTCCATGTTAATTCTAGGCTGTTCAAACCATATTGAGGCTCAGAAAAAACAACCGTCTTGCTGTAACAGACCAATGACCCATCTAACCCGCTGTCTGACAGTGGCCAGTTAGATGTTTCTGGTGAACCCATGATGAGGGCCTGAAGGCAACAGCCCCCTCCTCTACCCCTCAAAAGTGGAAGAAAGGGATCTCCCTCTGTAGCATGGGGCTGCTTTATACCAACTGGTCCATGGGTTCTACCTAGTCCAGTATTCTAGACTCTGACTGGCAGTGCCTCTCCAATGTTTCACTGAGACCTTTTTAAACTGGAGAGACAGGGGAATCAGACCTGGGATCTTGTCCATGCACCTCCACCAAGAGTGCTGGCACATTCTTTGCATTAACTCCCAAAGACAATCTAGCCTAATGTGGGTCTCGTCCCCATGCACTTGGTCCACACGCTTGTATACTGTATCGTCCTACCATATACATACAGCTCGGCATCTCTCAGGCTCTCAACAGCCCTCTCACAATCTCACAAAGGTACTTACCTGGGAAGAGAGAGTCGTGCAGTGGGTCCCAAGGTGGGTCCGGGGGCACCGTTTCCATGTCCAGGTCGAACCCATCACTGAACTGCTGCCAAGAGAGTTAGGAGAGAAAACAAAACTGATCTGTGTGTGTGTCTTTCTGTGAAGCATTTTCACCCCAGTCTTTGGCCATAAATAAGCAGCTTGCAAAGATCAGTAATAAGGCTTCAGGTTTACAATCTAAATGATGCAACAGAAAAAGGAATTATGCGGGGAGAAGAAAAATGCAAACTCGTGCATCAATTCTTAATGTTACAACATTCCATTTCCACTGTAAAGGAAACATTTCAGGGAGAAGATGAACCACACATTGTTAGTGTTTTAGCAGAGATGGTGGAGTGCTTCCCTTCTCGCCTTCTGTACATCCTGAATGAATATATATTAATACGCATGCACAGCCGACAGGCAACAAGCCAGTGAAAGCTGGGAATTTGAGGGCATTATTGTGGGTGTAGCTTATTAACAAGTATGGGGTTTATAGTTTTGTAGGGCAAGAGTGGGCTAAACTTGTAGCAGGAGATGAGAGTTTGTGGCTTGGCATCACAGATTTGGTAGTACACATCTGGGCAGCTTATTCAAGGACCAAGGTGAACACAGATAAATCTAGTACATGCAATCTAAAGAGGAAAATGCCCCTTTCACTGTGAAGATAAGGGACCTGGATCTCCCAGATGCAAACCCAGCTCACACCATCCTATACCAGTGGTGGAGAACCTATGGCACACGTGCCAGTGGGCACTCATAGAACCCTCTCTGTTGGCACACGCGCCATCGCCCCAGCAGGTTCCTGGGGGTTGGCAAAGTGGGCAGCCGCTCCTCCCCCAGCACTGTGGGCAGGAAACACTCCCTATAGCACACGCCAGCTGCAGCAGCGTTGGGGGATTTGCACACCCGCCAACCAGCTGACATTCGGCCGCACCGCTCCCCCTCCCACACCGGGATTGGTTGGGTTGTTTGCTGCCATAAGCAGAAGATAGTCAGTGGCGATATTGCATGTGACTTGTGGCTGTGTCAAGGGTTGGTTTTTTTCTCTGCTGCTGGTGAGCATTGAGACGATTTGTAGCTTCAGCCTGCTACAGGAAATGTTGTCCATGCATGTTAGTGTTTATCTGCACGTCCATCCCCCCAAAAGCTCCACAGCTCCTGCCAATCCTCCCCACATTTTTATTATGGTATATTTATTTTTATGTGTGCATGCAGACAATCATTATTATCCCATATTAAATTGCGGTGTTGGCACTTTGCGATAAATTAGTGGGTTTTGGGTGGCAGTTTGGGCACTCAGTCTCTAAAAGGTTCGCCACCACTGTCCTATAATAATAATAATAATAATAATAATAATAATAATAATTTATTATTTATACCCCGCCCATCTGGCTGGGCTTCCCCAGCCACTCTGGGCAGCTTCCAACAAAATATTAAAATACAGTAATGCATCAAACATTAAAACCTTCCCTAAACATCCCTATATCATGCACAAGCCTCATTATGCATGCATGTGCCCTCAGAAGATGTAGCAACAGGAATGAGGATGAGCAGGTCCTCAAGACAAACAGCATTAAGGACTGATGTTAAGTAGCAGGGAGTGGATAAAAGATAAACAGGAGGTGAGAAGAGCATGCTGCTCTGCAATGGGAGGGATCATAAAGGAAGTAAAAAGCCTTTTCTAGGAAGGCATGTGGGAGGAGGCAGCTCTCACCAGGGAATGGGCACAGCCGCCATCCACAATGCTGCGTTCGAGGCAGGGGAAGAGCTCAGCTGCCACATCCCCATCGTCTTCCAGGCAGCTGTACAGACCTGCATCTGCGGGGAGAATGGGAAGGGGCAGTCAGTAGGGCAAGGAACAGACTCAAAACATGTTTTCACCCTTTACTGCTCTCCTTTTTCACTTACAGTCCATACCAAGCACATCTGTGGGTGTATGCATTAAGCAAGGCTTTGCTCCCACCTTCTCCCCAAATACAACTAGAGCTGCTCCCCCTTATAATACCGTTCTGGAATTCTAGATTCTGGTGATTAGCCACATAAACAACTCACTCCACAGTAATAGAAATAAGCATGTTTTTGCCAGTTTGACTGAATCCACTAATATATTTTAAAGATTTCCCCCTCATTTCACAGCATGTATATTTTCAATTTTCGCTGATGTTGTTTACACATTGTAGTTTGTTAAAAAACAACAACAATAAAAAGACCACACATGGTTTGTCCTTTACCTCATAGCAGGTGCCTTTGGCCTCAACTACATTATTATGACAGGTAAAGAACAAAAACAAAGCACAAGCAGCCTTGTGGTACTTCAAAGACTAAAGTCAACGTGTCCCGAACACGATGGATGGCGTTGTGGGAGGTGGGGACCTGTGAACCTCCAGATCTTTGTTAAGGCAACAACTCACACATCCCTGAAGCATAAGCTCAGTCGGTAGAGCATGAGACACTTTTAAAAAATTATTATTTTTAATAAATTTTATTTTTGCATTTTCCTATTTTACATAAATGAATTCAAAACATAAACATACAATCCCTTCTGACTTCCCTCCCCCTATATTGTGGATCTTAATGTAATGGATCCCCCCTTGGCATCTCTACCGTAACTCTTATTTTTATAAAAGCTTTGTCAATTCATAGTTCAATTTTGTACTACAAGTTTTCAGTCAATCCTACCAATGTATGTAGTTGCTTACAATAGCTTAATCTTAGGGTCTTGAGTCCCACGTTGGGTGAAAGGTTCCTGCGTTGCAGGGGGCCATAGCTGTCAACTTTTCCCTTTCCTTGCGAGGAATCCTGTTCGGAATAAGGGAATTTCCCTTTCAAAAATGGAAACGTTGACAGCTATGCAGGGGACTGAACTGGAGCCCCCTTCGGCAGGTGCATGGCAGGTGGGCACCCACCAGGTGAAGCTCCGCCCCTCCACCTCGTGGAGACGCAGAGGGCCTGTCGCTCACCTGTTTAAACTGTGGGCTAAGGTAGCGCAGGATCCTCCTTCCCTCCCACCTCCTTCGCCTTTGCAGCCCCTTCCCCAACAGCCACGTCCCGCCCACCCCAAACAAGCTCCGCCCACCGGCTCCCCCCCCCGCCCCCGCCGAGCACCCACCCCAGTCCTCGCTGCTCAGCAGGTTATCCGCGCGGAAACGGCTCGAGTCGCTCAGAAGCAGCAGCTCCGAAGCCAGCGCCGCCATCTTCCTTCCGCCTTCCCGGTACACTACGCTGCACGGCCGACTCCGGCTCCCGCCCCCCCCCTTTGCTGCCATAACAACAGAAGCGCCCAATAGGACGCCGGCTCCGGCGCCTCCTCGGCCAACCAGAGCGAGCAAGAGGCGGGTCACGGCCGGAATATCCACCAGTGGAGGAGGAGGATGATACGGAAGTTGTACCGAGCAGGAACGCACGAGGAGAAGGCGGAAGGCGGGAGTACGCTTGCGCGCAGCGGTTGATACAAACAGCGCGCAAGCGCATTATGGAACGCGAAGTGGTTTTCTTTCTTTTGAATGTCCGCTTGGTTTTGTGGGATGGCTCACAGAGCCGCGCTTGGGTCGAAGGACGCATGCGCAGTGGGGAAACTGCGCGGCGCTTGTCCCCGGACGCCTTGAAATTCCAGCGCGAAGGATTGAGCCTGCACCACGCTGCGTCAACGCGCTCCATGAGGCAAGGGTGGGTAAGTATTAACTCGGCGCACGCGCACTGATAAAATAGAGGTTTCAGGCGCTGCGATGCGTTTGTGCGTGTATAGAATCTAGGGAAAAGAGCGCATGCGTAAAGAAGGGGAAATAACTTGACGCGCAAGTGCTTATGGGAGTTGTAGTTTGGTTGTATTTTTTTAAATGAGGGGTTCTATTCCTTTTAAGAATTATTATTATTAGGCCTCTTTGGCCCTTGAAAAATGTTGGAAAAGTGGCATATTCTTAGTCTCAGTTTCCTGTTTGAAAAATGAAAACAGCATCATTTCTCTCACACGGGTGTTTTAAGAATAGTGAGGCGCATTTTATATTATAGAGCACCTAAAGGTTGCTGTCGTTTTTATTCATGCATCTTTCTGGCTCTATTTGTATCTTTTTTAACAAGCAGTCTAGTGCACAGGTATTTTAACAAAGGACTTTCCCCCTTGTATGGAGCTAGGGAGTCGAAAAAGAGAAATGCTTTCCGCTGCCGATGGTTGATGTTTAAAGATGCTAGGAGCACAAGGGGCTATTTATTCATTTATATGTTTTAAAACCCATCCCTTTTGTTTTGGAAAAAACCCCAATACAAATATTTTATATGAAAGCGAAAAAGAAAAAAAATATGCCAGGTTTAAAATTGCATTTACTTATTTATTTTATATAAAAAATTGTGTGCCACTTGATTGTAAAAATGAAACAAAACCTCAAAGTGGATGTGACACATGCAGGTTGGTTTAGTCCCTTGTTTTGCCAGGACAGCAGGGCAAATTGTGGCAAACTTTTTCAGAGGCGCATCAGGGAATTGGGTGTTAGGAAGGTTGCCATGAGTGACCTCATTGCCCCACAGCACGACTGATTTGGCATGGTATGCCCTAGATGTAGCAATGATATTATCAAAGGGCGGGGAATGAAATAACGCCAGGTTTCCTTTGCTTTTACTACTCTCTCTTATCCACCATCAAATCCAGACTTCCAAAGAAATGCTTCTCATTCCCTTTGTTTATATTCCAGCAGAAGCAGCCAGTTCCTAAGGTTGCAACATTTTTCCAGCAGCAGAACAAATTTAGACAGGGAAGATTTTCCCAGGAAAGCGTGGGTTCAGGGAGCCTACTTGAATAAAATATGGGGGGGGGTGCCTAGGTAAGCCCCACCCCGCATAACCCTGTCAATTCCCTGGAGTGGGAAGGGACTCATGGAAAGTATGTGTTAATGTGGATATCCACAATTGGACAAATATCAAAATCTGGAGATTGTTCATGATGCTGAAGAGTCCTATCAACCAAAAGTCAAAGAAGCCCTTCCTGATCATCCCACCCTCACCATTATGAGATAGGTGATTGAAATTCAATAAATAACGTAAGTAACAATCATGTTTAAATCACGTTGCTTCCTCCAAAGAATCCTTGGAACTGTTAAGGATGCTGGGGAATAGTGGCTTTGTGAAATACAGACTACAGTGGTACCTCGGGTTAAGAACTTAATTCGTTCTGGAGGTCCGTTCTTAACCTGAAACTGTTCTTAACCTGAAGCACCACTTTAGCTAATGGGGCCTCCCGCTGCCGCCGCACGATTTCTGTTTTCATCCTGAAGCAAAGTTCTTAACCCGAGGTACTATTTCTGGGTTAGCGGAGTCTGTAACCTGAAGCGTATGTAACCTGAAGGGTATGTAACCCGAGGTACCACTGTACAGCCCCCAAGATTGCTTGGGGGAAGCCATGTGCTTTAAATGTATGGGGTGTGTGTATGCAGCAAGCCTTACGAGGAACAGTTGAAAGAGCTGGTTATGTTTAGTCTGGATAAGAAAATATGAAAGGGAGGCATGAGAGCAGCCCTCAAGTATCTGAAGAACTGTGGAGTGGAACTGTTCACTGTTGCACCCAAGGGCAAGACTAGACCCAATGAGGTGGAAACTGTGGGGAAGCAGATTTTGGCTAAGCGTTAGGTGATGTTTCCTGACATCATGAATGGTTTGACAGCAGAACGGACTGCACCGGAAAGATATATGGCTTCTGTGGAAGGATAACCGAAGAGGAAAAATACTGTTCTTTTCACCTTTGTGTGTGTGTGTGTATACCGATATGTTCTTTATTGGGTTTCTATTTTCCTTTCATCTCATTTCCTGCCCCAACCTGCGAGTACGAGGCTGCCAAAAAAAATACTCCCAATAGAGAAAAACATTGTGGATCCCCTTCTATTTCACAACCATCTCCTGCAAAACATACCGACCGACTCCCAAATTATGCTTCTTACAACGAGTTGGTGTAGTAGAGCACGCAAAGTGCTTCTTTTATTTAAGCAGATTTAACAGTAGAACGGTGAGGTGGAGGGGAGGCTAAAGGATGCTCAGGTCCGTTCGATTCCTGCGTGCACAGGAGTTGTCAAACGGACCGTCATTCTCCTCCTGCCATCTCTCATTTTATTCCATCAAGAATGTGGCTTATGGATCCCAACTTCTGTTGTGGCAGCAGGGGGGGTTGCCCCTTGGCTGACAGGGGAACTAGTAGATGGCGGCATTGTGCTTTTTTGCTTGCCTATAAGAAAAGACAACAATAAGATATGTGGATGCTGCCCAGGCTGTCAAGAATGCTGATATTAATGCCTGATCTTCACTGTTAGCAAAGGCTAATCCAGAACTACTAACCTGGTTCCTCCCTCCAAACGTTTTGGACTACCAGCTCTCTTCAGCCCCAGGGATGATGGGAGCTGTAGTCCAACAACTTCTGGAGGGCCACAGGCTTCTCGTCCCTGATCTACTTGATCTTTGGCAATGCCAGGAGAATGATAACAAGATACCTGGAGATGGACAGAGCTGTCGTCCAACACCATGCTGCCTCTCCCTATCCTCCAAGATTTGTGCCCATATCCCTGCCCAAATCACTGAGATCTTCAGAGGAGTTGCTGCTGGTGGCCCCCGATGGCTCAGATGCGTGGCTCATTTCCACCAGAAGCACTGCATTAAGTATTACAGGTGAAACTCGAAAAATTAAAAATATTGTGGAAAAGTTCATTGTTTTCAGTAATTCAACTTCAAAGGTGAAACTAATATATGAGATAGGCTCATGACATGCTAAGTGAGATATGTCAAGCCTTTCTTTGTTATCATTGTGATGATCATGGCGTACAGCTGATGAAAACCCCAAATTAACAATCTCAGAAAATTAGAATATTCAATGAAATCAGCAAAACAAGGATTGCAAATCGAGCAAGATTGGACCTCTGAGAAGTAGAAGCATATCTCGCTTTGCATGTCATAAGTCAATATCATATAAAAGTTTCACCTTTTAAGTTGGATTACTGAAATAAACAAACTTTCCCACAATATTCTAATTTTTCGAGTTTCACCTGTATTTGCCCGATTCTGTGGAGCTGCCTCCCAGCTGAGAGTATACAGGCCCCCTTCCCATTGAACGCCTGGCAAAGACATCTTCTTCTTTCAGGTACCTTAGAATCATAGAATAGAGTTGGAAGGGACCACGAAGGTTGTCTAGTCAAACCCCCTGCAATGGAGAGATATTTTGCCCAGTGTGGGGCTCAAACCCACGACCTAGAGATTAAGAGTCTCCTCGTGCACTACCGACTGAGCTGTTCCAGGACTGAAAAATACCTTTCTCCTACAGCTGACATTTTCTGTTTTGATGATCAGTTGGAACGCTATTTTTTAAAAAAATAACTTTTATGTGCATTGCTTAGAGACTTCGGTAATTTAAGCCATATTTAAACACCTTTAGTAAATAAGATGGAATCTGCTGCCTGTGGCAACTGCCACACTCTGCCTCATAGTAAGGCATGAAAAGCACTTGCATTCCCCAACCCCAAGCAAGACTATGATTATGAAAGAAGGTCTTGTCTGGGAAGATTTTGGACAACAAACGAAAAATAAAATTGACAATGCGAAAAGCAACGGGGGTGGCTGCAGGGGGAAGGAGTCATTGAGAGCAGCAGATGAAGCCACATGTGTTTTGGGTTTCGTTGCAGGGGGGGCGGGGGCCAATTGAGACAAAGATTAAGGGATTTACATAAAAGGTTTTGTGATTCTTTTTTTAGGGGGTGGTTTAAGGAAGGGGCTTAAGCAGAGGCCGCATTTCCTGGAAGGGGGATCTTCCAGAAGATTACGGCTGGCAGGGAGACAGGGTAGGGTGGGGGGGTCACTTACCCAGCGGGCACACCCCATTCTTGCACGCCAACACAGGCTCCCCCAGATCCTCGTTGCGCAGCGATGCTGCTATTCTCCTCGCCACATAGCGGCAAACTGAATTGAAGAGAGGAAATCTGTTATTTCCCTGGAGGAGCTGGACACATCTGTGTGGCTGGTACTGGCTCCTGCCCAGGAATCCAGCCTCTAGTCTAGTGAGCACTGACTTCCTAGCTTTCTGCCTTCACACAATGTGCCCCCCCCCTCCCGATTCTAAAGGAACCCAGGAGTCCGGGCTCCCCTTGCCTCCATTTGCAGACCCTATACGTACCACCAATTATAAGTCAGACCATGCTTCGGGAAGGAGAGTGCCGGTCAGCTTGGAAGTTCTGCTATAAGACCCCTTGCATAAACTGGATTATAAAAGGCAGGAAGGAAGAAGGTGGAGTTGAAGAGTAAAGAAAGGCATTATGGGAAATGTAGTTTTATTACCTCTACTACAAGGTCGGGGGTGGGGTAGCTTTGTTGATCCGTTGCAGCAAAGCAACAAAGGCTTTTAAGGGGTTTAGGATTAATTGTTAGGCTCTAAAATGCCACAGGACTTTTCTACCCCATCTCAGAAAACCCATGAGTCCGTTCTTGGGGCTGTAATTTGTTTTTAGTACTGTATTTTTAAATTGCCATAACCTGCCCTGAGACCTTATGGTGAAGGGCAGGTAGGAAATCAAATAACTAATAATAATGTAGCGTATCTTCCATAGTCTTTTATATGCCCCTTCTGGAGCTTCCAGGCATCTTCCTGCCACATGTCCATATTTCTTACCCATTTCTCTCTCTCTCTCTCTCTCTCTCTCTCTCTCTCTTTTTTAAAATGACTTGTGGGATTTGCCATCAGCATTGAATCCAGTCAAGTACGGAAGGTGACATCACGTTGCAGGAAGTTCCTGTCTTTCTGACTTTACCTGTCCTGGCATTAATGTATATTTACTATATATTTTTAAAAAAGAAACGAAACAAACCTTTCATGCTGGAAAGCAGCAGAATGATTCTGTCAGCTTTCCAGGGCAAGCTTAAAACATAGGGCATTTTTCATATTACCTGTATTTCTGACAGAGGGTTCTGGTACAGAGCTTGGGAGTTGTGAGTTCACATCCTTTCCGTGAATATTGTGGGGTTTTTTAAACCTCAGCTTCTCTCTGGCAGCTGACTGAAAGCTGCATAGACAAGAAGTCAAGAGGAAAAGGGGCGGCTTCCTATAAATTGGAAGGGGAGTCCCCTGTTTCATAACGGCGAGGGTGGGGTAGGCAGGGAGATCTCCCCTGGCTTTTGGCAAAATAAATAAATTACCCCTGCTTGCCTGCCTGCCTTTTCTCCTAGCATCTCCTGAGGGAAGGTTTCTGCTTACAATGGTTGCTAAGACAGGTGGTTGCTGAGGAAATGACGTTTTGTGGGGGGAGAGGAAGAAGAAGAAGGGGGGAACGTGAAGGGGGACTAGATAAACGAGTGTGTGACCGAGGGAGAAGCTGAAGCATATGCCCTGCTCATCCATTCAGTGCTGAGGACCAGTACTGAGCAACTGAGGTAAGGATAGGAGAGCATGGTTGATAATGATGGGGGGAGGGAGGGAATAAATAGAAATCGTGAGACATAGGATGAAGCGGGAAATATCGGGGGGCTTTCACAGACTAAAAAGATAATTAAGCATTTTGCTGCTCTGTCAGAAAGGTTACAGCAGCATGGATGTGTTGGGAGGAGAGATGGGGTGCTGAATCGTTTGAGAACCTCATTTCTGTTTTATGTGGCGTATTAAATCTATTTTGCGTTTGCAGCCAGGTTCTGGGGGACAACTGAGTGTATGTAATCTTCATAACGAGGGAGAATGAGCTAAAAGTTGGCTGTCAAAGACAAGCTCTGCCCAGTCATTGGTTGACTTGCTGTGATGTCATCAAATGGTCGCTCGCATTCTAGTGGCTTGGGAGAAAATGGGAGCCCTAGAAGGTCGACAAACATGGCAGGGCCTTTCTGGCTCTGCTAGCGAAAGGCAGTGGTCAAGCGGTGCCCAAACCTCCCCTTCACATTTAGAAAAAAAATGCTTCTTATAGTCTTAGCTTGCTTGTCCTCACAACAATTCTGTGATTTAAGCTGCCGCTGTTCCCATTTCACAGATCAGGAACTGAAGCTGGAAGACTGTTGGCATCGCCCAGAGCCACACGGGGAAACCTTGGCTGAGCTGGAATTTGGAGTGGGGTGGAAAGGTAACAACTGTGCCCACCTCCATATGCCACACTGGGTCTCAGAGGCGCCTGGGCTCAGTGTGGGGAGGCAAGGCAAAGGCGGTGCAATTGCCCATTCTTTTCAACGCCATCTTGTGCTTTTTCTTCTTCGCTGTTACTAGGCCGGATTGCCTCCTGGCGAACAGCTCCTTAACGCCCTGCCCTTCCCTCGCTGGTGTTCGGGAGCATCGCATCCCCAAAGCTGGCAATAGCTGATTACATGATGGCAAGTACAGAACCGGTCACCGAGAAGATGCCCGGCAAGAAACCCGACCAGGGGTCAGCCGTTGGCCAAGGGAGCAGCCGTGGCGCATCCGTTGGGAGTGGAGGAGAGAAGGGGAGCAGGGCCGAGGCGGAAGGAGAGGACCTGAAAGAGAACCTGCCCCCTGGGGACCCAGCCCGCAGGGACGTCCCTTGGGCCTGCCCGGACGGCACGTTCGTCAAGCTGGTCCTGGAGACGGGCACGGGTTTAGACAAGCCCAAGGAAGGCTCCCTCTGCCAGGTCTTCCTCGAAGCCGAGCCAGGGTCGCCCTTGAGTTACCCAACCCACCGGTGGGCTGAAGTGGAGCTGGGCGGCGGTGACGCCGAGTGGGACGGGGTCGTGGACCGCTGCCTGGAGACGATGCTGGCCGGGGAGCAGGCCGAGGCGAGGTTGGCAGCGGGAGGCACCGTGGCCATCCGGTTAGCGAGCTTCACGGAGGCCAAAGACTCCTGGGAGATGAGCGCCGCTGAGAAGTGGGACTTGGTCCTCAGCAACAAGGAACGGGGCGGGGAGCTGTACCGGGCAGGGGACGTCGCCGCCGCGGCACGGCGCTATGCCAGGGCCTTGCGGCTGCTCGTCGTGGCTGCCCCTCCGCCGGACTACGACCAGATCAAAGCCGAGCTGCACGCCAACCTGGCTGCCTGCCAGTTGAGGCTGCACCAGCCGGCCAATGCCGCCTGCAACTGCACCAAGACCCTGGCCCTGCAGCCGGCCAACACCAAGGCCCTCTTCCGGCGGGGCTTGGCTCACGATGCCATGAACGACCTGGAGGGGGCGGCGCAGGATCTGAAGGGGGTTCTGCAAGTGGAACCGGGCAACCGGGCAGCCCGGAGAGAACTGGAAAGAGTCATGGAGCGGATCAGGGCGCGGGATGCCAAGCTGGCCCGAGCCATGCAGAAAATGTTTGCCTGAATAAAAAGAATAATAATAATAATTTACCCTAGTGGTCCCGGGCCCTAAGGAAGTTAGATTAGCTTCAACCAGAGCCAGGGCCTTCTCAGCACTGGCTCCAGCCTGGTGGAACGCTCTGCCTCATGAGACCAGGGCCCTGCAGGATCTGATTTCTTTCCGCAGGGCCTGTAAGACAGAGTTGTTCCGCCTGGCCTTTGGCTTGGAGCCAATTTGATTCCCTCCCCCTCTTTCTTTTTCCTTTCTCCTCCTGTGATGAGGCTGGATTTTAATATTTTAATGTTTCAATATTTTAATGTTGTATTTTAATCTTGTTTTTAAGTTGTATTCATTCAACTTGTTTTTATTATTGCTTTTTAGCAGCCCTGAGCCCGGCCTTGGCTGGGGAGGGCAGGGTATAAATAAAAATTATTATTATTATTATTATTATTATTATTATTATTATTTATACCCCGCCCATCTGGCTGGGTTTCCCCAGCCACTCTGGGCAGCTTCCAACAGAACACTAAAATACAATAATCTATTAAACATTAAAAGCTTCCCTAAACAAGGCTGCCTTCAGATGTCTTCTAAAGGTCTGGTAGTTATTTTTCTCTTTGACATCTGGTGGGAGGGCGTTCCACAGGGCGGGTGCCACTACCGAGAAGGCCCTCTGCCTGGTTCCCTGTAACTTGGCTTCTCGTAGCGAGGGAACTGCCAGAAGGCCCTTGGCGCTGGACCAAATGAGGCAGTGCTGCTGATGTTTATCTTTGTGGTATGCTTTTTATCACCCTGCCCTTTTATAGAGAACGTGTAGCGAATGCGGTACGCTCCACATGTTTCAGACTACAACTCCCATCATTCTCATGTCAGTGGCTGGGGCTGATGGGAATTGTAGTCCAAAACTCTCTGAAAGTACCAGGTTTGCTTCCCTGAATGGGTTGTCCCCTGCCCCCCCCTTTTTTTTTGCTGCTCTGTGACGTGAATGATGGTTACTCTGAATACCAGTTGAAGGGAACCACAGGGGTTTCCTGGGGTTTCCCATAGACATCTGGTTGGCCACTGTGGAAGCAGGATGCTGGACTATGTGGGCCATTGCCCGGATCCAGCAGGCTCTGCTTTTGTTCTTAAGTCCATTCGAGTGGAGACACAAACCCTGGTGTGGGAGATCAAAGCATAATTTCTGTGCAGCCACACAATACTGTACACAGATAGAGATCTTGGCACCCAGGATGGAATTTGGCTGGGTGCAGAGACTGCTGCCTTCCTTTTATTTTAAAAATGAGCACGTTTGCAACCCTTATGGATGGAAATGTATGGGCTGGTGAAATCTCAGCAATTAAAAAGGGGGGGGGGAACCTGTTTAGCGATATCACTGCCCAACGCCACGTACATTTCTGTTTTCTGCACCGCTGGGATTACATTAGACACATGATTTTACTAGAAATATTGCCTAGAAGTCAACACCTTCAAAATATTACCCCTCATCTCACACAGAGCTTTCATTTTTTAAGAAAAGAAAAATGTGATGACAAGTTTCTAGACCTTATGGCTGCAAAACCACAGTGTGAAAACATGTGGGCTTGGTACAATCTTAGAAGGAAGACTGGGAAGAGGGTTTCAACCTGCATAGGGCTTCAATATTTGGTGGTGTTTTTGAATCATCCCATAGTTGCAGAGCTGAATAAATAGTGCTTCTTTCTTTCAGGGGGCAGCGTATACAGACTTATTTTGCCCTATGGACCATCTCTCCCTTATCTTCATGCTCTTGAACACAACCTCCTCTTTCCCTAAAATCCTTCAAAAAGCAAAATTCTGGAAACAAACCGTACAAACATAACAGCCGCTCATAAGCTGTCGTAATTCCCTCCCCTATGTGGTAGATTATTTGGGATGTGGAGAAGGGATGTTTCAAGCAATCCCAAGCCAAAACCTTGGTGCGACCCTGAAATGATGGTGCGTTGCCAGCGGGAGCTGAGTGATGGGTTCCAGTCGGGCGTTGTGATGTAGCCAAGAGAAGCTGCTCAGAAAACCTGCAGTTCTCCCTTGCTGTTACCATTGCGGGTTCTTCCCGTTTGCCTCCCCTGCAGCCAACCTCTCTTTACCGTGGGCTGTCTCACCCGCTGCTGCTTTGAATCCATACGTACCCCTCTTGCTGTTCCTAAGCAACCATCGCCTGAGAGACAGCAGAGCTTGGGAAGTCCATATTGGCGGACGGTAAACCGAGGGGAAATAATGGGGAGAGGAGGGGGGCGGGAACACTGGGTTTTGAAAGAGAGAGAGAGAGGAGGTGAGGCGAATGGCGGGGGAGAGGAATTTCTGGATTTTCTGGCATAGCTCGTACACCATCTGCAAAGAGGAGCTGAGGCCAGCCAGGCAGGATCCAGGAGGAATAGATGGGCCAGGTTGTGACAAGGTGGGGGGGCTTGGCATCTATCCCCATTGTCGAGAAAAAGGCAAGGGGTCCCACGCAGAGCAAATTGGGGTGCTGGTAGCTAATGCTGTTTAAAAATACAGCCAGGTAGGATGTTGAGAATCAATCAAATGTCTTTATTAAGTAATATATATGTAGAGAGAGAGAGAGATTCTGTAACCAGTCACTTGCAAACAGATAATAAATAACGGAGTCCAACATCCAATAAAATAAAAGTGGGTGTGCGGGGAATGAATTGGGAGCTCGTGTGACGGAATATGGGGTTTGGTGGAGTCTGGGGTGGGGCGGGCGGCCTGGAAACGAGAAGCCGAACAGCCAATACCCAGATTTAATTATGCCCTGCAGCGCCTGAACCAGTCAACATATGCTCACACTTCTGCGCCCATGTCTAGCCTCATATATGCTAAATTTTTCTCAATGCCCCTTGGAGCCAATCTACTTGTCATACTGAATGAAGTGGTATGATACCATGTTTAAAAACACCCCACCCCTTTAAAAAAAACACCCCACCCTTCCCTGCATTTAGAAAGCTAGCCCATCAGCGCGAAAGGTTTAGCATACGGTAGTTCTCCCATCCTGGACCAACAGACTATAGTCCAGAATTCTGCCTTTGTTTAGCACAATATGCCGACTGTCTCTAAGGTTGGTTCTGTACACAACAAAGTGACAGAGTGAACTGTGCCATTACAGATCGTAGCTGGGGAATGCCCTATTTGAAAGTCTGCTTATAAACAAACAAACCTCCTTGTAAATAAAACAGTAGTTCCCCAACCTCACCACCACCACCACTCTCTGCAAACCACTGGAAAATTGCTGACTTGATTATTTTTCTTCCCAGTGTAGTGCCACACTAGATACTGTCTGATTTCTAGGGAAGGTTGGGTTTTGGTTTGGTTTTTTTGCTGCTTTTATTTCTTATATATTGTATTTTATTTTGTTGTGTGGAATTCAAACTGCAATACAGTAAGCCATAAGAAAGAAAAGCAGTGATTAAAACGCAAATTAAAAAGCAACATGGCTTTTTAATATGATGGATGTGCCGTCTCACAACCTCAAGTACAACCTCAAGCTTGTGAGCCACTGGTTGTCTGTGGACCATAGTTTGGGAAGTCCTGTCTATCAGGAAGCCCTGATAGAAACCTATCTTCCATAAGAAGGGCCTCGTCCATCTCTTCTCCTGTTGTTTGTTACATTTTCTATTTAAAAAATCCCGCCCTTCCTTCAAAGAGCTATGGACAGAATACATGGTCCCTCTGTTTAATCCTCACCACGACCCTGTGAGGTAGGTCAGGCCACGAGACGGTCATGCAGGAATCTTTGTAGCCAAGCGGTCTAAATCAAATACTCTTACATGTTAACGACTCTTAGTCTTATCACTGATACTTATAAGCCGCTCTGGGGCTCAGGAGTCATTTTTGGTTGAAGAACAGGATTAAAATGCTGTTAAGATAAATACGCTTTGCCACAACATCACATGGGCTCTATTTACAAAGTGTTGTTAAGGTAGGGGATCAGTTTGGTGTTTTGTTTATTTAAAAAAAGGAAAATGTAGTCCCCGCAGCTGCAGTCTGAAGTGCTTGCAAACCGTAGACTAGGCCTCACTGGGTTACTTCGTACAAGTCAAAATGCCTTTCTTGCAGTCTTGCCCTGGCTTCTGCCTGCTCACTGGAAATACCACTGTCACAACCTGTTTTTTGAGGTTCTGCTGCTTATTCCCCATATTTTGCCCTTTCTCTTTCTCCACCTAATTCTTTTTGCTTTTTAACAAATAAAAAATAACTAAAAGTGGTTGTGGTATGTTTTTCATATGGCAGCCAAGGAACAGCCTTGCTCTCCAAAGTTTTAAATGACTATTACCTCTATAAACCCAGCTTGTAAGGCAAGCAGTGTGGATAAGAGATGGCTATATTTCAGTCTACCCCCAAGCATTGAGAAGAGAGTGGGAAGGAATCCGAATAACTGGCTACATACAAGGCTTTGTGTGATAGCTCAGTCAGTAGAGCAAGAGACCCACAACGTTGTGGGTTTGAGCCCTACATTGGGTGAAAGATCTCTGCAGTGCAGGGGGTTGGACTAGATTTATCCTTGTGGGTCCCTTAGGTAAAGGTAAAGGACCCCTGAGAGTTAAGTCCAGTTGTGAATGACTCTGGGGTTGCGGCGCTCATCTCGTTTTACTGGCCGAGGGAGCCGACATTTGTCCACAGACAGTTTTTCTGGGTCATGTGGCTAGCATGACTAAGCCACTTCTGGCGAAACCAGAGCAGTGCATGGAAACGCTGTTTACCTTTCCGCTGGAGCGGTACCTATTTATCTACTTGCATTTTGACGTGCTTTCGAACTGCTAGGTTGGCAGGAGCAGGGACCGAGCAACGGGAGCTCACCCCGTCGCAGGGATTCGAACCGCCGACCTTCCTATCAGCAAGCCCTAGGCTCAGTGGTTTAGACCACAGCGCCACCCGCTTACTCCCCAACAATTCTATTATTCTTCTTTATATAAACATCAGGGCTGTGTGATATATCAGTATATCATCCAGAACCAGTTTGAAGTCCATAACTGCCCTGAGACCTCCGGGTATAGGGTGGTATATAAATTCAACAAATAAATAATATCGTAATATTGGTTCCATAATCTGGCAATATATTGTGAATCATTATGTGTGTGTTAGGTCTGGCTTTCAACATGGTGATAAATCACCAGGTAAACATTGTGATATACTGATATATCATGATGTCTGAAATAATGTAACTATGTAGAGGTGAACAGTATAATGTCCTGGCAAGTGCTACTGCTTAGGGGTCTAAAACATAAATTTCACAATGTTGAAAACCAGGTATCACCCAGCTCTAATATCCATCACTCCCTCTGCCACCACATGGGAGAAGATATTTCTTTCTCCTACTCTCAGTTTTTCCCCCCGTACGTTCTTTAGCGATGGGAAGTTTTTTAAAAGAAGAGTCATATGAAATGGAGAGGTATTTTTAAAAAGAAATGCTTTTAAGCAATACAGGGCATTCTTCAAAGAAACCTCGAGAAGGACTGGGAAGCTAGGAGCAGATGCACAAATGAAATGGTGAATCGAAGGCTATGGCTTCCTAACTGCACATGAATATTTTTGACCGCTATCTTGAATAATTCTTTGGGAATCAACCTATTTTAGAAGGGGTTCCTATCTAAAACAGAGAGCTAAAACACAACAGAGCAAGGCTGTATTATTCAGTGCAGAGAGGAAGGGTGGATTTGGATGGGAAACAAAATAAAAGGGAGGTAAGAGGTTCAAACTGCCCCCAATATTCAGTCACTCCACCTCCTCCTGCAAGGAAGGGAGAATTGGCTGATGGAACAGTAGCAACATTGGCAGAGCATCTTATTTGGCCTTATTTCATGTGGTGGAACTGCCAGAAAGCAATTGTGGATACAAAGGGGTAATGCTTAATGAATACACAGGTGTGGTGCATTGTCCTGTTAAACAGGCAGTAGGATGCATGCAGAATGCAGCAGAAGGAAGGCGGCTGTTGCCATGGGCACGAGAGAGTGGAGCCTACTCTTTGGGAAGGAAAGAAGCAAGCAAAGTATTCTGGATTAAAATAAAAAATCTAAAAACCGGCAGGATGGAAAATTCGTTGCGAGGAGCCCCAGCCGACGGGCCCCCTCGGGTGTGTCAGCATTCAGTCTGAATATCGTCTTCCAGAAGTCATTTTGCTGAGTAGGTACCATTAATACTGCCGGGAGCTTTGTGGGAGACGGTTGCCAAGCATTCCAAGTATTGTTGGCGGTGGGGGAGGAGACGGTTGCTAAGGACCGCAGGGGAGACAGTTGCCAAGGACCATCCTTGGGAGCAATGGTTGCTGGGGGGTGTTGTCGGTTTCCTTCCAGGGCTGTTGACACCGGTTGCCAGGGGCACAGGAGGAGTCGGAAGGCAAGACTGCCGGGCGCTAGGGGTCCCAGTCATTGTCATGGTGCTGAGCAGCGATGATGATCACTACAGTGAGGATAGTGCACAGGACCATGGCCGCGATGCCCACAGCCAGGCTGATGAAGGAGAAGTTGCGGGCCTCTCGTGAGGCAATTTCTGCTGATACGATGTCACCGCGGGCAACTGCAGTCCGCACCTGAAGAAGTGAGAGGAGAATGGTTATTTCGTGTGCTGCTTAATGCCAAAATAGGCTTCTGAGCAAAACATAAAGGTAAAGGTACTCCTGCCCATACGGGCCAGTCGTGTCCGACTCTAGGGTTGTGCGCCCATCTCACTTAAGAGGCCGGGGGCCAGCGCTGTCCGGAGACACTTCCGGGTCACGTGGCCAGCGTGACTAAGCTGCATCTGGTGAGCCAGCACCAGCGCAGCACACGGAAACACCGTTTACCTTCCTGCTATAAAGCGGTACCTATTTATCTACTTGCACTTAAGGGTGCTTTCGAACTGCTAGGTGGGCAGGAGCTGGGACCGAACGACGGGAGCTCACCCCGCCGCGGGGATTCGAACTGCCAACCTTACGATCAGCAAGTCCTAGGCACTGAGGTTTTACCCACAGCGCCACCTGCGTCCCATAAACAAAACATACAACCCAATTATTTGATTGATTGATTGAGTGACTGAATTTATACACTGCCCTATACTTGGAGGTCTCAGGGCGATTCACAGAATAAAATCAAAATATAAAACCACAAAATACATAATCAAAATAAAAACAACAATCCAATAACAACCCCCCAAAAAAACACATTTTAAAAGGGCATAGGATTACCTGTTCTGGGGGTTCCCCCAGGACTCTGCAATAAACTTGGAGGTGGTCAGAGTGTATGGGGTAGGGAGAGCTCCCAGGCCCTTTTAATATCCTCCCTGTCTTTGTTAGCCTCTGTTAGACTGTTCATCTCTTCCCTGTCCCTGTTTTTATCCTCTGGATTTTTTTAAGGGTTGTTTATTTTTTTAATATGCTTTCAGCTTTCCAAATAGCTCAGTTAATTGATTGTGGTTGTCTATGGATTTTGTTCTCTGTGCTGGTTATGGATTTTATTGTGGCATCTTTGCGGTACTTTATTTATATTTTTGACTTTCAAAAGCTGTTTTTAATTCTCTGCGAGTTGTCCGGAGGCCTGTGTTTTACGGAACAATTAATAAATAAATAGTCTGGCTGGAACTTCCTGTGATCCTTCTGAGCATGCCACTCAGCTCCAGATAACTTAACCTTGAAAGAGAGCGAACTATGCCGGTGTGGAAACTGGGCCCCAAGTGTGTAAAAGGAAATTAAAAAGAAGAGGGACAAGGGAGGCCGGGACAAGTAATAAACACAGAGGGTGGAATTGCAATTCCCTGGGAGAAGAAATGATTATCAGCAGTAAGTTATACTAAGAAACACACCCCATTGTGTTCAAATGCTTAGACCAGGAGTGGAGAGTCTTGGGCCTGTGGCCCAAATATGGCCCTCTGGGTATTTCTGTGTGGCCCTCAGGATTCTCTCCAAGCCACAGCCCTCACCAGCCCTGCTCCATGACCTCCTTTGCCTGAAATGTGTCACTGAACTGTGAGAATCCCTTATGCTTGCCTGGATAGAGAGAGATCTATGTGTGGGAAACCCTTGTCCTATGCAAAGCCTGCAACAGTTCTCCGATGAAAATAGGGATGTCCTAAGGAAAAGCAGAACATTCTGGGATCAAGTCAGAAACCGGGATGGCTTCTGTAAATCTGGGACAGTCCCTTGGAAAATAGGGATACTTGGAAGGTCTACCTATGCGTAAATGGGATGTTGCCTACATTACAAAGGGAAGAGCCACATCTGTCGCCCCACCCACTTTTGCCTGTAGCCCCACCCATCACTGACATCTGCCCACACTCCCCTGAAGGTGTTCCCCACCCTAAGCTTAAAGGTAAAGGGACCCCTGACCGTTAGGTCCAGTCGCGGACGGCTCTGGGGTTGCGGTGCTCATCTCGCTTTATTGGCCGAGGGAGCCGGTGTACAGCTTCCTGGTCATGTGGCCAGCCTGACTAACCAGGCGAACCAGAGCAGTGCACGGAAACGCCGTTTACCTTCCGCCGGAGCGGTACCTATTTATCTACTTGCATTTTGGTGTGCTTTCGAACTGCTAGGTTGGCAGGAGCAGGGACCGAGCAACGGGAGTTCACCCCGTCACAGGGATTCGAACCTCCGACCTTCTGATCAGCAAGTCCTAGGCTCAGTGGTTTAACCCACAGTTAACTCCATTTAGGACTGTAGCAAAAACCAGTTTGTAGCTTTTAGAAATCACTCCACGAGCACTTTCCCAACATTGTCATCTTCATAGCATGTTCCCAGAACGCTTTTCTCTCTGAGTAGGAGTCAGCGGCCGCCAAGCACCAGAGTTACATGTTATTTATCCTTTATGGGTGGGCGGGAAGGCAGGCAGGCAGAGATGGACTCAGCACCTCAGCTGGAGGCAAGAAACCTCGCGCTCTTCCAGCTTGGTAAAATGGCTGCCAGCCTCCTCTCAAGCACGGGATTATTTCCAGAGCACAGAACGAAGCGACTTGAGTACAAAATGTGTGCGCGTGTGGGAGGTGAGGGGTGCCAGCCAGACGTGAACAGGGAGTGCGCCGAGCATATGTTCCTGAGGAATTAAAACTGTTTCCTTTTTCCTCATTTTAACTGCTTGCATATTCCTCAAAATCTTCAGCCTGCTTCTGCGGATGAAAAAGGGTGGCTTACCGCTCACAACATGGGACAGAATTTACCGTTGTGACAAGATTAAAACCTTCAGCAGCAACAGTATCGGCTGCCACCCTATTCAAACCCATTGACTGCATTATGGAGCAGGGTTTTGTGACAGCTGTGATCATTGACCACGGGTCCCCAGATGTCATTGAACTACAACTCCCATCATTCCTGACCATTGGCTAAGCTGCCAAGGAATGATGAGGGTTGTAGACCAACTCTTTGACAGTGGAATGGTCTACCTCGTGGTGGTGGACTCTCCTTCATTGGAGGTTGTTAAATTATGGTTACCAGAAGTCCCCGTTTCCCAGGGACAGTCCCTGGATTTACAAATCTGTCCCTGGACAAAATCCTTCCCCGGATTTCATTTAATGTCCCTGGATTTATATTTTAAGTGTTGTGGATTTATTAGTAGGGAATGAATGTTGCGTGATTGGTTCAACGGCACAAAACACATCATATGGGGCTTCTGGAGAGGCAGTAGCTATGGGCCTCATCAAACCTAAATCTGGCCCTGGTGACAACCCTTGACATATTTGAAGATGACTAGGATATCTTCTCTCAGTCTCCTATTTCCAGGCTAAACATACCTAGCTCCTTCAACCATTCCTCATCAGGCTTGGTTTCCAGACCCTTTATTATCTTGGTTGCACACCTTCCAGCTTGTCAACATCCTTCTTAAACTGTGGTGCCTAGAATTGGACGCAGTATTGCAGGTGTGGTCTGACCAAGGCAGAATAGAGTGGGACGATTACTTCCCTTGATCTGGACATTATACTTCTGCTGATGCAACCTAAAATAGCATTAGGTTTTGGGTTTTGTTTGCTAATGAACCCCCCCCCACAGAAATAGCAAATACATTTTAAATAAGACTGAAACCCCAACAAAGTAGACACTTGTGGTAAAGACCCATTTACCCCGCTGAGAAAGCCTGTTGGAACAGGAATGTTACGTTTTCCATAGTCATAGCTGTCAACCTTCCCTTTTTTTGCGGGAAATTCCCTTATTCCAGCACCGTTTCCCGCTGCTTCCCGCTGCTATCCCGGATTGTTAGATATCCCGTAGACTGTCCCCAGGACAGGTGAGGCTGCTGATCCCTTATTTTCGAGGCTGCTGATCCCTTATTTTCAAATCTGAAAGTTGACAGCTATGTCCATGGTATCGGAAGAATGCAGATAGTAAATGCTGGTTGTATCTTGACATGAAGGCTTTCCCACAGAACAAAGCCAACCCCACCAAAAGCCCTGCTCTGAGTTACTGCATAGCAGGTTTCTGAGATCTTTGCAGGAGAAGCTCTCCTGTAGACTGCCGCAATCTGGGTTTATAAGGGATAAGGCAGTCCCTCAAGTAACCTGGTCCTGAGCTGAACAGGGCCTTATACGGATAGCTCAGTCGGTAGAGCATAAGACTCATGATCCCAGGGCTGTGGGTTCGAGCCCTGAAAGATTCCTGCATTCCAGGAAGTTGGACTAGGGCTCCTTCCAAGTCTACAGTTCTATGATTCCTGTACCTCCCCTCTTCCCTTCCTCAGCTGCTCACCTGCACGGCCTTGATGATAGCAATGATCCCCGTGGGCCAGAAGCAGCAGATGGTGGTGAGGACCGCGATGGGAAGGTAATCGTGGGGCGGGCGCCTCGGTTCCAGGATGGCGATGCCGGGGGTCATCTGTGTAGGGGACAGAGATGGTGGAGGAGGAGGGTTGGCCTGAGGGTAGGCCTGCAAGCAAGAGGGGAGAAAAGCCGTTGTCACGGGAGGAAGGAGTCTCCATTTTGCTTCTCTCCGGAAGTGTCAAAGGTGGCCTAAAGCATTCAGCACACTCAGGTGGATTTCATATTGTAAACCCCTCAGAAAGCATTGTTTGTTGTTTAGTCGTTTTGTCGTGTCCGACTCTTCGTGACCCCATGGACCAGAGCACGCCAGACACTCCTGTCTTCCACTGCCTTCCGCAGTTTGGTCAAACTCATGCTGGTAGCTTCGAGAACACTGTCCAACCATCTTGTCCTCTGTCGTCCCCTTCTCCTTGTGCCCTCCATCTTTCCCAACATCAGGGTCTTTTCCAGGGAGTCTTTTCTTCTCATGAGGTGGCTAAAGTATTGGAGCCTCAGCTTCAGGATCTGTCCTTCCAGTGAGCACTCAGGGCTGATTTCCTTCAGAATGGATAGGTTTGATCTTCTTGCAGTCCATGGGACTCTCAAGAGTCTCCTCCAGCACCATAATTCAAAAGCATCAATTCTTCGGCGATCAGCTCTCACTTCCATACATCACTACTGGGAAAACCATAGCTTTAACTATGGAAAGCATAGGCCCGGCCTGTTTGTAATGCACCAGGCACATGAATGGCACGATAAATGTGAATAAGCACTTCCAGTACTGTACCACTTCAGGATGCCGGTGGGAGACAGGGTTCTAGGGATGGGGAAGAATCTTGATTCACTTAAGTTTCTTAGATATTCACTTATGTTTTTAGATGTGACGAAGCTGCGGGAGGCAGACAGGAGTGCCTGGCGTGCTCTGGTCCATGGGGTCACGAAGAGACGGACACGACGAAACGACTAGACAACCACAAATGCCGCCCAGAGTGGCTGGGGAATCCCACCAGATGGGCAGGGTATAAATATAATCATAATAATTTAAAAGGCAAACCTGTCAAAAACCACACTTTCCAAAACAACACACAGACTGAAACACAGCCACCTTTCAAACTTTGCTCCAGATTTTTGCAGTGCGGTTCTCTATCCAGATAACGTGCATACAAACGCAGGTTAAAGTGTGCCTAAAAATGCATAAATTAATGACAATAGCATGCAAAAACTCATAATATAGGTGACTCCCCACCTGTTCTGGCACCCCACATATATAAGTGAAAATTGCGTAAGTGGGGAGCCCCCTCTAAATGCCCTCTCTGCCTCTCTCTCTCCAATCCAGATCAGAAATAACTGTAGCAAAACTAGCCACAACTGGAATTGAAGCAGGAGGCAGGAGCATAGCTGCCAACCTTTCCCTTTTTTAAAGGGAAATTCCCTTATTCCGAATAGGATTCCTCGCAAGGAAAGGGGAAAGTTGACAGCTGTGGGCAGGAGAATGCGAGGGAAATTGGTGGCTGTGGCTGCTGCGCTGCCCCGCATTTCAGCTGTTAGGGGGGAAGTGCTGAGCAGCATAAGCAAAGCCCTGGTGCGCCTCCAGCCTCTTCTCTGCCCTCACTGATGTCGCCTTTGGGCTCCGGGAAGGGTCTCTTCACGGGCCACAAGAACTCTCCAGCTCTCTCTCCCCATTTCCAGGTATGAATTTAATGATTTCCTAGCGCCGCACATATACGCAGTTGCCCGCAGGTTGATCACACCCATAAGAAGCACTTCAGATTGCCCACCACCATAAACAACTCACCGCCCCTACTGGGTAGACCGGAAGGTATGCCGTGCACGGCTGTAGCTGGACAGGGTACCCTGGGTGCATATAGCCTCCGATCGGTAGGGTCCCGACTGGTGGATGAGTCTGCACGACGTAGCCCTGAGGGGCTCCATTGAACTGAGTTTCCTGCATGTAGGGATCCGGGGGGAGGCGCGGCAGGGTGGCGGAATGGTGGCGTGGCGGGCGCGGCAGGGTGGCTGATGTAGGGGGAGGGCGTGGCAGGGTAGCAGCCCCTCCGAGCCGGGGCAATGTGGCAGTGCCTGAGTGGACGGTCGTGGCAGGGGGGTCGCTGTAGCCAGGGATGGGGGCATCTTGCGGGGGTGGAGGAGGCGGCTGCAAAGGGGCGTTGTAGGGGGGAGGAGAGGTGTGGGGGGCGGAGTCGGGGAGTCCTAAGGAGGAAGGAAAAGACAACATGGGGGTGGGGAGCCACAAAGAAAAGATGTTAAAGGGGCATCAATATACACTCAGCAGCACAGCATAATTTGAAAAATTGGACTTTAGCTGGTAAGGGATTGCCCCCAAAACAATAACAACAACCCCCAAACAGGACTACTTGTGTCTTTCCCTTTTCCGCGAAACCTACATTTCAACAACCAAACAAAGGCACATTCATTTAATGTATCCAGCAACATTGTCTTGAATTCAAATCTCGTCCACCAAAGTGCTTGCAATCTGTCTGAGCTTCCTGTTGCCTACAAATCTGATACACATTCTCTCCATTCTGGCATTCAGATGACTGGTTAAAACAGCTTTTGGAACAAACGTACCAGACCTATGTATGCTTTTCTCTTAGCTCAAATAAGTTCTAATGCTGGTGGAATGCTCTTTCGATGGAAGCCCAGCTAAACATCAAAGCACTCATCAGAGAGATGCAATGTGACTGCATCTTACCAGGCTGATGTACAAGGGGCACACCATGCTGTCATATTGAACAAAGCCCAGAAATGAAGGTTCACAGTCTGTATTTTGCAGGATACAAAAACAACCCAAGCTTTAGGTTTGCACAATTAAGTGCCCCTCCAGATGTCCCTTTTTTCCAGTAATCATTCATCATGCTTTGTGCTCATGATATTATTGGGACGTTATACACAGCCGCACTTTCAATATCATTTGCACCTGCAAAAGCTTTGGGGTGCTTTGCTTGCAGTAAGTCAATGATATAGTAACATTGGGGAAATATGGCAGAACTGCAGAATGGCAAACCTGCCAAGTGTCCTGGGGAAAACCAGGATATCCTGGTTTTTTCTTGTGAGATTGTGGCGGCCATTTTGGGTGCTGTGCTATCGCGCTGCGCTCTCGCCCCCCCAAAAACACTTGGGGGGAGGCAAGAGCGAGTCGTGGGTCATATGACTCATGTGGGAGTGCGTCCCGGAAGATTAACATCCCAGTTTTGGGTGAACTGTCCAGCATAAATCCACTACTAACGTATTATTATTGCATCGATTACAGGCACTAGTCTGGAGGGGCCTTTTTGCAGTCTAGAAAGTGACAGAGAAAGACATTGCAAAATGTGGGATGAATGAATGAGTATAACTAACAGTAAGATGTAGGAACACCCTGCAGGTCTATCAGGATGAATGCTTCTTGCCATATAACCACCGTGTAAACAAATAAGAATGAAGGCTTTCGAAAGACTGGCTCTAGACCAGACTTCCTCAAACTCGGCCCTCCAGATGTTTTGAGACTACAATTCCCATCATCCCTGACCACTGGTCCTACTAGCTAGGGATCATGGGAGTTGTAGGCCAAAAACATCTGGAGGGCCAAGTTTGAGGAAATCTGATCTAGACTAACAATCATGTAAGCTTTGAGCAGGCAAATTAGGATGGATGCTGAATAAGCAGGTTGCCTGAGGGAGCCCTTTGTTCCAGCATTAGCTAACTAATTTCGTTTCTCTGCCTTTCCCTAAGCTACGCTCTTCCGTTCTGTGTGTCTTTTCAGTTTGCAAGCCTGAGGGCAGGGCCTCTGTCTCACACTTTAATCAATGCGAGTTGTTTTTTTGGAGATCACAGTTGTCTGAAAAGCAAGGTGGATCGATGGAAAATGACTGTAGCATGGAACCGGTGACAAAGAGGCAGGCAGTGAAGAGTGTATGTCAGGGACCCTGGGGAGACTGAATTACAAATGTCTTTGGCCTGAGGCAGGGAACTAGCCTAATGTGCTGCCTCGACAGGCCCGGCTTGGGTGTTTGCCGCTTCCTCCTGAAATGGCAGCCAGTTGCCGCCATTTTGTTCAGCCTTCCATGCACCCTACCCACATGTGCCCAAAGGGCTGTTCTTAGGTTTTCCCAGCTGAGCCACACAACCTTGGTCAGCAGAACAGCCTTTTATAAGCAGGTGCCTTCTGGAAGCTTTGGACCAAAGCTGGGGCTGATGGAATTCGTAGGCTGAACAACCTGAAAGGAACCGAGGCTGGTGAAGGCTGTCCCAGGCCCACCAAGACATCTCAACAAGAAGTAGCAAGCAGGCATAGCAGCTGTCCTGGTCACTGGTTCAGGGGTCTGCTGCTCAACGGTCCACTAAGACTGCAGTGCCTGAGGCTCACATGAACATGGAGTTGCCCTGTATGACAGGAATGGAAGAACTGTAGCCCTCCTGAGGTAGTGGACTCTAACTCCCATCCTCCCTGTTCATTCGCCTTGCTTGCTGGGGCCAGTGGGAGCTGTACTCCAACAATACTGGAACATACCCAGCAAGCGTCCTGGAAAAACTGGGAACATCCCATTTTTTTATTGCAAGAGAACGGTGGCCATTTTGGTCGCCATGATTTTCCCCAAAATAAAAGGCTCCCCCCCGGGCTATAATCTTGTGTGGCACCCCAAAATGTGTGTTTTGGGCACCGTGCCCCCCGCAAAAGCGTCTTTTTCCAGGGAAAATTGTGGCACAAAATCATGCAAGATCATGGAATCCAAAATGGCTGCCGTTCTATTGTGATAAAAAATGGAAGATGGTGTCCGGGAAGATTGCATCCTATATTTTGCCATCCCTGTGTTGGAGGGTATGCTGGGACACCCTCACCTTATAGGAACATAGGAAGCTGCCTTATATCGATTCAGACCCAGGTCAGTGCTGTCTACACACCAGGGGTTCCCAAACTGGTCTGTGGACCCCCATTGCTCCTCAAGGTGTTCCGTGGCATATCTGCATCGAACATAAAAAATATTTTTAATCCTGTTTTTATTTCTCCTTTTATTTCTTACATCCATGGACTGCAAATGGCAATGTAAGAAATAAAAGAAGTAATAAAAAGACAATTAGGAACTATGCCGCCTCTAGCACAGCGCATTGCAATTGCTACAACAGGCAGAAAAAATAGTTAAGTGGTCCGGGAAGACCCTCGGCTATTTTCAAGTGTTCTGTAGACAGGGAAAGTGTTTGGCAACCACGAATCTACGCTGACTAGTGGCAGCTCTCCATGGCTTCATAAGGGCCTAGGAAGAGCCAGCGGCCCATTTAGTCCAGAAACCTGTTCTCACAGTGGCCAACCAGATGCCTGTGGCCAGTTTGGGGTGCCTCATGAGAAGGCCTCAGAATAACTCTCTTCCAACAGGCAATATGAAACCTCTGGATCGGCCAGGCCGTGTATAAAAGCTAGGAGCCTGACTGTTGAGCTTTAAGACTTCAGCACCCACAGTGCTGGCAGCTCAACCCTTCTTGGCTGCAGCTGTGGAGCCCATTGTCCTTCTGTGCCTGGAGAGCCTACTCTTCAACACTTACAGCCTGGCCCTGGCCCTGGCCCCCAAAACATGTGGGATTTGTCAACAGCCGCCTGGTATCAGCGCTCTGCCTCGCCCGCCCGCCCCGGCAGTGATCCTGAAGGAGACAACTGTCCTAGCTGCACAAAGAGCCATTGTTTGCCTAACATTCCCCACGGCTGTTTATTCCAGTCAAGCCAGGCAGGGTGAGGCAAAGCACCTCAGGCAGCGTATTCGAGGGTGGCAGCTTCTCCAACCCTTCCTCCTCAGTCCCCAGGCCACTTTCCTCCATTGGAGATCAGAGCGACATGCTCCACAGGCCTTCCATGCACCCACTAAACAGCACTATTGCTCTCAAGTGCGCTGGATAATGCTATCTAATGGCCTGCATGCGTGCGCGCGCGCACACACACACACACACACATCCTGGGAACTGTAGTCTGTTAAGGCTGCTGGGATTGTAGCTAGGCCTGCTACAGTTTCCAGGAATATTTGAGGGGTGTGTGGTCTAAATGCATGGTGTATATGCAGTCCAATTGCCGGCACTGAACTGCCAGTCAGCTTCTGTCCAAGCAATGCGGGTGAGATGTGCAGGAGGGCAGTTTTGTCCTTTGCCTCAGGCAGCAAATTGTCTTGGGCCGGCTCAGAATCCAGGCGAAGGGGAGAGAAACAGGGATGCCCAGCCATGTGGTGTGTAGCCTACGGACTCCCTCATGATAACAGCCTTTCTCTCTGGCGCAGACAAGAAGGGAGCACTCATCTCCTGACCAGCGAGAGACTCAACAGCAAGAACACGCCATTTCAGAGCTCATGAGGGATTTTGTGGGATAAGGTGTCGGGAAGGGCTTGTGCCACGTGGAACAGCCAACGCTTGCTGGGTACTGTCACAAAAGTCGGGTGCTTCTGTCTCTCTCTGCCAAGCGGTGGCAAAAGCTCATGGGGTTCCAGGCATCCCCACAGGAGAGAGTAGAAGACATGGTGGAGACTGTCATAAGTTTAAGAAATATGGTGTACAGTGGTACCTCGGGTTACAAACTTAATTCGTTCCGGAGGTCCATTTTAACCTGAAACTGTTTTTAACCTGAGACGCGATTTTGCTAATGGGGCCTCCCGCTGCTGCGACGCAATTTCTGTTCTTATCCTGGGGCAAAGTTCTCAACCCAAGGCACTACTTCCAGGTTCCCGAAGTGTTTGTAACCCGAAGCGTTTGTAACCTGAGGTACCACTGTATCCGCCTATTTACACCTTCGGATTGCATGGAGGGAGTCCTGATCTTACTATCACGGTTATTTCAAGAGTGCATCCCTAGAGTCCAAGAGATCTCTCCCAGTCACTCTGCAGCCAGCCTGCCCAAAGATTGGTCCCAGCCTTCCTTCCTTCCTCTTCTTCCCAGCAACCTTGGCTACCACACTCCCTTTCCCTGTCTCCTCAAGCATACAGTGACCCCTGGCAACCTTCCAAACCCCTGTCTCTGTTCATTGCCAATGGCCCTCAAAGGCCCTCGATTGTTTCTTAAAGGCCCTAGCTTAGCCGGGCCCTTTTACATAGGCTAACCCAGGAATTCCTATGCAGCTGGTATTTCTCCCTTCGCATCCTAAATACAGTGGTACCTCGGGTGACATACGCTTCAGGTTACATACGCTTCAGGTTACAGACTCCGCTAACCCAGAAATAGTGCTTCAGGTTAAGAACTTTGCTTCAGGATGAGAACAGAAATTGT